CTCTTTTTGAAGCATCGCCGAAACGCACGCTTGCAAAAAAAGAAAATGGAAAAGAACAATGCGGGAATCTCGTAAATCAATGACCGTGATTCCTTATTGCTCAGTCGTTTGGGGGGAGATCGGGAAGAATTCCAGGAGCGTCTGTCCCTCCTCTTTTCTTTTGTTCGGTTAGTCCATTGATTCGTTTGCTTGCGTGCTGACTCGCTCGCTCGCTCGTTCGTTCGTCGGTTCGTGGGCTGATAGGCGGGCTGCCAGCCTACCGTTAGCCGAGCCGGCAGGCATCGTCACACGCGGAGAACAAACACTTGTTCGGCAGAATATGTTCCGTCTCCCGAGCACATGTGTTTCCTACAGGGGGTGACGTCCGTGTTGTTCGGACAGCGTGGCTTACAACAGCCGCGGAGACGCACATATTTTACCCATACTTCACTGGGACACCCGGTGGAAGGTATCGATGGCGCACGATACACCACGAGCGTATTACTCCATCGATTTACGGCATGCGCGTCGTACTCGATGGTGACTTCGTCGAGCTGGCATGGGAGCAGTTCGAAGCAGATCCGAATCTCACCTCGGTCCGGGACGATCGAATGACTGCTGTCGATCAGGTCGAGAAGAAAATCGCCGAGATCTCACGTTGAAAAAGAATGTCCGATGATCACTCAACTCGAATTCAGATAGACTTCAGGCTCGGTGGATGGGGGAGCCTTGCTCAGAGGGAAGATTGTTTGTTTCAACGGAAATAATTTTCCCTCAGCATGGGAGAGATAGGGGAATTCATCCCGAATGGGGCGAATACGCTCAAGCAGTTCGACCGTCCGTTCGCATCCGTCGCAGCCCTCGCGACCCGAGAGACGACGATGACGCTGAGAAATGAGAAAATGCCTACAGACTGAAACTCGTTGCTTACCACGGACAAACATGCAGCTATTGCTGACGACTGATGAACTAAAGACTCCGATTGGCGACCGGGCCAAAGGACATATCTAATATGGAATGCCCATTGAATCGGTCACAAGTCGGCTAACTTTGTTACTTTTGACTTGTATCAGCACTTCGACCTCAAGTGATTCGACGGCATCAGCGTTTTCTTCTATCCGACTCAAGACGTCCAGGCCGTTCGACGCGCTGCAATATGAGAAACATCAACAATCGGTCTGATGAGTGAGTCGGGCTCGAGGAGCGGAAGAGACCCTGGAAGGAAGAAATACGCATGGTTTTGCCGAGAAACGTAAAATCTTGACTCTGAGAGGGGACTCGCAGCTTCTCTAGGAAGTTTCCGGATCCAATCAGGTCCGTCCGGATCTGCAGATGTTGAGCGAGAGGATCAAGGCTGAAGGCGGCAAGAAATGGCGCGAGCTCAGTCTATACCTCGAGTCTATCGGAAGCGAAGTCTCGCTCCTACGAAAAACCATTAACAGCATTCACGCACCACGCACGAGCAGATTTCGCTGAAGACCGAACGCATTCGCACGAAAATCTCACGAACAAGAGAATTTTGTGACACGTTGAAACCTCCTCTAAGGGGAAGAGTTCCGGGGTTCCCGATTCGAGGGAGCCAATAGGGAACCATCGAGCGCGCAAAATCCGGAGGCAACGAATATTCCCAACATTTAGGTACATCGTTGTCCGATCGTCAACAAACATTTCAGTGAAAAGCGGCGGAAGACGCGACGCTAGTACTGGTCACTACGCCACAAGTTTCAGATCTGGAACGTTGTGGCAAATTGATACCGAAATCCGCACTGCCACTTATGCGGATCAGTGCCAAGACTTTAGGATTTTCTCCTGGCACACCATCCAGTCTGGATCACAATGAAATCATCCTCGAAGCGGATCCTCCACGTGGAACATCAGAACTCAGATGGGCACGAAGAACTTACCGTAGTAATTACTAGGGTCGAACAGTCTCTCCGAGACGGACGTTCGGCAATGCCGAAGACTACTTCTGGTCTGCAGTGCTCGTAGGCTCGCTGGCACGGTAGTTTGTAGTCAGTCAGTCACTCAGTCGTCGGACGATCTAACAGAGGTACTTGCGCATGCGCTGTCTGACGATCCGCGCACCTGTGAAAGACTCTCGCCTTGCACTCTCTGGATCACGGAAAGGTGGGGGGACTCGAGTCTATGCCGAAATTCTCCCGCTCGCCGCAGCCAGAGGATGGCAGTCGCCCCAAGACCCTGTAGGGAAGTTCGAAATGATCATATCCAGGATTTCGATTCCGATCGTGGTCATCAAATTGTAGTCTTCTTCTGAGGACTATCGGAAGCTAGTAGAAAATCGAACCGAGACGGATGATAGCTCTCGAATCGGCATCACGACATCCGATCCCGGCTTTCCCGGGAGAATTTTCCCTCCAGCGATTCCCTCGCTGCAGCGTCAAGGAACAATAATGGCGGGAACGTCAAGCATTGCCTCCTCGATTCTGCTGCATCTCTACAACGTCGACATCGTCGAGCGTCGGTAGATGTCCAGGTCCATCGGCCTTACGGACTAGCTGCTGTGCTGGCAGGATGGTTGGTTGGTTGCTAAGTCTGTCGGTCGGTCGACTGGTTGGTTGCTTGCTTGGCTGACTGGCTTGCTAACTGGATAGAGGGCAGCCGGGCAAACAAGCGTCCGTAGACCACATGTGTGACCCAACCTAAAGTCTTTTTTCCAACGGATTTCGACCGATGCACAGCAGATGCCGAAATGGGGCGACGCTGAAAATATAGCAGACTGTGTACTGAAATTAAACGCATCATATATTTCACCGTCAGCGGCACGGACACACTCGGTGCCTATCTCGTACTCTCTCGCGCACTCCCGAGCAGTCGACGACAGAAACAAGCGTGGGCTCGCTTCCCGTGTAGAAGAGCGGTAGCTCTCGAGAGACGTTTCTGGCTCTAATCTGAACTGAGCTGTCGTTTCCGCCGACCTATTGACAGAAGAGACACTCATGGTGGTTGCGGTCGTTTCCGACGACAGCTACACAAATAGAAGCTTCATCGGAGCGAAAAATGTCGCGGCGAAAAAAAATTAGACTCTCAATCTGGCTGATTTGGAAGGTATCGCCCACCAGCCCGACATCCAGAGATTCACCGCAGACCGGTCCCTCGATGAGAGCCGAAAGTCGGGGGAAAAGCTCTCGCAGAAGAAACCACAACGGATATCTCCCTGGAGAAGTGGGGAGCTGTCGGATGAATTCCGGCGACTCATCCCGCTGTCGACGGAGGGAATGCCATGAGGGGATTCCCACGATCACCACCATTCATGATCTGCAGCGAATCAATCACAAGTTTGCTCATTACGTATCCTCCGCTCATAATCATAGGTCATAACTAGGGATGTAAATTTCTCGCGGAAAATTTCCGCCAAATTCGCGGAAATCCGCGGCCTCCATTGAAACTCTATGGGGAGTAGCCGGAAATTTCCGCGAATATTCGCGGAAAAATGGTGGTCCGCGAAAAAACTTCCCTAGTCATAACTCAGGGGAGAAATACTTTCGAGTATCTCGAATCGGTCCCGGCTCCTCTGCCCCCCCTTATGAAGAGTCGTCATTGCAGAGGGATGGGGTGTAGCAGATTTCTCTTCGATCTGTCGAGTTCCTCATCCTAACGGAGTCGATGAATAGGATTGAACGCTCCGAACAGAATCGTGGTAGTCGCGGAAGGGGATTTTTTGGAAAAATATCTCTTGATGCCCCATGCTCGGTGGACGCTAACTGAGCCCATTCTGATCTTCGATCAGCCCACCTAGATGTATGTAATGGTCGGGAGGCGAAGGGGGGGACCGAGTCGCGTCTCTGGATCAGCCCATAATGCCGAGGACGTTATGCATCATCGGATTCTCAATCAATTCGGAGACATTCATGGACATTCAAGGATTGCTGTATCAAATTCTGATTTCCCATTGGACATGCCGGGGGCCCTGGATATAAATTGAAGAGGGATTCGGGCCAAAAAATTCAAGGAATGGTCGTCACGGTCTCAGCTTTCCCAGGGAGATCTATTCGAAAGACTGGCCCTCCGAAACATTGCGCGGTCGATGGGATCATTCCGATCTAGAGAGGTTGAGAGAGTCGCTGATGACGTGAAAGGTAGATTCTTTGCGAGACGCCCCTCCCCCACACATGAGATTCAATTCTGACTCCCTCCAAGAATCAGGAGGATGAAGAGCGAAAGTTTGCAGTCGAGATCGCTGCTGGACGGATGAGTCTATGTAGCATGCCCTCCGGTGAAGGGTCCGGAGCCTTAGGCGTGCTTGAGGTGAGACCTAGTCCGAACCTCGCAGCACCTGATTAGATCGAACGGAGTTCGAGGACAGGAATTCCATTATTCTCTGAAAAACTAAAGAGCTCCAGACTCATATCCCCCGGAGGACCTGCTTGCGAGCCTCGCTATCCACCCTCGGCCTCTTCTCTGTGACAAGGGCTCGGGGGCGGGAATTGAATTTCGAAGAAATGTTCATCGGCTGCAGCGGGCCGGGCGCTCGCAATCGATTCTCACCCGGAGAATCGTCTACGAGCATTCATGACTAATGTCCACTGTCTCCATGCTGACCTCATGGCTCATACTTGGAGACGCTACATGACCGGACAGGTGCTTGTCCGGCCGGATTGTCCGGTTTTCGGCCGAAACAGGGAAGATGTCTGCTTTTACAGGCTTTTTCGCAGCGATTGACCGGTTTCAGAGGTTCAAATCGACATGTGAGGGGAGAAGAGTCCATCAAGCGACGGAATTCGGACCGAACTCTCACCTCGGTAACGCCTGTGATGAGCTAAGCAGGCACATCAAGGAGGCTGAACACCAAACAAAAGTATATAAGGGAACGAGAGTAAGAATTTCCGATTCTGGTGTCCGCTTCTCGCAATATTGTCCGTCCGAACACTGCCCGGTTTTGGCAAAAAAAATGTCCGGTCATATAGCGTCTCTACTCATACTTGATTCATTCTGGCGCATTCGGATAGAGCTTGCCCAGGATGGCCGCTTGGTTTTAAATGTACGAATTCTGAAATTCGATCTTCGTTCCGATTAAATATTAAGTGAAAACTCATTTATTTACATAATGTGATGACGGGCCGAGTATGCGAGAACATGATGCGCGAACAGACTATAATTTCTATACAGGTTCGCCGAGGATATTCGATTTCGAGGGATGAGGATGAATTCACCTGGAATTGCTTTGGCTCGCTGGGTTTTGATTTTTCCATCAACATTCATTCTCCAGGCTCCCGATTCTACACGTTGGCTCCATTCTCACGAGTTCCACGGTGGGTTGTGGCGGGTTTGAGAGTATGAAATCGTCAGGTGGTAGACAGCGCTGATTAGCCGGCCCACTCATCTGAATTCTCCGTCGTCCTGGAATGGAGAGCAGGCTAAGCATTCATCGGAATGGAGAGAGAAATTCCGTCACCGTGTGTATTAGTCATCCGACGTTGTGTCATAGAGTCATCTCGACGGAATCTTCTTGAATTCCAATAATATTCGTGAGTTCCGAGAAAAATCGAAAGGTTTCGCGCACCGTGAACGTGTCCATCTCAGCTGCCTTCTGCATTGCGAATATCAAGCGGCGATCTTCAGCGGCAGACCTATAACCCATTACAGTCAGAACGCAGCCCATTATGACCATGAAACCGGCCATGCCCATCATCAGAGGACCTGTAAGAATCAGAAACGAAACATATAGAACTACTCGATTTTGCTTCCCTCAAATCCGACAAGACGGGTGATTTTTATATTCCAACTCGGAGCGGGGAAGCTATACGACGTCTCCGGGAGGAGTGACGCCTGATATCCCGCTCTCTCGTCATATTCTTCCACATTCGACTTAGGAACGATGACACAAGTGGCATTTGTAAACCAATCTGGACCCTTCCAGGTGGCCCTTGGCTACTCATCTCATGAAGCAGCACGGTAGATCTCGGGTCGGGACCCTTTTCCCGTGATGTTTCCCGTCGCTAATTGAGCTCTACTCACCGATGACGCTGCGCCAATCCGATCCGAGGTATCTGTTGTAATTTTCGTCCGCCGTGGGCGGTCGAACCTCAGTGAATATGAGGGCCGTCATGATTGCACCGGCGATCAAGAGCACAAGCGCCAAAGACACTAAGCACCCTGCGAGCAGAACGATGTATCGAATACTCCCTACACGATTGTGTCGAAACGGAATCCGCGACACCGTGATGCTGTCCGCCGACATGTCGAGCTTCATCGCGCTTGCTGAAATGGACGATATCGAATCAGGCTCCCTGCGGAAGCTTTTTCAGCTGAGAGGTTGCATTGCGCACTTGATTACAGCTGACGGAATCAACATCGGCAATTCACTTCAACAAGGAGGATCTTGAGAGAAAACACCCCGGAAAGAGGAAAAGTTTCCCCGAGGCTCGAGTCGGAAACGGCTCGAGACTGCACATATCAAGTTTCCATAATTGGGTCAGATCTGCTCCTCCTTGCGAGTTCCGCGTGCATGGAGGAAGTCTTGACATACCCAAACTTTCCTTCCCCATGATGCTTAGGGTCGAACAGACACTACAGATCGAATGAGATTTCTTGAAAGATCTTCACTTACGATTTGCTGCTCAAGGAGGTCCCGCGGGAAACGATCGACGCTGAGAAAGAACTCGCGAGATTGGGAACAATGGGAGGCGTTGCCGATACCCGGGAACACTACGGTAAAGGTGAACAAATGTCTTTGGCGCTAGAGAGCCGTAGACGATTCAAGGGTGTAGTATTTCCTACAGCTCTGACTGTTAACGGGAGAGGGATTATGACTCCTGCGCGGCCGCTGCAACGCCATCTCAACGCTTCTTGCGCCGTCGCCGCCCTTTCTTGGGTAGATTCCCGCGACGTCCCGGAATTGACAGCTGGGATCAGCATCAACTTTTCTGTCGGCATGTTAGGAGGAATGGCATGGCCAAAGTTTTCCCCGTCGGTCAATCTTCCCAAATCCTCATCCCGCTCGGTGTCCGTGGATAGCGGAATGCAATCATTATTTCTCGAGGGGACCAGGGTCCCAAGCCATTCACAGAATTCAATTCTGACCCCTCGGGGAATCTGAGAATTCCAGAGCGTCCGGAACTGGATCGGGTTTTCCCGCCGATGCTCGGTGGTTCTACGCCGAGGACTCGATGTAGCGAATAGTACTGCGAGAAGATTTTGACGTTCAGCACTTCCGTGCGATTTCCGCCGCGTTCGTTTGAGCGAATTCGCGCTGACCTGGCAGTGACGGGGCCTCTCGTTCCAAAGTCCACACTCGGTCGAGCAGGTATTATTGTTCGCCGTGATTCACGGACTTATTACTCCCGAAAGAATGCTCGTACTAGAGAGAATGTTGAGTCAAGCAATGATCACTTGAAATTATCGACATCTACCTCAGGCTAAGATGATGACTTCCGTCTTCGAGATGTTTACTGTAAGCGACGTTTTCTTTTTTCATTTTGAGAACCAATTTCGAGTTCCATATATACAGAGGAATCTACAGTAATTCTCTGCGCGTTCGCGGGTAATTTCATGATGGCAGATGCTTTTCGCTCTGGATTTGCGCGCTCATCGCGTCGAAACGCTCTCCATGGAATCACTTCGCTGATCTGGCTGTCGTTGTTGCGGTCTCTGGGGACCGCGTGAGGAATAGTCAGGCTGTAATCAGGAATGGATCAGCTCAGGTCCATGAGGATATCGTGCATTCGAGATCTTTCCTAAGCAACCTAATGGCATTCTGGATCGCTCTCCCACTTTACAAACTCACCTGTCGCTGAGAGTAGACCTGTTGTTGGTAAATAGCCATGTACTCTTTGTCCCGTAGGTGAGATATCCTCCGGAACACCACGCAAATGAGCCCAGTCACGATGAGCACAAGTGACATGATCATTAAAATCGGTCCTTGAATAATTTTTCGGATTTCAGTTCCATTACTGAATCGGATCGACCACTGTTCGTTTCTCAGGGATCTCCCTCAATAGCTTGATATATCGCAATTTCGCAACCTAGATCCGAAGTCCTTTCAGATGAATGGTACTTCTGATTCCGAGCTCAGACGGAGCCGGGAACCATTCTCAGGGGAGAGTCCCCAATCGCACTCGGGTGCGTCACATCGGGCAGCACTCCTAACACCTATCCGATACTACTCACCGATGATCCTCCGGTAGTCTGATCCGAGATAACGGTTATAATTTTCGTCAGCAGTCGGAGGTCTCACTTCGGTGAACACAATTGCGGTCAGGATCGCTCCACTCAAAAGACAAATGAAAGCCAGAACGGCCAGCGTGAATCCCAAGGTCCAGCTCATCCGTCTAGGCAATCCGAGCCGATCATGACGATATGGAATCTCAGAGGTTTCGAGAGCTCCCTCCTGCATCCACTTCATGAGCCTCATCTCTCTGCTGAGCTTGCCTTCACGTCTGTTGGGGAACATTTTCTAAGTAGATTTTCCACGAAGAGGCAATGGATCCGCGAAACCATGAGCTTGTTCACTGTCAGCACTCATTGTCAAACAATGGGATCCCGCCATTCTCACCCAAACAACTTGACGGAAATCATTGGTAGGAGGGCTTAAGCATGAAAGACCAGTTTTGGAGCTTTCTGACTCACATTATGCCTCAGATCTCTCGATGCACCGCACGGAGGACACTCACGTTCGCAGGGACTCGTCTCAGACCGCGTTAGGCGGAAGCCTCGGCGAGTTGTTTAACGCTGCGTTCGTACGATAGAGCAAACTAAGGGAGTCTCCGCTAGGAAAGCACACTTCCAAGTCTGCCTGGTCGTAAACAAGCCATAATGGGGTCCAGTGTTCGCGGGTGTGCTGTGCAGGCTTTATAAAAGTCTTTGCTCCTTGGATAAGTCTTCGCCTAACTTAGGATATCATTATTTGATGACTTTACAGATTAAGAGGAGGGGGGAGTCGTCTAACCGAGATATGTCCAGAACGCTGCGGTCGACATTTCAGTCGCACCGCGCTCACGAGAGTGATCGGAGCTCGAAGCTTAGCATCCCTCCTCTCACCTTGTTCCTCACCATCTAGGCATGGTGAACGGTGAGTCCTCTGCTCCTGCTCTTGATGCGTGTCGCCGAATGGGCGTCCTTGTCATTCGGGTAAAGGATGCCACACGCAAATACGCATCCTATGTAGGATAAGCATGTAGCACCAGGAAAAGGCTTTTCGTTCAAGAAATCCGCGGGGAACCGCGGGACCTTGCCTTACTGAACTCAGGATGCGACATTGCATTCTGAACGACCGCATCATGATTCATCTCCAGAAGCCTCTCCCCCTGACAAGGATCTGCTCTTGAAGGGCGATCTTAGAGAACTCTTCCCTCCACAAGCGACTCCATGAGTCATGCGGCCTGGAAATAAGCTCAGTGGTCGATTGAGCTAGCTCGAGGAAGCTCTCGATCCGAAAGGGTCGATTCAGCAGATGTGTATCAAGCGGCATGCCTTCTCGCGCCGTTTTGGATATCCCATCCGCACAAGTTCGGATGGTACATCAAGTCACTGCTCGTGAACGCCCGCTTAAGCCGCCAACAGTGACAAAGCGTATTGTATGCTGATATAAGATTACTTCAGGCTTGAATCATGAGAAGACTGCACGCAGAGACAATATCATATCATCATCCATCTGATCCATCCATAATTACTAGATACTTTCTTCGCGGATTCCAGAACTTCCGTGGGAAGCGGGGCTGGCTCGGATGAGCTCCGAGTAGAATCTATCCGAAAGACTGACATTTTCTTTCTGCAAGGTCGAAGGAACTCCTGAAAGTGGTCGCAAGGCTCGAAATGGGAATCAGCCTCCAGTATTCGGGGAGGTGGGGTTCATCCCCGCAAGAGAATCCGGCGAGCGTTCGCCGAGAGAAGAGTCGCGCATCAACAGGGAACAAAAGGTTATATCGTAGGAAATGCGACGAATGAGATTGCGGCGAAATAGTCAGGGAAGACTCCTGTGGGGGCTCGGGAATGCTTTCTCGGTCCATTCAAGTCAGGGACTCCGAGTCTTACAATTGACTATTGATCTTTGAACGCGGCCTGTAAGTGCTCTCTCCGGAGTCTCCTCCCACTACATGATGATCGAAGCACTTGGAAAACACTCTCCACAGGGACCGAATGGACTCAATCGAGCGAACAAATATCGACACCGTCGTGAAGCGTCCACGTCTAACGATGATCTTTTCTTCTTACGAGGCCGTGGTTTTCGTGTCATCAATCTTCGTCGCTGAGTCAGCGTGGTGGACCGACGATATTATCTCGAAGACTCCAAATCCTTCGCGCCAGTGGGGCTATTACGATCGCGCTATAAATTTCTACGTGAGTTCCAGTGGAGCTTCGGGGAATATTCTCACGCTTATAGATATCAACTGCGGTTTGAATCGTTCAATCATCGAGAAATATCCAATAACACTGTACCAATCATTGAACAGACACAGTGCCGCAGAGTTCCGCAAGGATCTCGTGACCGAGACCCTGAGGGCTTTCTCTAATAAGTCTGGGACCCCTTTCACCCCATACAGTGGAGCCCGCCTACTGTTCGCTCTCTGTGAGCCGCGCTTAGTCGGTTTCCCATTGTTCGGATCAAATCGAAATTATCCGTCTTTCGAAGAAGTGATCCTCTTCGCTCAGATCGCGCTGTCCCGAGCGCAGTTTTTCGATGTCCGAAGCAAAGCTCTTTTCTACTTCATCAACAATGAGGCGCAGAGATGCGCCCTGCTGCCGAACCTGTTAGGGATCCGCGGGATTAAACTCATGTTCGGAATCCTGAACTGCATCAACCAGCAGCAAATTATTTTCAGCACGCTATCATTGTTCATCCACGAGATCGAAGACACCGGCGTCTTCAGTTCGATCGTCCCGTCAGACATAATGTTCTTCAAAGTTTTTATGCGAGGTTTTTCCCTCATTCCCGGTCTGTCTTTTCTCACTCAGGCTGACATCGAGAAAGCCTTGTTCGAACTCCAAGCCATCGATCTCCTTAAGCCAAGAGAAATCATCGTGGACATAGAGATCAAAGATATCTACGTGTCGCTCATCTCTCAATACGACGTCAACAACGATACGAAAAGCCTGTCTGTTTACTACATATCAGACGCCACGGATCTCGATGCTGTTGCGCCTTTCATGAAGTTCATGCTGCTCGAAACCTCAGCGCTGAGAGCGATTGCAGTCGCGCCCGACGAGAATGTGAGACTGACCGCCATGACATCGCCGATGGAATGGATTTTCGCAGCGCTCATCCTGGGTTTAGCGACGCTGATCAGTCTGATTTTGCGAGTGGTCTCCACCAATGCTCCCTTGAACGTTATCGGATATCTCCTCCTCACGATGGTCGCGGTGGTGGAACTCCCGAAGCGGGGCAAAAATCAAGTGGTCTACGTTCTCACTATCGGACTCTGGATACTTTTTCTTCAGGTACCAGCCCAAACATTCCGCGCCAATCTTCTGCGTGAATTGAGCGGCATCCCGGGTGCGATTGAAGAAGTGGCCGAATGCGCGACTTTCGTCGATCCCAGGGCCCCGGCCGCCAGCGATTCCCGCACCGAACACAGAGCTCTGCTGGTGAAATACTACTACGATGAGCAAGGTCATCAAAGATCAGATAAGGTCAGGTGGGACCTTGTTCTGAACGCCGTGCAGAAGAACAGAGCCCTATGCCAGAAAGGCGATGTCCTGGATCGTCTCCAGGGGAGCACGCTGTCGAGATTCCCATTCTACAGTGTGCCCGTACCGTCGGTAATGCTGAAACGTGTCCTGGTGGAGTTCGAAGAATGGCAAGCTCTAAACAAAGATCAATCCTGTGACTTCATTGTGAAGCCCGATACTCGAGTGAGCGTCGATGAAACTTTCAGGAAATCGATCGGGGTCCTCAAAGAGAACAGCCATAAATTCAATTTGAGTCGGAGTCAGGACCTGCTCTTGGCAAAAGCCGACTATTCGACTTTGCAGCATCTGATCGAGGGCTTCATAACACGAATCATGAAGGATAATAGCTCCAGACTCCTCCCCACTCCGGCGGTAACGAAATCCGTCAGAGTTCAGATAACACTGGGTTTTTGGAAATTAGCGAACCTCTTGGCAACATACGGTTTCAACTATAGTGCCTCCCACACGTCCTTCTCGAAAAGCAAGAGAGAGTATCTGGAAAATCTTCAGTTGTCTGAAACACTCTCTGCTGACGATTGCGCCGCGTGGTACGAGAACCCTCAGGGGGTTCGCCTTCAACGTTGCTATGGGGAAAGTCAATTTAATCTAGACTTGCAATCCAGCCCGACCGTCAGTCTCCGACATCTGCTCGTGGCCTTCCATTTGTTGCTGATCGCCTTACCTCTGTGTTTGTGCGCGTTCATGATTGAGAGCTTGTGCTATGACCTGAGGGATGATTGCATCTTCAACTGTTGACCGAGAGAAGACTCGAATAACCCTATTCTCACTTTGCGAAATTTGCATCTGTACTGTGTCTTTCGGCCGATATGTCAAGCGGGTTCGGTAAGATGGGAGAAAGCAGAGAGCGTCGCTTCCCTCGACGAGCGACCTCAGATATTCGGGCTGAAACGTGGTGACAATTGATTGATTGCTTCTCCTCCCTCGTGACGTTTAATGGCCCGAGACGGCCCCTGGAATGTGTGATGGAATTGCCATCAATGCTTCGGTCAACAATTCGATGCTACCGGTCAACATGCGGGGAGCGAGATACATATGCTCGCAACACCGGAGACATGTCGGGCGACGCAAGAGCCACAGATCCTCGGGCACCAGTCCACCAGCAGAGATTCCGGTCGTACTTGATTCCACGCGCCATGAATGCGTCTAACGCTCTGCCGTCAGCCGATGCAGGGTGCAGACGTCGCCAGGCGGTCGTCGAATCAGTAAATCGATGTTAAATGACCCAGAACGCGTCGAGATACATGTCTTGGAATCAAATCATGTCGGAGCTAGAACCGCGGCCCTGAAATCAGACACCAGGCGGATGGTGAGGATTATGGGAGCATCGATGGTGACTCCCACTCGGAATGCTGCTTTGGCGATTTTTTCGGGATCATCCAGGCGTCCCTTCGAGCGCACCGCGACCGAATGGGTAGCGATGAGTACTTCTGACTTTGAGAACAGATGGCGTCGTCCGCCTAAGCGGCAAAATTAAAAACTTTCCGCTCGACCGACGTCGCATGCAGAGATTATTTTCTCTCCGACGTCTCTGCTGGATCAGGTTATGGATTTACGAGGAAGATGAGGAATTAGGTACTCTCTCCCAGTTTCTTGGGCCTCGCTCTTCGGATCGCTCTTCGGATCCCCCCCCTCCGCGTCTTGCGATGTCGATTGCGGAGGGTTTTCCCCCGGTGGACGCGGTCTCATCTGGAATAAAAAACTTGGAGTTCAGTCACCCTGCCCATCGCGTTTGCGTCGAGCCAATGAGCGAAATACAGAGAATTCTGGAACAGAGATTCACAAAACCATGACTTGCAAATTCTCACACTGTAGCATGATCCTGAACCCTATGGAAGACCCTGTTTGTAGTCCCTAGATCCTGGTCTCCCAAGAAATTGCTACCGCAAAACCGTTCCGATTGATAAAACTTGATTGATGGCAAATCGCAACGAAAAATTCATCCCGATTTGTGGTACTCACTCTCGTATGCTGTGTACTTCTACGAGCTCTCGCAGCGGTAAGTGTTCCAGCGTACTCCGCGCAACGTGAAATTAGGGCTCTGAGCGAGTCCACGAGGACAGCTGATCCTGATTGAGGAGTCCTGAATCCGCCAAGTTTTCCCCGTCGCGGAGCTCTGGGATGGGCTTGAATGAGCTAGCGCCCCTCGCTCGGGACTCTTGATGAAAGTCGATGCGACCCGTCGATAGATGATTCTGCTCTTCGGGAGTAAAAATATTAGCCGGCTGTGGGGATAGGACCCCGCCGGGATTGTAGCTCACGCTAAAGGAGCCCGGATACCGGGATGCGTCTTTGCAAGGGAAGAGCCTGACGTTTCACCTGCTCGACAATCGCGGCATATGGACTATGCGGAACAATTTCGACCGGAACCGACTTCATGCCGGAGTCTGAGACCTAGTTACTTCCATGCCTTCGGAGAGTCGCTTGTCGCGTCGAGAGTATCTGAATGCTTTCGAAGGGAGCATCGCCCGACCAGGATGAGAACTATGAGCGCGACTCGTCGTTCGCCCTCGCCGATGGAGCAAACGGAACTTCCAAAAATGACACGCTCTTTCTCCAGACGAGAGCTCCGTTAGCTGCCGTTGCCGCCCGCTTCATTCCGCATGCGGATAGGTCGCTTCAATCTTCTCAAAACGCGATCGATATTTCCTCGTCTGTAAATATCCTGCTCTCGCGTTCTCTAAGAATCGACTGCCAGTTTTGAAACTCCTGTGTCTGACTTGAGTTCCCTCCCCGGCTACTGGTTAGCTTGCCTACATCTGACGTCTCCAGTCTTCTCTATCCAATCGGGCCATTAAACGAAGGAGCATCATTCTCTTCCGGGACCACGGGAAGAACGTTAGATTCTCAGTCGAATATGGAATTGCAACAATTCTTGAGGATTTCGGTGCCTGGAGACAAAATTGTTATGAGAATCGAACTCCGCGAAGACTCAACGTTGCCGCGCGAGAGACTCCAGATCATGTGCGCTGGAGCGACCACGTTGAATTACTTCGTGGAAAATATCGGAAATGCCAAGGTACAACATAACTCTTCTCCGCAGTGATCCCTCCCGTCATTCTTATCAGAACGCTCGATACACTTTTCAATATTTATCGTTTTGCGTTCCGCATGTCGACAATTCCGAGATTAACCCGGACTGCCTCCCCTCCTGGGAAAATGTAGATGCATCGCTCCATCTCTCTTGTGGATCGTCATAACTACTCAATCTTCATTGTCTTCTGATCTTTCTCTCTCAGGGCCGTGATTTCCATGGGCTTGGTGGTCTTCGACGACGTCGGCGTCTACAGCAGCAGGAATAGGCATTAGATAAAACATAGCAAGCAAGGAATACGGTAAGTCGACTCTTTTTAAGTTCGTAAGTAAGCTGTTTTCAATAACGACAGAAAAACTGGAACTCCATCAGCCCACTCCAGGTCGACATGGTTGGTTCACGGATTACTTTTTCAGAAACTTTGGGTGATACCTACGGCTATCGGAGGAGTCTGCACTCTCGGCCTAGTGATTGTAACGCTCATCGCGGTAAATCTGTGGTGTAAGTAGAGAGAGCCGCTCAGATCTGTTCATATGTATGCAATTTTTTCCTGGGGAAAATCCTTGACGTCGATCTCAGCAAAAAGGCGGTGCACGTCAAACCGGCCGCGGCGTCAACTCGGCCACGGCGTCATTTCGGCCATCTTGCAACTATGATGGAACTGTCTTTGAGCGAACAGGAGCGGAGATTTCTGATTGCGATTCAATGGGTACGAGGGAAACGATCACTGACTGAGCTATTCCTAGATACGGATTGATAGAAAAATGCGAGACGCAACCCTCGACGAAAAAACACGGACCCTTGTGAGCCTCTGCGCGTGTATTCCGCTCCTCCGCGATGTACGGGGTGACTCTTTTTCCCTCCGAATGGCAAAGAGTTTGCGGCAATCCGAGAGGTGCCTGGTCAAGCATCATACCCTCGCAGAGTAGAAGCCCATCATTATATGTGCGCTCTGTATTCTCTGTGAATGAAACTGTGATAAGTACTGATACCTGGAATGCTTTGAACGCTGATTTTGCGATTTTGCTTCATTTACGGATTGTATAGGTTAATCGACCTCTTATTTCAATCGAAGAGTCTTTGTCTGGTACGACGTCCCGCCGATTCGAGCGAAACCGTCGATTCGCATTTTGTCGGACGTAAGGCTTCCGGTTTCGTCGAAGCAGGAGATCTTCACTGTTCCGGCGGATGGGATCCGGAATGCCTCTGTCCAGAAAATTCCGAGTTTCGCCAAAGCAGAGAATAATTAACGACGAGAGACAGCTCGATCGGTAGCTCCGGCGGGACCACCGAAGTCAGAATGAGAGTGCTTTCCGGCATCAACTCTGGTCCCGCGGCCGCTCAGGAGGTGGAGTTTGGAAATATCTGTCTGATCGAGTCCCTCCTCGATGAGAGGTATAGATTCCCCGGTGAGGAGCATCCTTCGACAACGGCCGTGCCACGTATAAGCAGGAGATCGCAAGGTGGCGCGTCTCGAGAAGATTCATGTCGCCTGTTCAACGAACGTGTAGTCCTCTCGAAACTTAGACAGTCAAGAAGAGGAACGCTTTATATCCCCTCAGAATCCATTCAATCATCACAGAGACCACGAACCTCGAACCAAACCGCGCACGGAAGCAAAACCCGCGGCTCACGGGCCACATGCATGCGATAATGCCCTGACTCCGGAGACGGTCTCGAACTTGATTCCGATGCAAACCCAGGACGCTGGCCTTGTGACATTCCATCCAGAATGGAGCGAGACGGAATGAAGAGTTAGAATGGATTACCGAAGACGCCGGCGTTTGGGACGCTTTTCTGCCGAAGAGTGACAGAAATCGCGTATCTGTCCAAGTCGGATTCGAGGCGAAGAACTTCGAAACGTGCCAGTATGCCAGTGTTTCCTCTGGGGCCATGCTCCCCGGAAGGAGGGAAAACGCGAAAGTACTCTATCGATACATTTTATTTACAGACGCTCGCAGCAGCGTGGCTTCAACATAGGGAGCTCTCTCCCTCCTCAAATATACATTATTAAAGTTCACAGCTCATCATCGAGCATGGGAATCCTGACGTTGGTCAAATCACCATCCTCCACTGCTTCCACCAGCGGACCATCCGCCTCCACCGCTTCCACCCGCGGACCATCCGCCTCCACCGCTCCCTCCCGCGGACCATCCGCCACCGCCTCCACCTCCAGACCACCCACCGTGTCCACCGCCGCCGCCTCCGAGCGAGCCATGTTGGATTGACGCGGTTCCGGCCACTCTAGCGACTAGCACCTTAGCCTGACCTCCGCCCCCTCCTCCGGACTTCGAGAGAATCTGACCTCCGCTGTCGATCGTTCTGACCTGGTGGATGGTTTTGATCACGTGAGACGGCCCCGAGACCGTCAGGGATCCCCCACCGCCACCACCTCCGCCGCCTTTGATGATGAGAATTTTCGCCGAGCCACCGCCGCCTCCGTGACCTCCTCCGTATCCTCCACCATAACCACCGCCGCCGCCTCCACCACCGATATCACCGGCTTGAACCGCGACGACTGTGACCAGGGCTAATGTTGCGGCCACGAAGTTTTTCATGGTGCGCCGAGATGTCGTTAACACAGGAACTGATGATGATCTTCTTCGCAATGTACAATGGAGCTGCCGTGGCTGCTTTTTATTCAGCGGCTCGCCGACCCTTTTTTTCTAACGCGCAGGTGCGTCTCACCCCCACCCGCTGCCTCGTTTCGGATGCTGTTGTTCGTTATCGCTGATGGCATGCTTCTGACTACTCCAGGTTTCAGGAATGAACATCGCTCTCCCGATGGAGCTCGATGTGTGGAACTGACCTTTGCAGCATTCGAGGGTCCATTGAATATTTTGGAACCAAGAACTTCCGATTCGTCTGAAATTCTCAGAGATTCCGGGACTCCAAATCTGCGCAATGAGTTTAGATGTCTTGCGAAGGCCCCCGGCTTCACAGATGCTTCTACTTCTGACGGCTGTGGCGTAGCAGCCCCTTGAAGTTAAACGTCTCCGGAACGAATATCCTCGGCACTCGAGGCTGCGAAGTCGAAAAAATTCGGGGGGCGGAAGAGCAACGGAACTCTTGCTTCAGAGGATCTCGCTCGAGGTCCAGCCGAAGAATGTTGCATCCGTTAGCGGTTCGCTACCCTCTGAGCCTGGCGTTGATCACGAACCGTATCGGGAATTTCATGACTGCATAACCTCAACATGGTCATCAACTCCGAATGTCGGTGCCGTGACCATCTCCCCGACTCATCCTCGAAGTCCCACACCGAGTCCAAGTCGGCGATTTTTCTCCTGTGCAGGGGGCTTCTATGGGAACTCCTCGGGCGTCACGTCTGGATCTATGTGACAGAGTCTTCTGAGCCGCATTTCTCACTGCACGATCGGATCCGATCAACCGGATCATGCTCTCCCAACATATGAATTAGAACAACAATAAAATTACGTGTTCTCTATGGTATATTCCAGAGATATTTCTTGATGCCCATTCATCATGTGCCTGGATGCGAGACGGGGCATACCCATGATATTAATCAGGTTCCATCCGCTTAAGTTCGAATCATTCGTCACGGCGAGGTTCTTCGGTCAATCACCGGGGGCGTATTCACAGTTCACACACATTCCCCATCAGGCCCAAATGAAGAGGTCCCCCTTGAGCGAACAGCTATCCGGTCGAAAGCGCTAATCACTCCCGGCAGCCGTCGCATGCTTTCTCGAGTCGTTCGAGAGGCCTCTTAATTTCGTTCATTTGGATTCGGTTACTCAAGTTCCCAATCCTGACACTGTCTCTCAAGGAGTGTCAGGTCCACAGAATCCATCGTCGCCCGGAGCGCGGACATCGGAGACTCCCTCCATGAAAGCACCAAATCTCCCTTGGGTACGAGGCGCACTGGCGGCGAACGAGGAACGAGAGTCTGATCTTCGGAAATCGTTCATGCAGTGAGCATAGCATTCGGATAGTCTCTCTCGAGAACTCCTGCTCCTAATGAATCACTAGACGCTCCAGAGCTCCGGCTTCTGCCGTGTTCGAATTTCTCCTCGGAGGCTAGAACTCCTAGTCATGAAGACGCCGGCGCCATATGCTCTATCTGAGGTTCTGAATATCGCGAGCGTTCCCAAACTCGCCCTCTCCAAGGGTCGACTCGGGCCGCAGCTCATATGCATTGAATCCGTCCCCCCAGTAATCCGGACAAGGCCAGACATCCAGCTATATTCCTATCTAGACACGATTCTCTTCACAGCCCAGTACAATTCGGATGGGATGCAATTCTTCTGGAAGACGCTAGCTCCTTCAGTCGGAATGTTGCGAAAACGGCGCATCGATTTTAGGGAGCGGCGATGAGAAAGAGCCCAGAAGGAGGGGATCTTTCGAACTTCTCGCCGCTCAGAGAATCAGATCAGGGAACGCCATGGAGAACGGGATGTACCTCTCCGATCGCTGACCTCTAACAAATAATTGAGCTCACACGCGTCGGGACCCTGTACATCATTGGTATCGGATGGCAGAAGATTTTCTGATACGATGGCCTGCGGACGGGGCACCGATGAGCAACGAGGAGCCGAAAAGGAATCAAACAACGCTGGAGGCTGGAACGAGGTTCTCTCGTTCCTCATCATAGAATTGACGAGTTTAATGGGAGCGCCGTTTGCCGTGACGACAATGAAAATTATTGAGCTACATCTATTATTCTCTTATACGATTGTTTCAATTGCAAAGACTACAATCACGCAACCTTGTCGCTTACACTGTTGCTACGGTTCTACGCAAGACAGTGGGGGCTTCTCGCGGCGTCGACGTGTTACGTTAATCGAAAAGCATAAACTAAACCAAAGACGTATGGGGATTTACGTTCAATGGCGAGCTCGTTGTTTGACCTCACAGACAGCGACGCTATCGATGGAGGCAACGCCACCATCCGCGAACGGGCGTTGCGATATCTCGACGATGTTTTTAATAGTAACGACAATGCCAGCGATGACGACAACGGTAGTTAGAAGATTTTTGTCTGATATCATCATAATCATCACGAGTTCTCAATCTTTCAACAACGCCCAGAGTCTTCATTCTCCAATCCATTATCGCGGTCGCCCCGTCTACCGAACCTCCCGCTCGTGCTATAATAAATATTGACAAATAGACCACAACAAATGAATCGAGCATGAACGAAAGCCCTCGTGCTATGCGTTCGACTTTTGAGCTCCTTCGCGCAATAGTTACAACGAGCACACACAGTCTACTAATCTATCTATCTACATATATATCGGCCGAAAGATTTGACGGACAATCCAGAGAAATTTACCGCTGACAGAGTCGACACCGTATGGCTCCTTTTCGTATTCCATTCACCGGAATCCGAAACAAGTGTTTATCATCCGTTCGTAAACAAGTAATAAACACCAGAGTAATCCTTGCGAAAATCAGAATGCGGATTCGGGGCAATGCTGAAATGTTTTACGCTGTCACCTGCTTCTTCGATAAGCCACGACACCTACAGAATAACCCAATATTTCCAATCGGGAGATTCCCCAGAAGACATCACAACTCCCCATCATGGAGAATCGCGTGACATTTCGCACCGAGACGATTTTCTCCCGACGCAAAGCTCCCGGGTGATCAGCATGCATAATATCGGTGTGAACACGAGAGATATGACACGCTAAGGCGATTTCTATTATTAGGGCGCGGAACTATTATATCATTAATTGTGCCACCATATCAAAGTTCGGAAATGTTTGAATGACTGAGCTGGTCATCGTCTGGACAGATATAGATCAGGGCGATAAACAAAGTCGATCAGCAGCTTCCATTTCGGCAATCAACTGCGACCATCATTGCACCGCCGCGGCGTAGTGGCGATCTGTGACCGCCTGCATCACGCGATGGGCGGTTCGGCGACGGTCACTGGGGACGGTCACAGGATGGCGAACCATGAGTCTACCGGGCTCTCCATCGATGAAGGCCCTACAGCTGGCGGTTGGAATTGTCATCGAACGTGTTGGGGTTACGACCGTTGCGGTTTCATAATTCCACGGTGCCAGAACTGCAAAAATGCACATATTGACGAGTATCCGTAGCGATGGCGAGAGACGGTCGACGGTGTTCAGCGTTCGGTCAACAGGACCCTCCTTGCCTCCGACCCCTTGCCCGGTGAAGTATTTAACGCAAACTGCACGGATCAAGCACAATAATCTTCAGAAAGTGACGGTCAAGCGATGAAGTCGTTTGTAGTGGTGTCGATGCTCGTAGCCGTGACTTCGGCAGGTTTCCTCGGAGGAGGAGGCGGAGGCTACGGTGGCGGAGGCCACGGCGGTGGAGGAGGCGGACACGGTGGAAACAGCGGAGCCGATGAGGACGCGGCCGCCCTCTCAGCGGTCGGTTTGTCTCGCCTGCTCGGCGGGGGAGCCTCTCACGGAAACCTAGCGGGAAGTGGCGGAGGAGCCTCGTACACAATCTCTGGCCCCACACAAGAGATAAAATCCGTCCATAAGATCTCCACCACAAGCGCCGGGGGTCAGATCCTCTCAAGAACCGGAGGAGGTGGTGGAGGGGGTGGAACGAGCAAGGTGATCATCATCAAGGGCGGAGGCGGAGGCGGAGGAGGTCACGGAGGAGGTCAAGGAGGTTGGTCCGGAGGAGGAGGAGGAGGTGGAGGAGGATGGTGATTCGGCGAGTGATCCCGGATTCGCGCTCTAGCTGTTTTTCAATCCACTTTCGGTCACGGCTAAGGAACAACACACACGAGAACTGTATATAGAACTCAAATGTACAAACAATAAAGCTTTTCTTGACTTGACCTACATAATATTTAGCTGTCATTTCATCCTCGTTCAATGCTGATTATAACGAGGACTTTCGTCATTCGAGCTCAAAAGGGGAATTCAGAAATAAAACTTTCTCCATTCTCCGTCGATCCGCTTCGGGTGACCGAGGGGTGTGCACCCACTGCCCCAAAAACCCATTGCCCCAAAAACCCGATGCCCCGAAAAAATGGTCGTTCGATCGTTATCGACTCTCTATATTGAAATTTAATTCATTATGTATGTATGGTGATGATTGCTGGATCTCGGACCCTTAAATTAATGCCCCCAGACAATATCTATCATTTTGTCTCTGCATCTATGAATGGCAGCGAAGCGACATATGAAGCCTGAATTCCTAGGCTCTCTATCAGCCGTCAATATATTTTGAAATCTATAATAATCAAAACGAAGGGAGAGAGAGACGTTATCGTCATACACACCTTTATCGAGAGGATGAAAATCACCTCTCACATTCTCGTCGACGACTAATGAGATTTTATGTACACCATTTACGTTTGTCAGATGATTGCATTCATTCACAAATAACTCCTTCTGCATAGTGTGGTGCTCTCTCCGCTGATTCAGACTTTGACTTGACGCTGTTGGATCTTGTCGGAGATTTCCTCGGTCAGCAGAACGTACTTCTTCTGAATGAGATCGAGGAAGTAAATCGGATCCGATGTCTTTTCGATATCATACGTCTCTTTGACGAGGTCCGTCTTCTTGAGCTTGTAGGTTCCAGTTGCGTCGACTTCTTTGAGCAATCGAACAAACAGGGGCATCGCGTAAGCTGGCAACATTCCCGAGGCGTCCTTGAGCATTTTATTCAAGTCGACTTTCCTCTCCGGATCCAGAATGGCTGCCATTCCAGCTTTACCTTCACATCCGGGAACCTCGACGCCGTAAACGACAACGTCAGAGAGTCCGACCGCCTTCGAAAGGATTCCTTCGACTTCGGAAGTCGAAACGTTCTCCCCTTTCCATCTGAAAGTGTCTCCGGTGCGGTCTTTGAAGTACAGATAGCCGTATTCGTCCTGCATGAGGAGATCACCGGAAGAGAAGGCGATATCGCCTTTGTGGAAAACATCACGATAGAGCTTTTTACTCGTCGCGCCCTGATCGACGTATCCGTCGAACTTGTGAATGCTGGAATTCTGGATGAGACCGACCATTTCTCCAGTTTCCCCAGGCGAAGACGGTATGCAGAGGCCGTGACGGTTCCTCAGCGGCAAGCCGGTGTTTTCGTCGATGCGAATGAGCCTGACCGGATAGATTCGTTCCGACACGCTCGGGATGATCTTTCCGATCGACGGGAGGAAACCTACGGCTCCGACTCTGTTGTCGATGTTGATCAAATTCGAGTTCCCCTCGGTCGATCCATAGAGCTCGCGGATGTCTTTGATTCCGAAACGAGTTTGGAACTCCTCCCAGATTTGCGGTCGGAGACCGTTTCCGAACATCATTCGAATCTTGTGGCCCCGATCGGACTTCTTCTCCGGTTGTGACAACAAGTACCGGCATATTTCACCGATATACTGGGAAACGGTGCATTTGTACTTCGCGCAATCCTCCCAGTATCTGGAGGCGGTGAACTTGGGGGCGACGACTCCAGTTGCGCCGACAATGATGAGTTGACCGGCACCGAGGATGCCTCCGGCAGCGTGGTACAGCGGAAGACTGAGATACATGACGTCATCGTTGTAGACGGGCATCATTTTCGTGATTCCGACCGTCATGAAAATGAATCGGAGGTGCTTGATAATTGCCGCTTTGGGTAGTCCTGTGGTTCCAGAGGTATAGATGTAGACTAGCTTATCGTTTATGCTGCCCCGGAACGACGGGGCTTTGTTCTGAGCGCTCTCGATCAATGGCTGCACCATGGTCACTTCGACCGAGCCAAAATCGCCTTTTTCGCCGTAGCACAGCATCTGGATGTTTGGGTTCTTAGCTCGGAGATTGTCTTCGGTGTCGAGAACGTTCTTAGCCATGATCGTGCTGAAAATCACGGCCTTCGCGTTGACCACGTTGATGCAATGGGCCAGAGGGACCGATTTCAGATTGTGGTTGATAAGAGCAGTGACGACCCCGATTTTGCTCAGGCCCAGCCACAGCATCAGGTACTCTGGTCGGTTCTCCATGTATAGCGCCACATCGTCGCCGGCGCGGAATCCGAGCTTCAGGAAAGTCATCGCTACCTTATTGGAGAATTCATCCACTTGACGGAAGGTCCACTCTCGGTTCTCGCCGACCAACATCACTTTGTCCGGATGGCGGTTGCAGGTCCTCTTGAAAACCATCGGCACGGTCGAGTTGCTCCGGGCGTACCCCCACAGACCGTTGATGGCCCAATGAGCACGGAAAAACCTGAGAGCCGCGGTGCAATCTCGTTTGGATGTCTTGGCGATAATCCGCAGTTTCTTGTAGCCTCCCAGCAGCGTGTACACAATGAACGATGACAACAGGCCCAGCCATGTCGAATGAAGGATTCCGATGACACTCAATGTCAGGAACCCCAGAAGGGACCTCCGGGACGTGTTTTCCAGGAGGGCTGACATTGTTCACGACAAGCGCGCGACCGACTGTCGGCAAACTGTCGGAGAACGGCCGGTCCACATGCGTTGTTATATCTTTTCCATTTCCACTGACGGTTCAAAGGCTGTATCTTTTGTCTCTCCATGCCAAGTCGAGCTCAAGTGAATCACTCACTCACCTACTGACGATCATCGGCGCAGCGAGTGCTGCCCGACTAATCATGCGATACGTTGATACAAACTGAAACTCGGCTACTCAAAGCTCAGAAAGGTTTCGATGGAACGGTCGAAACCTGCTTCTAGGGCAGAGAATCTTCCAAAGAGCTGGCGACGAGAGCTCATTCTTCGATTCCTAATTACGGATTGAGACCGCGGAATGGCTTGATATTGGACGATTTCCATGGTTGGAAGGCTGCACCGACTATCGCGCCTCTTCTCTCCGAACATTGATTTCCAGGAGAGGCTGATCTCGGTTCCCCGAAGCGGCGGTGACGTCACGACAAGATTTCGACTAATTCGGACTCACCGTATTCGGGCCGCAGCATAACGCGAGGAGGCTCGCTTCTAAAGAAAAGAGTCTCAACGATCGAAGATCATCGCTTGGAGACCACCCCAACTTAGCCAAAAATCGCGCAGAGCAAGCGGGGAACTCGCTCCTGGCTTTCTCATTCTCGGGGCAGGATCCCTGGTCAGCGACACCAGCACCGGATATTCGAGCATGATCGACCAGGAATCAGGACAGGCTACTTCCTTGTGTACTCGTTCAATCCTGCGGGTGCTCGCTCCATTTCAATCGTCGCAAGGTTGATTTCGGACTCCCAAGTTACCCATACAATCATATGTAGAGCAGAGTCTGGCTCACGATGGAAAGATTTTCCCGTACGTTTGTCCGGCTCCGGGTCGATCTTCAAAGACTGGGAAGTTATCCCTCTTTTCCGGCGATTTCTGATTATAAGATATCAGCCGGAGCTCGGCGATTCCGGCTCCAGAATTTCCTGAATCTGAGAGGCTTCTCGGCGGTAACTTTCACAACAATATATTTTTATACAGGCAGCATGTAGACAGAGTTTCCCTCATGCATCAAAATAGCAAGCCCCCCGGACTACGAAAACAGCTCTATGACTTATGCTATGGCTCTGAGTTAGAACTGAGGAGTTTTCGAGAGAAGTCTCGTCTTCAGCCCCCCGGCGTGACTTCGTTTGGCACTCCCTCGACCCTATCATCGAATGCGGGGAACGGCGTCCGATACACGATTTCGCAAGCGGTGTTGGCTCCTCCTCGCTGCAAACAAGGGAAATATCCGATCCCGAGTATCTGAGACAAAGAGCGTTCCGACTTCGGGGACCTCGAAAGGTTCCGTGACGGACACTTCCGTCAGTAAGGTGACGTGGGTTTGTCAGGAGAGCTCAAACTCTTCTGATCTTCTTAGGTCGCGGCTGACCGATCATCTGAGTCAGGCGAGTAGAGATCGAGGAAACTCACTGAGCTTCGGCCTTAATCTCTCTGGAATGGTAAATCTACCTGTCGGGGAGAAGCAGAACTAGAGCTCCGAGCTCTAGTTCGACGTCCTTCAAGAAGTCTTCGATAGAAATATCTCCGGGACGCAGCTCCCTACAGAACGCAAGGGTATTCCGTCAGCTCTCCAGCGTGTTTCAATCGCTTTCCATTCAATGCCACGCCGCTGGCCCGTCATCGGTGAGCTTTCGGTTCCGACGTATCGCGAATTTCCGGTCCCGAGCCAGTCTCTACTTGTCGCTGTCGCGACCAAGCTCGCGAAGGAATGCTTCTCCGAGGGAGCATTTTCCGTATGAGCTGACTTACCTTGAAACCTTGATCCCACTGATTGGGAGATATCCTCGCATCTGGGAAATACTGCACTTCGAGCGGACCCTTCGGGAGCGTATTAAACGTGGTAGGCTATCTTATCTCGGAAGTACTGACAGCCTCGAACGCGCGAGGAGTCCTTTCTCTCGGAATAAACATTGATGGCTTGGTCGAATCATCATGCTCGATGATTCAAGGGATCTTTGAGCATCCGCTTGCTATTGTTCCGCACTTACGACAGCACGCCGGGAGACGCCCGACATGAGCCGCTGGCAAGTAGAAGCGGACACCGATCTCTTCAGTGTGTGTCCTTGCGATATCTAGCGGAATCAGTCTTGGCTCGCTCCCTACTTCTGCAAGATGAGACTGTTTCAGACTGTTTTCTAACAGCGATCGAAATTATTCGAAACGTCGGGATACGAGCCGAAAAATCTGAACTCTCAGCGGGAGGGATCTGAGTCTCGATCAGACTCTCCATCGATAGAATGAACTTGCTCCGAGGACTCGCTCATATACGAATTTTGTAACGAACTCTAAAATACAAAGTCAGGAGCGAGTTTATGCGCCCCACGAACCCCTTCCCACGGTACTCTTCCAACCACGTGCCGGTGATCAGTGACTCTATTGTGGAGGAGCATCGCAAGATTAACGGGAGAGCTCCATAGGTTAACCTCGGGATGATTGTGAAGGGGAAGCGAGGGCTAGTAGACGTAGCAATAGAATACACTGGACAGCACAATACTATATTTTTGCGTCCCGTGAATATATGAAACCGTGCCCGGACGGATATTACCGGCTGATGAGCTGCACAGAATGCAAATACCGCTGTTTTCTCGAAAAAATCGCAAACGACAAAAGCAGCGGGCAACCCAAGGTCTATGGGTCCCCGAGCCATGGAAGCGTCTCCGGTGACGAAAGAACAAAAAGAGTCGACCGACTTATCTGTTTATGAGGCGCCCCGTCAGGATGCCGGGTGTGCGATTCCCTCACCTCAGGCTCAGGTCAGAGGTCGAGGACAAGGTCGCGACTCGATTGTGGGCTCACCCTAGAATGATTCATCACGTGGTCTTCGTACGGCGCAATTCCGGTGATCGCAATCGAAATGCATCTCGAGCTACAACGGCTTATGGAGCTTTCCGAGTCATGATGAGTGTTCCAGGTGCTCGGCATGTGCTTCGCTGACTGCCCAGTATTGGATCGGCATGAAACTTCATGTGGATGAGCTTCATGTGTTCCTCATTCGAGCTCACGATAATAAGAAGTGGACGGTGCTAATTGCGACATTGGGATCAATATTATCGAAGTGGAGAAAGCGGCCGAATGTGAGTTCGGGTCCTCGACTCCCATAATACTAGGTAGTCTTTCCCTCGGACGCGCCACTAGGTAACGAAGAGTTGAAGCATCAAGAAAGAAGAACTCAACAGCGGTTTTTATTCGGTTTGGAGGTCACACGATATATCACGTCTTCATGGCCTACGTATGCGAAGCCACAAATTGCTTTAAGCATAAATCTCCTCATCTTTTACAGTCTCGCTAACCGATCGGAGTTCTCCTTCCGGGATCCGTCTACAATTTCAACTCGCCCCATTGTCGTTCCATCCGACCTGGTCAAACGATAACTTCAGACCACTTCGAACGTCCACAACAACTGGCGACATTTGTCGTCCCGAATAATTTGTTCTATCATATCATTATCTGTGGCTCCTCAGGCAGGTCCGGTGGAAAACTGAATTTGAAGGCTGATATCTGAGGCCCTAAAGTATGATTCCTAGGAGCGATTAACTCTGGTCCGAGAACCGCCGGCACACCTCCTGCGCGGCTTCATAGCCATAGAAATGAAAGGTCCGGTTAGAGAGAACTCTCTCGGTCTCCCTTCTAAGGGAAGCAACCTGCCTGGGAGTCATTTCTGAGATGAGTTTTCTTTGCCACTTTCGCATAACCCCTCACAATAAATTGGTCACCAAGGAAAGCGAACAACCGCGTTAGATCAGAATAGATCTGAACAGAAACGTCCATCAAATGTAGACCGGTTCTCCCCAGAGGAGGAGGAGGGAAGAGGTTTGATGATGGCAATTTTATAATCAAAAATAGAATTCTCATGTAACATCAGTGGAGAAAAAGCACCGGGAGACGTTCGATGACAACCAGAAGAACCTGCCGAGCAGCTTTGCGTCCCGCGATCTCCGTGAAACTTTCGAAGTAAACATCTATCTGCTCACCGATGTCGCTATCGGCATCGGTGCTCTTCGTCGGGCAACGTTCAGTAGAGAGGGATGACAGACTTTAAACTCGACGGCGACAGAGATCGCCGGAAGTAATAAAAGTGGTATAACAACCATCTTCGCAATTACTATAGACGCAATCAATAATAATCGAGCGTCAGGAAGTAGAATTCAAGCACCTAGAAGAGCGTTCGTTCGTGACTCCCGAAACCACGAAAACGACGGCCCATTTTAAAGCTGATGTTTTCGAAAGTAACCCGCCATGGTATGTAGGTACTCGTCTTTCATTCGGTACTACCGAGGCGAAATCAAGTCTGTGGCCAATGAATTAATCCCAACGTTTGGTTATCCGGTGGGTTCGAGTCGTGGAAAAGACTTGTCCCCCGAGTCTCCTAATCTCTAGAATTCGATATCAAAGCTATACAAGAATTATTACGTAGATCAATTGCCTGAGTTGCTAACGGGTATTACACATCAATGTCTCTCCTCCGTCATGATAATTATCATTTCTGTTTTCGTGATTGATTCCATGATCGGTCCGTCACGTGAAAAACATCATTATTTGTATGTGCAAAAGACACCGTGACACGGCCATGGCTCCTACATTCGTCGCTCGGAGAGGGGCTTGCCCGTTAGCTCGATGTGCTGGTAAAAAATTTCCACCAGACCGCACCAAACCGTGGTGTCGGTAATATTTGCATTATAACGGCTTCTCTCTTTCATGACTTAAGAATTCTGTTCCTCGTACTTTCAGCTGTTTCTCGCTGTCTCACTCTTGACATCATCAAGGTATAAGAATGTTGCTTTGTCGAAGAACTACATAATACATCACTATGCTTCCGCGAGTTGATTCATTCACGGTGTGTAATCAAAACCTTCGGGTAAATAGTTCAGCACCATCACCTCAAGCGTCTCTTGATGAGGTGTATCCTCCCACCAGTATATGCATCATCATCGTTGACGAGGCAAGATTCAAGTATTTCTCTCCAGTAGATACACTCTAATACACGCACGGCAGCGCCGCGCTATGGAAGTACCTCGTACGACTATAGGGATTACTATCGGACTAGGTTTGTTCAGTAGTACTTCCCATGGCAAGTCTGTTTCGTTCCTTGCTGTTGACATCGACTCTTGGCTGTTCACGTTGATTCCATCGACCTCGAAATCGTCGATTTCGGACATTGTCGCTGACATGATCACCGCCGACACCGGCTTGTTCGTGTCCGATGTCGGTGCTCGTCAACATTGGGCTCCGAACACGGTGCTGCTTTGGTTTTTTCGTCTTGTGGTAAGGAGGTTTGAGAACTCCGTTGTCGTTGAGTCCGTTTCACAGCGCGAGAACCGTCTACCTTCGGAGGTTCCCTTTCCGGGACTTCCTCTTGAGAAATGAGCACGCAGCTCGTCCCATGGTGGCAAGCTCGCGCGAACAGACGCGACGAATGCACCGCAAAGACGAGCCGGATGTCTGAGTTACGGACTTCTTATCCACGTAGAGATTTGATGCATAGTGGTGAACATCGCAGAGCCAAGCCATGTGAAGGATTGTGGACAGTTGTGTCTTGACAGTCAGGCGTCGAGTGTACTTAGAGGGAGAAAAGGTGGTGCGTAGGGCTTGGGGCTTTTTCGTCGGTGACAGACCCGACACAGCTCCGGGTCACCGAGTCGTTCTACGGCTAGAGAGGTTTTTAGAAGGCGGGTGGGCTGGGGGCATAGAAACAAGATCAGTCTCTCGACGACCTCGAGAAATTACAGAGCGACCGGAGATTTTTCGCTTCCGTGAGTTGTTGACGATGTCGCTATGTGGACCTTTGGAAGTTCTACTCTGAAGTTGGATTTCTATTTCTCGGGAGACGGAAAAATTTCTATAGTCGACCGTCGACGCTCGGCAGCCGTTCGCGTAAACGGGCGCCATGGATGTTTTGCGGTGACGATCCTGTTTTTTTTTCTATCAACCATTTTGATCAGATAGACGCGGCTCCGGTGACAGCTGAGATTCATTGACGAGAATAATTGGAGTAGATTGTTCCTCGAACTGTTTTTCTCGTGAATCGCTCGATCTAGAAGTTGATATTACTTCTTCGTACATTCATCCGTCGGGCAGCTGCTGAGTGGGTGACGGAGGGAGGGAGGGAGCGAGCGACTTGATCAATTATGGCTCTCGCTTGAAGCCCCTCCGGGAAGCCGAGAAGCCATGCGGTAGGCACGCGACTATCTGAGTTGGTTTAGTATTCAATAAGTTTCCAGTTTTCTTCAGACAGCGGACCGATGACAGCATAATTAAGGAAGAAGCCAAAAGTGAACATTCCGAAGAGCACGGGGAACACTGTACGTGAGAAATAGTCGATAGCTTTCGCAAGCCGCGGTTTTGACGGCATTTGCGTTGAGATCGCTTGCGGTCGTCGAAGCCAGACGAATAACGTGGCCACTGTTCGGAATCGACCAAAACCCCGGTCCTGCTCTTCTGCAGGCGGATCTACGACGAACGTCGTTGTTTCCGTCTTCTGCGTGGACTCGTTACCCTGCAAAGAGAGAAAACGCATTCTTTAGAAGGGGAAGGACCGGGAGCGCATAAGCTAATAGTACGTATCTATCCGGCTGCGGGAGGGTAGCAGGGTTTGAAGACGACGCCATACGCGGGCCGTCCTGCGGCAGCTGTTCGCGGCCATATCCGAATCGGTCGTGGTGTCGATTATTGAGTAGCCAGATTCATGGACCACGGAGCCACAAGGCCAATCGAGTGGTCTACGTCTACGAAGCTGACGAGCCCTTAGCGTGACAACGATCATCGCAACCTGCGCGACGAATCCCTTCGGGGAGATTTTCCGATGGGAAAAAACGATCGAGCTGGGAATCCATCCACAGACACGACGAGTGAATGCGTTCTCGGAATTTCGAAAAGCAAATAGAGCTTTTTCGAGGGATATTTTCTCGACAAATCTAGTGTCCGAGATAGCCACAACAAAGGCCTGGACACAATATTAAGTCCCACTGCCTCCCAATCGCGAGTTGTAGATCATTGATCAGCGCAGACTATGAAGCATGGGTGTTACCGCAGTGGCGCCATTTCAAGGAAGGTCGAAGGTCGCGCTCAAGTGGCCGAGTGACGCCACTCAATAACTTCGACATCTCGCATCAATGGCGCTCGGTGATTCGCCAGAGGCCAGAAGTATGCCTGTCAGCTATAATCTCTAGAAGGATTCCCGCGCTTTCCTGCCGAGGAATCCTGGATCTTCAGCCACCGATACGCTTCCGTCTCCATCTCGGGAACCCGAATGCCCCGAGGGTCGAATATGAAACGCACGTCGGCGTCGTGAACTCGCGAAGCATTTCAGAAATTCAGCTCATTTTCCCGATGAACGATAGCGATAGACTGGATTTTTCCGATTGTTCGCGCTTTCTCCGCGTACACGCGTCAGGCAGATGAAATAAACAGAGACTCGTATTTATTCAATGCTCTCTCGGAAGCGAGGCCGACCACGTCCACGGTCGATTTTTACGTATCAAGAAATCGGATCAACCATTTAGGTGAATGAGAGCGGGGGGGGGGAGAGGAACACGATGATGAGTCGCCAGCATGGTTTGGTTGCTCAGATTGAGACTCGATGCAAGGACCCAGATATTCCCCTCCGCCTCATAGGACTACAGTCGAGTGAAAGCTTTCGGGCCCCTTGAAAGACAATCCGACCCACTTTTGGCTCACGGCCAATCAAGCCTTTTCCCGCTATCTGGAAGTTCTGCAGGAAGAAAAAAGAAAGTGCCCCTTAATGAGAACGACTCGTGTTCCCCAAGGTCATTCGCGAAAGCCTCAAGGTCGTCTTCACCGCCGTGATCCAAGATGAGCTTTCGTCGAGAGCCTGAACCCTGATCCCGAATAGCCTTCATGATATAGCCCCATTTTATAATTCAAAGCTCTGCGTAGTACGGGATCTTGCGAGACCCGTCTCTAGGTAAGCCTAGAAGGACTCTAAAAGTAGACCAAGTACGGCTAGTCTGTTCAATCGACCAGGGGGGAGAGGACATCCTGGGTTTTTGCCGTACAGAGGCACAGGAGGCGCCGGTCGCGTCCCGGGACGCCATAGTTGCGTCGTTCTGGCCAAGTCTCGCTTGATCCGGGAAAAGGTGAGCGTCGACTCTCGCGAAATCGATTACAGTTGTTCGAATTTCCAATGAGTTTGTTTCCCCGGGAGCTTGTTTGCGCAATGATAGGGCGTCGGCCAAATGAAGAGCTCCCCATCAGGATCTTCAGGACGTCAGTGGTTGCTCGACCGGGTGAATTTTTCCCTCGACAACACCCTTCAAGATAAGGGGTATCGCAAGGGAGAAATGGAAGCTTCGTCAATAACTTCTGACAGACCACCTGAATTCGATGTCTAGTTCGACCACATTGAAGAATTTCCGATTCCGCTGAACGATATGCAGAAGCGTCCATCAGACGTAATTCAGCTCGCTAGTCCGGCTGATGGGACGCCTGCTTTCTGACATGTACAATTCATCAATCTCACTTTGGATCCCTGTACAAGATCGCTTCGTAGACTACTTATCAGCCTTGATCAATCGTTTATAGTTTATTAGTTTTGTTCCTCCAAAGCCGGATCCAGGTCGCGTCTACCGCACCGTGCTCCTGGAACGTCCTCGGAGCGGCTCCGGAGCAATTAAGCACTTCGAATGAGGACGGCGGCGTTTTTCTAATCAAGCGACCGACGGCGTCGAGTGAATGAGGCGCCGCTGTTCCGATCCACCATCCTCTCGATGGTGGTCATCGTGGATCAGTAGAACGGTGAGCAGCTGACCGAGGGTGTCATGCCGGATAAAATCGCTGTATGAGACCACTCGGGCGACTCCGAGCGTGAGCTCCGAAAATCGCAACCCCGAACAGCTTGGTCAGCTGATCGATCCCGATCCGGAAAGACGATTCGTTCCTGCTCGTTCGCGCATCGTAGGTAGAGTACAATGCGGCGAGAAGAAGTATTGGATATAAATCGCTGCTCGAGCTCATGAAAGGACAGGAATGAGTGCCTCGCAGCCAACACCCTCAAAAGATTGAAGACTCTTTATGACGTCATGCACAAAAAGAAACACCACTACTATTGCACACAAGCACGGCACAGATAGACGCCACGCTCAATGTAATGGCGTTGTTCTATTCTCGGCGGATGTCGATCTTTTATCGCTATCAAAAATCTGACCCTCGGGACCGCCCTGCGTGATGTTCAAAGTCTCTCGCGGAGACTATGAGCCATTCGGTTCAAGTTGGCCGCTTTCCAAACAATTCTCTCTGATGTCTTTTGAGAACTCCCTCGAAAAACCCATTTCCTGTTGAGAACTTGACGTCTTCCCAATCTCATTGACAGACCTGGAGCGCTAACCTTCTCGAAAGCCTCGACACTTTATCCCGGCGCGCGACTCCGTTTCCCTGTCCGTCCGTCGTGCCGCCCCTACCCGTCACAATCCGGATTCCCGAGCGGCGTTTGCGGGGGTCAGAATAATAAGGGTATTCGACGCTACGGACCAGGAAAATTGTATGGAGGCGAACTCACCTTAACATAGACATTGTGTTTATTGTTCTGTTGAAGGAGTGGCGTCGCTTGCGGATGGTTTTTCGAAGCCACCGAAGATGCGTAACTGAATCTTCTGTGACGGGAATGCTGGCCCAAGTTACGGTACAGATAGTTCACGATCACGAATTCCAGCATGGACGCGTAGATGAAAAACATGCATACCTGGAAGGCGAAGCAGAAAATTACTTCCTATTCGAATCGTGGTGGGTGTTCGCCCTCTTTATTCGTGAAGGTTCATGCCGAAAAGTTCTCCGGGACGCTCTGCAGGCAGATCTGGTCCGCCATCATTCGTTTCCGAGGGAGTGACGGGCGTTACTCGCTCAATCCAGACAACGGACTCTTGATGGAAGCAGAGATTGCTGAGCCGGTCGAGCACTTTCGCTAAAAGAGAAGCTCCTAATTGCATTCTCACATAACAAACTCCTTATGTTCCCGATGTGCGAATATTCCCGATGGACTTCAGGTGGACTCGCCACATGAGAGTGGCGAGAGGAAACCTTCGTTGCATCGATGACGGGAGCCTCTCGAGCGTGCTTATGCGAATCGACAATACTCTCTCGCTTTGTTGTTTTGGCCCGTGCAGGCCTCGCCTTCCGATCAAACAACCGACCGGTCGAGCGACCGTCGGAGAATTCGACAGACAGCTCTGCCTCTATTTTTTGATGAACGGCCTCGACCGATCATTTACTCATTTCGAACGATACGACGGCCACTCGACCTCGAAAGTAGCGAGACCGATTCATACGAAAGTTTTGAATGATGGAAGTCTCGTCTAATTTTTGCTCTCGTGAACGACATTGACATGTGTAGGCGATTCCGGAACTTTTCCACGACCACTGCAATAAATCGATTGCTTTCGCTCGGGCACCACCGGTCCTCGATGTCACCGAGCGACGGCAGCAGGGACCATACCGCCGTGTGAGATAGGTAAACTCAGCCGGTACGCAACGCTGCTCCCGGCTTCGATAAACAGCGGAAGCGGGTTATCATCGAATCGGAGTCTGGCTTGCCCGGAATGAAGGCTGGGAAATATCGCGGGGAACTGCTCAGCAGATGAAACTCGTACTCGCCGTCGTGAAACTCTTGCTCGGTGCTCCGACCCAGATACGTCACTGTCGTGATCGGATGACATAGGGACGCTACTTCCAAGCAGGACGTTCAGCGCGAGCCGTGATGGTTTCAGGCCGGGGATCATTTTCAAAATCAAACCCGGGTCGATCGAGGCGATTTATTATTCACCGCATATTCGAAAGTGATCCCCATAACCCTATCTGCAAACCTGAACAGTCGATCTGGTCGCAAGGGTAATTGATGTACTGGTTCAGCAGATCACAACAGCGCCCGCTGACCGCAGTTCCTCTGCTGCGACTGAGAGGCCATCTGACTTCTCCGCCAATGCCGAGGACAGAAACGATCGAGTCAGATAGGAGCCGGCAGGCTCTGTTCTGCTTCTTCTACGGATGTCGAGCAAGGTGGAAAATCTTCGAATCGGAATCACTATGTGGTTGATGGCGGACGCCTTGACCGAGAGCGCGGCCTTGACTCCACCCACATCATGAAGCCTGAGCTACTGTCCACTCACGCTTCGAAACGATCTAAGTCTCTCGATGGCTCTTCTCGATGGGCTAGTCACAACTCTCAATACGCTCTATTTCCGAAGAGACTTCCCCGAGCTCTCAGACGACATGCGCTCGATGCCGCGCCGCTTACAAGGACACGATCTGCGTGCAGTGCACGTTTGCTGCTCATAAATCCTCACTTGTCATCACTATCCCATAGCGGACCTTGATTCACTCGCCTCCAGACATCTGGGAACTTCGCCTCGAAAGATGGTTCGAAGCGAGGCAGCGATTCCGCTAGGACGCGTCATCTCTTTCGCAAGCAATTCGGCGGTTCGGAGCCAACGAAAAAAAACAATGGGGGTCTCGACAGGATGGAGAAGAAACACATATAAGACGGCTTCCCGATTGAACTCCGGAGCGAGGTTTTCGAGGGGAATCATCGGTCACAAGGAAGCTTGCGAGAGGGAGCGAGGAATTCGAAAAATCTGGCACGATCGAGTCCCGGTGCTTTTTGTTGGGCGTAAATGATCAGACAAACGAAAAATCGAGATCGACGCGGAGGCCGTGAGATATCACTTGAGATGAAGAAGAAGGATTTACTTACGCCGTCCCACAAATTCATCGCTGTCAGGTTCGATACGACCGGAAGAGTTGAACGGAATGAGTTGGTTGTTGTACAAAAATTCAACATGGTCGTTACTCCGATCATTACCTGGAAGACGAAGCGATCGCGCATTAAAAACTTTCCCCTACTCTTCATTTGGATTCTCTTCTCTGTCACATTGCGGGATCCCGCGGCCGTCCCTGGAATTTTGATCTTGGTACTGCAAATCAGGCTGGTTGAGCGTTTTTAACCGTTAAATCCGGTAGGACGCCCGGAACACCGTTCATGTGTCCGCCCGCTCGCATCCCCGTCTATCTGTAGACTCAGTTGCGTTTCATCGATCTACTTTCTAATAATAACCCTCCCTGCATCTCTATTCTGGGATACTGAGTCGTTCTAGGAGAATCGTGTTTACGTTTGAAGACGTTCCCTTGACAGCTCCGCACGAATTTCTATCGCACGTTCCACATCGTCGTGATACTTTGCTGCACTGCGAAGCTTTGACCTGGTGGAAACTTGACGCGGTTGTCCATCAGGAGGAAGGAGAACGTCCGTAGGATCCGCTCGAAACGAACGCATATTGGAACTCGCACGGTGAGATCGCTGTTTATCCGCAGTATTTTCCGATTAATCATTGATCACCAGACTGCGGTTAAGAAGGCGGCTCGCGAAAAGATCTATGATCGAAACAGGAGCCCATCCTGTCTGCCAAACTGTGACCAGCCAAGCGATTCTCCAAGGAACTGGGGAAATGCTCTTTCCCGATGATAAGATCACTCGGCTGGCTCTCATCGGTCCACAGTGTTCCCATCAAACGTCCGTCTGCTCAGCAGCAGGGTCTGTTTCCTCCGTTCTCCTTCATGCAGGTTCCGTCTATTCCCTATCTCGAGCTCTCTCGTCGTTTCCCGACCCTCAAGCCCCCAGCCCTCTTGAGCGTCGCGCGAGTTCTCCTGGTCGAAAAATCTACGGATTACGTGCATCGTCGTCCCTATCGCACTAAACTCCTCGAGAAACGCTCACGTCTGCGAGAGGCATCACGCAAGAGCCGTCAAACCGTTGCAGTGCGGAGATGGTCGAGCTCGAACGAGACCGGCTCCCAATAATAATGGGTTCGACGGAATTGAAGTCGATCCAATCGCGTGAAGCCTGCGGCCATAACTACATATATGCCAGCTATCTAAATATAGTCCTTCGCTAGTTTTACGGCTCAACTTACCCGGGCGGGAACGGCGTTGATATCGAGCCAAAACGAGATGAATGAAGAGGTCACAAGAACGATGCCTGGTACGAACACCGTTGAAATGTAGAACGACTTGTCTCTCGTGAATACGAGTAAGACTCGCAGACATGAATAGTTCCCTCGCCACGTGTGCCTCTTGTCGCAATAGCCCGTTTCGTTTTTGGCGAGATACGCATTCAGGGCCCGGAGTGAGGAGGCCCTCGTTATATTCTCCTCTTCCTGGGACCAGTCAATCTGAAAAAAATCGACAGACACTTACTTAGGCGTTAATACGCGCTCGTTTACCACGGACCGGAGAGCGAGCCAAACTTCAGCATTCTCTCCGTCGTGTCCGAAGCAATCATCGAATCCGTCGGGTAAACTTTTCCAGCTCTGCGTTTCTTGTGCGAAACTTGTTCATTCGGGGAGAGGAACACGACGCCGACGTTGTCGACGTACGGCCGACCACCTTGGGATAGCAACTTCGTCAAACTCGAATGTACGTTTGGTGGTATGGCATCAGGACTCTGGCTGCGGCGTTGGAGGCAGCGCTCGCGGCGGATTGGGGTGCAGTTGGAGAAGCAGCTGGCTGTGCGGCGCGCTCTTCCTGCGTCGCAATCATCATCGTTGTAGTCATCGTCGCTGTCATCATCATACGGAGGGATTTATGCGCACACGCACGCAGGCGGAAGAACTGAGTGAGGGAAACCACTTTCTTCGCTCCAAGGTGACCGACGGAGCCCAAAGAAACGTGATTCCGAAAGGGGCAGCCATCAAAACAACGGCTGCGTTTTATTCTAATTGGTCGTAAACTTCCCGGTCTTCGCTCTCTGATGTGCAGGATGACAGGCGGTGCTGATGAGACGAATCGGGCAATGACAGCCTTATTGCCATGATTGAGGACCCGCATCGATGAATGTGGGCAAATACGCAGGGCTCAAACATCCGAGTTGGAACTCTCGGCCTGGTGCTCGGTGGATCCGTTGGAGGTCGCATCGGGTTCCGAGCTCGAGACAAGCTCTCGGCAGCAACGGAAAATGGGGTCCGGAGAACGACAAGGAGCGGACGACGCCGACGTCGTGAGGATTCTCCCGGATTTCCCGAGCAGGCCAATCGCCTCGGGGAGAAACGGAAAAGCCGTGCAACCCCTCAAAGGACGGGGAGTCGCGCACTGGGTCTCTCGTCACGTGAGGGAACTCCCGAAGCCATTCGACGGAGAGTGAATTTCCCGGTACTTGCGGAGGTGGTAATTTGGTGAAGATGAAGCTCTCGTGACTTCTGAGTCGCCCACTCAGAACGCCGGCCGCGAGCTTTGATGGTTGTGAAGACTCTTAGAATGGTGGGTGACCGTCTAACGGTCCAGCCATGGATGAGCCGATAGTTCGCCATCGAGACGTACTATCGGTCCCCGAAGGGAGATACGAGCTTGACTCCGAATCCTCTCCTATTTCGTACGTACGCTCGATCCGAGAGAGGATCAATCGGGATCGGGTTAAGAGAAAATTGAAGCACTCACCTTGAGCTGGCTCTCCTCGTACGACATCGACTCGACGGCGAATGGGCACTTCGGATTGTCGAACGGGAATATTTGTAGGTTTCCCTGACAGACCAGGGTCATGTGCCTTCGCATTGTATAGACAACCGTGCCGTTGGGATAAAGACGGAGGCTCATATGAACCGGATTGAGTGGAGTCTTAAACTCCCCTGTCGGCATAGAGAAAAGAGGAATACGATAAGCACCACCGAGAGAGATTCTCAGAGGTCTCCATGCCCATAAGCTCGTGCAACACTTGGCAGACATACGCTTTTCAACTATCGTGGGCGCAAGAGAGACGGAGAGAGAGGGACTGACATGTTGACAGAGCGAGAGAGAGGGAAAGAGTATCAGAGAGATAGAGAGCAATAGCGAATACGTTAGGTAGGAAACTCGATAACCCTTATCTCAGAGCTAGCTCAGGCCTGCATCGTGGTGGATGCTCAAACGGCTCGCGCCGACTTGGCAGAGCGTTCCGATAGACGTAGATTTTGTCGTCGATGTCCAATAATCATCAATGATATACTCATTGAAATAGAAGGATTTTCGACGTCCAGTCGATCAAGGAAACAGAGCTTCATCTGAGAAGCACTTTTCCCTCGCCGAGAGCTTCGCTCGACAAACGAAGTCGGCGACGTGCTCGTTCTCGTAGAGTCAGGTTCAGTTTCTCAGAGACAGATATCTTGCCAAATGGCTCATCGATTGTCGAAAACTATTAGACACGGCCTCGTTGGGGCTCGAACTCCTGTCTGAGACTTGAATTCGCTAGAAGCCTCCTGTTGCCAGCCTCGTGCACCGCAGCCTCCAGAACGACGGTCACGGGCACGCAATGGCTCTGCTGATGAGACGTAGGGGATGGTATCGATTGGCGGACCTCCATGTTTTTAAGTTTCAAATGTTCCGAGGCGGAGAAGCTCTTTCAACCTGATTCCAAGATGCTTTCGACGAAGATCTCAATAGAACCGGTCCGAAGGCGCATCGGTAGACACTCATGCTCCAGCGGTGATCAACTTGAAACATATCGCTAACGGCGTGCTCGCGGAGGGCTGTGCGGCAGACTGTGGTGGGTGGAACTAAGACCAAGACGATGCTCTCTCACGTTCACTCACACACCGAAATTTCGATTGCATCAAAAGTAATAGGACTGACAACATCGAATCTAACAGCGAAAACCACAATGATTGCTTTAGGGAACCTCAACAGCATTGATAGAGACGGGATCACGAGTACGTTCACGACCTGAGACGTTCGTGGAAACGGAGGCACAGTCCGAGGACAAGTTCGAGAGAGAAAAGAGCGAGAGAGCTTGACAGCAATCAATCACAATCGGGATATCGAGTTTCCAACCTAATAGTTGGCGAAGTGTATCGCGAATCAGTGTCTAGGTAACTCGCCTTGACCACAATACTCGGTGCACTCCTCGTGCTCCATAGTTTCATCTTCGAGACCTAAACAGACAATTTCAAGAGCTTCTTAGACTCCTCATACACACTGACCGGATGAATGACCGAGTGAGAGCAAAAGCGCCCCTCCTGCCTGCCAAGTACCGTGCCAAGGCGAAAGGCCAAGCCCGTACATAGCTATTAACTACTCTTCGTTTTTTCTGTGTTCAATCATCTGTTCGTGTTTGCGTCTGCTCGAGTGCGTTCGCTTGTCTGTTGGACGGAGCGTCCGTTGGTGAGTCCATACGTTTGCTTGTTTGTTTTGGGTTTGGGATCTCTTTCTGAATGCTGCGGGAAACCAACAACCGAACGGGGATTCTCGAACGGGAAACGAAGAGTAGATGGAAGAAACAACAAGACCAACAACATCAACAAGAGAGTGTGAACAACGGCAGCGGTGGTGTTTCCTACAGCAGCTGTTCCTGATGGGGTCCTTCGCCGTGGATACTCACCGTGCTTGATGAAGTAAATGTCAGGCTTCCAAATTTTCCCTTCGTGTAGAAGGCCATTCAGGTGCGAATAATTCGAGCTGGTTTCGTGATACGCCAGACGCTGATCGATCCATTTTTGAATCAGCAAAAACTCGATCTCGTATTTCTGAAATTCACGCAATGCACGTTCCAGTCAAAAGTCTGTCCTCGAAGGTCCCGTAGATCTTCGGTCTCTCGACTCCGGGATATCTCTCTCCTGGAGCTCGAATTCCCCCGGGCCGAGCCCTCGACCGTTCATCATCATAAAATGTCAGAGTTCTTCATTTCTGCTGTCGGAATCCATTTGTTGGCGTCGACGAATGCCGACTCGGATAATGAGACAGCGAATGGATTTTTAAGCCGCAGGTCTGGTGAGCCTGCCAAGCTGACATTTTCCAAGTCACTGGTGAGTGAGAGCCATATTTTCAAAACGCAAAGCTAGAACCCGTCCGCTCGACCGGTGACGTTGGAATCGACGCCCTCCCTTCGTTTCGTGCTAAACTCACCAAACTGGATTCGTCCGGAGACGACATGCTGAGCAACAAGACGCTGACATTCACCTTGGTGCATTCTGAAAGAAAGGAGACCCAGATTGACTGAGCGACCAAGCTTCACGCCGCCCCCAGTAGGGAGAGTTCCACCCCACCGACTGAGATTGAGGAGTTCAGCGGAGGCAAATCACGGACCCCACGACCGTCGAGAATACGGTTCAAGGTCCTACGAGCGAGCCAGCCAGCGAGCGATCGCGAATCGATACAGTTTGCGTTTCCGTACTCGGATTCCTCGCAGAATAGCTACTCGACAGCCTGAATTCTCGGGTTGCGAGAGAGGGAATCTATCTTCCGTTCCTCCCTGTCAGAATTGGCGAGGCATCTCACTCAAATTCGGACAGAATTCGATAGAGAATTCGGAACAAAAAACATCGACGTGACCGAGAGGAAACATTTGCGGAAAAATGGATGGCGGACGAAAACAGGACACGCTCCACGCAGGATGTGACGGGTGGAAAAGAATCGGGGAGTGGCTCTGAAACCACGGAGCGCCGACAGATCCGCCGAGAGGTGGATGTTTAGGCCGAGAGCTCGAGTGTTTGCAGTTGTTCTTATCAGCAGAGAGCTGAGAAGGAAGGAAAACGTTTTCCTCGTATCCGACGTGCTCGGCATACATTCACTCGCGTCGGTGTCTCTTATGCAGCTTACTCGAAAAGATTGACCCGAGCCCACACTTCTACCTCGGATTCTCGCCTTCCGCCGTGAATACGAGGAAAAATCTTCCAGAGGTCGAGAATGAAGTCTTGAAATGACTCACCCGGGTGCTGCAACGCCCCGCGAAAAAAATATCGTCCTCGTGGGTTCCGGGAATATTTGTGATTTGCACCTCTGAGACCATATCGGGTGACCTCGAAAAACGGAGATCCCTCCCTCCGCAAGCTTCGAGACCGACAGAGCTCTGATGTATTCGAGCGGTTTCCGAAATGAGGAAAATATCGAGTCGCTGCGCCCTGCCTTCATCGATTGTCGCGTTTCTCAGGTTTTCTGGTCCTGTCACAACCACCGTTCCCAGAGCCTACCGAACAGACGACATCTCGATCAGATCTGATTCCTCGAAGAGGTGTGCAGGGCTGCGGGGAGGCTCTACTAGAGAGGAATTACCTGACAATGGCAAAAAAAAATCTGCCCTCTAATCCGCCATGAGTGCGCTCAGCCGATTAATTCGATGAATTATGCGAACGAGTCACGTATTGTGGCACTTCAACACTGGGAGTCGATTTTATCGGAAAAAGTCTGACGATCCCGGAGACGGTCTATGGACAGCGTTCCAGATTGATCGCTTGATTACATCTCGTCGGGCCTTAGTGCCCTCCTAGAGCGAGATACTGGTACATATTCCGATGCTCCTGGCACTGTTTTCCGGGATCGTATCACGACGGTTGAGCTCTCACTCAGTGATCGAGCGTCTACGCCGGCCTCGAGTCGTGATGGAAGTGCAAACAAATTGAGTAGAGTTTGATCGCAGAGCGCCATGGTCGAGAGGGAAACCTCCGCGCCCGTTCCGGAGCCCGTTCGCTCTGAGGACCAAGTCGAATGGAACGTCTCGGAGCGAGTCATTAGATTCGAGAGTTGCCCGAACAACAGGAATGAGCGGCACAATAATTGATCAGCTCTCATAATGCAACATGCCCGAGCCTCGTATACGGTCGTCGTCGTCATCAATGCGAATGGCTGGTGGTCTGTCGTCCAGAGATCGATCGTTCCAAAGGAGCTCGGCGAATTCCGCGACCTCGAGGACCCGCACTGCGAAAGGCTCGGGACGACAACTGCGGCCATTTTTGAGAGCGTGCGAGAATCTTGCGCTCAACTGTGGCTGACAGATTGGGCAACTCGCCGACAGCGAATTTCACATTCGGATCCATTATCTCGATACGCTACTCGAAGGAACCGCTCGTACTGAAGGTGACCACCGATGTTCCGTCGGCGATCAGCGTCGTCGAGAGCGTGCTCCGCAACACGCGTGTACAGGTAGGCGAGAGTTTTCGAACGGTGTTTTCGGTCGTGGCATTTCGAACAATGTGTCGGCCAAGCTATTTCAGGGAGACTAAAGTGCCTGCTCCTGGTGATAATCTTCAGGCTCACAGCTGACACAAAACCCCATGCAGTCTCGCCGGGTGTTTGCTGAGGGATGAGATGAGCAGCCAAGGGACCGAGGAAATGTACAGAGGGCCCGCTGCATTCGCGGCGGTGCGCAGCTCCGTATGTCGGGATCGCTTGATTGCGCTCGTTTCTCCAACAATGTTTGGCTTGATCCGAGTTTCTGTTGCCGCAGGCCTTCGCATTGCCGATTCTGCCGACCAGCCCCCCGAGCAATCGGTCTCAACCATGATGGAACAGAGACGTATCGACAGAAAACTCGAAAAAGCGCTAGATGGAGGCCGGCAACCCGGAACTAGAAACCGCTCGCAGAAAAAGGAGGCAATCAGACGGTAATTTTCTGACGCTGCGAGGAAGGAAACAGAGTTTTGCTCGAAGAATCTGAGGAGCAACTAGTGCCAGAGTCCTCAGAGGAAGAGCCCATGGATGCAACAGAGAGCTCCCTCAAAACCTCAACGATTAGCAGGCGAGCTCAACGCAGAAGGCTTCGGACTGCAATAGTCCTCTCTCATTATTTCTTCACCCCTTCTTGGCAGTGTATAAATTTCGCTCGAGTAGTCTTTGATAATGATATCACACGGCATCTCGTTTGCATATATGCAGATTGCGAGCGGTTCTCGGCAGCAAAAGCTGGTGGTCAACACTTGGTTGTTCCTCCGTTCGCCCATCGGCCCGGTTTAATTATGGACACCGCACGTGGGGAGGGAGCCAGCGGGAGAGAGCAACGGAAAGTTTCATATCATGCAAATTTTATGCACTCACTTCACGGTACCGAAAAAATATACGTCCGGCTCTCACAGCTGCCGTACATCACCGGCGAGCTTTAATTGGCTCAGCGGCTTGGAGAGTCCTGCGACCGCCTCAAGCGCCCGCCGTCGAGAACGAAGGCCGTCAGGCTTGTCAAGGCGGCAGTTTTCATCGCTCAGCACAATGGAATATTCTTCCTGATTCTCGAAACCTTGACCCGACTAGAGAAAAAGTGCAGAGCAGTCTTCTAGCTCTCGGGAACATCGCTCCATCGAGCCGCCGCTCGTAACGAGATATTCCCTTGACGTCGGACCTGCTGCGAGAAAACCCTGTCGAGATCCCCGCACTCACCTTCGGGTCTGTTCCGGTAGTCGTATCTGCTGTTGTTAACGAGATAATCCAGGATCTGCTTATCTGTGTAGTTCATAAACTGATGGGCGATCTGACTCCACGGATCCGGGGGTCGGGCCTCTACACCAGCCACAAGGACGCTGAAAGCCGCGAACGCAGCCACGGTGGCCAAGGTGAATGTTCTAGGTAACTTCGTTCTCCGCTCCGATGGCGTAGCTTGATCATTTTGGAAAACTGGAAGTTTATTGTCCGTTCGGGTTGTTCCTGACCGACGCTCACCGCTGCCGTCGTCTTCCGTGTCGCCGTAATCCTCGCCGTAATTTATGTACTTATGATGCACGTCGGATACGTCTTGCAACATTTCTGGAGGTTTTCGACGGCGCAGCGGTTGACGTTGAAGCTTTACAGACTACTGGGATTGGAGTTTTTGTCGTCGTTGTAGATTTTTCTCTCCGCTTCCTGGGTGTTGAGGGTCTGGGCTGAATGCTACACGGTAAGGCGTGGGGGTTGTTGATTGTATTTCGCTTGCGGAAAAAACTGGTCCTCGATCAAAGTCGCGGCGCGATATCGTGGTATGCGCTGAGCAGGCTTCTTCTTTCACTCTCTCTCTTTGGGACTAAAATCGGTGTCAAAATTATTTCCTAATCTGCTAGGATTCACAACGCTTGACGTGACTTTGATATACGGATGGTGTCGCTTGCTTCCTCGCTGTTTGCTTGCTGCCTCCTCGTTTTTGCTTTGCACGATTGCTCGTCTCGGTTTGCTTTCTCGGTCACTTTTCCTGCTTCGAGTGGTTTTTCGTGGCTTTCTCGTTGGAGGATCCGACGCGTGGGTGGTCGTGCAGGGTGTTTGTAGCACGCATAAATCCTTTATCTGGTGCAGTCGTCACTAGTAATCATGCACAAGTGCCCGAAACGGCTGCAGCGACACCATCACATTATCTCCCCGCGAGCGCGGCGTTTCCGAGCGCGCGCGCGCTCGTCACGGTTTCACTATTGAATTATTTGGTGGTTCACGCACGCACGCACTTTGGTCTCTCGGTCGCTGCGATCAGCCGGAAACCTCTTGTCCGGAATCGTCCCACATGCCACGGGGTTGAGGCTCGCAATCGCGATCGAACACTATGTAAACTATCGGAATCGACGAGTAACTGAACGACTAAACGATTAGAAAGCCGCGACGCTACGCTTAACAGCGTGCGCGCAACCGCGCTGAAGCTTGCATCACGTTCGAATGTCGGGCGCTCTGTTGGTGCGGCGCCTGTTGGAGAAACGCAGGAACCATAGCACCGAGTCGGAAAGGACAGGCCCGCGCATGCGCGGCACGTGAGTTCGCAGCTTCAGACAGACCTCAAAGGAGAAGTGAGGTCGTCTGGAAAGGGCCCGAGCCCTCACTCCGACCGGCTCTAAGGGCCCTTACGAGAGCCCGCTGCCAGAGGAGGTCCGTTCATGAAAACAACGCAAAAAAGATGGACGGAACATATGCGGGAATTCCTTCGAACTGATTCGAAAAGCAGAGACATCCACATTGATCCTGAATATTTCCCTCGTCCCCCTTCCGCGAGCAGACCCTCAGATGCGGATTTGGGCCTCGATTTCTTGACGAAAACCTCGATGCGTCGACGTTCGCTGGTATTCCAAGGAGCTCCTGATTGAGTTCGCCCATCTTGATGGGAGTCACCTGAACTCTTTGCGGAAACCCGCTGAATATGAGCGGACTCAACGCATCAGCTGATCGAGCGAGAGGTCGATGCAGCTGACGCTGGGAATCAAGGAGCTCTAGAGCTCACAGGCGACGGAACCCCCTGATCCCTTGAAAGTTCCAGGCCACAGAATGCTCGGATCCTCTCAGAAGTCCGAAATTGGTCCGGATTTTCGAGTGGTCTTCGGAACGTACGCAAATCTATCTCCGTTGTGTGAGTCACGTCCTTCCGAATCGCGTCCTTGCGATACGCGGATTTTTTTGTTATTGCGTCCGATCGATCGATGGATCGATCAATGGATACTACCACGTAGGCGATTTGCCGGTATTCGTTCTTACTCCCTCGACTGTGTAGTTCGGTCAGGAACCACGACACGGTCGAACGAAATTCCATCATTGTGAATTTTCGAATTTAAAGTGCTCGTTCGTCGCCGAATGGTGTAACGCCCTCTTGAATAGCTCGGGAGGCTCGTTGAAGAAAACGGCCCGGAAGCTCATCGTCCGGAGTAGGATGAAAGCGCTGACTGAACGAGGGTGCGTGCGGTCGCCTCAAAACCTCTCGCCGGGACGTTGCCGCGAGCCCGAGTTCATTGAACTGGAAGCCATAAACGCTGGAAGTTTCCGAGACCCCATCGCGATGAGGAAGCCTTCCAAGATCAAGCTCCGCCGGAGAACATCTTACCCTCCCGCCAGATCTCTCCCCGCGACTTGATTCCCGTGCTCTGCTCTTCCGGCTCTGCCTCATTCCCTGAGCCTTCTGGGTGAACTTACCAAATCTACGCCGAAAATGCGGTGCGCGCACGTCAGTCCTACATTAGGCTTGGGGCTGTCTAGATATCGTGTTCTCGGCCAGTTTTCCGCGAGACCGCTCGCTCGCTTGCGTCTCTGACCGGGAAGCCGGGGAACCGAATGCCCGAAAATAGAGATGGAAAACCTCATCTGTGGAATCTGCCATTCTCGTTTGGAGCTCTAATCTAAGCAAAGTGGGTTCCGCTTTTTCGGAGCCGCTTCCCGCGGGAAATAAATAAGATCGTGAACCACTCCATTAAATTCAGGTACTCTCTACCTCGAAACTCTTAAAATAGATCGAACCTGCTAAGAACGCCTACGAATAAACTAAGTCTCACGCCACGTCGCTCGACACAGGGCAACGCACAGAACGATTCAGACCATCGATACCTGTATCCGCCGCTCCAGAATAAACATGCCCGTTCGAATAATAATTCCGGAATGGCGTGCGCGGAACGTTCGACACCTGCATCCGCAGACGTCTAAACAGTCGACAGCAGCTTCCCAGCGCTCCGATCGGAGGCAGTTTAGAGGCCCGAACACCGGACTGTCCCGACCGGGTCCTACTCTACGCGCGCCTAATTGAGCGTTTCCGAAGCCCGGGAACTCTTTGCCCCGATCGATCCGCGACCCTGTTGCGGGTCGCGGCGCGCCTCGGCGAACGCTCAGGCCTTAGACACCTGCGGATTCCGTCGTCGATCCGTCCTTCGGGAATCTCGGCTGTGCATGCGAAAAAAAGGTTTTTCCAGAGAGGGACCTTTCGTGAAGCTCGAGGAATATTGTGCGGGACGCTTCGACTTCGCCGATCCATTCATCGTAGATGAAAACAAGGCTTCGCGTGCCGGTAAATGCTTTCTGATAAGGTATTCCGTCCCTCGAATGGGAGCTTGCGGTCGGGCGCGATAGCGGCAGGTCAGTGCACGAAGGGCGCGGTTGGCTGTGTCACGAAGGCTGGGAACGTCTCCAGATTGTCCCGTTCCTCCGGCGCAAAAAAGCGAGGGAAGATCAAATCTGCCATTCTGAGTCTCCAAGCCGCGATACCGCATCTGATGATAACGGATGAATATTTTCTCTGCGCACGACGATGGGAGACGTACAACAACAAGGTACAAGAATAATATTATTCGACGTAACCGAGACGCTCGGCGAGAGACGCGCCGCCAGCGCAGCTCGAACTCAGTCTGTCCAAGACTATCATTCAGCACGGCGCCGGGTGCCCGCGAGCTCAAACCGGGGGATTCCTCAAGCATCCGATTTGTAGGCTCCTAGGCTGAAGCTCGAAAATGCGATTGAAATAATTGCACGCGTCGATACTCAGACAGCTGTTCGATAATTGCACATGCATAAGTGCTTCTTGCACACTTCTTCGGCGGTAATCTCGCATCACTCGAGGCTCGCAATGCTTGCGGCAAGAAAAAAAATCGGGTATGGACGGCGACTGGGAACGCCCTCGTGAGCAACAGTTCGGAATAGTAAAATTGTATCCTATTCGGAGGGTAAACGTTTTGCATCCCGTTTAGCAGGCTGTCGGGAACAATCGAGAGTAGCGGAAGCCGCAATAGTTTCAGTGGCTCTGCCCCTCTCGTCGCGATGCCTCGTTCGGAAATTCAAGGTCACCACTACGAATTGTGCTTTCTCCTCAAAACTGAGGAATATATTCAGTATAGGGGATCGATATCTGCATCTTCAGAAGCAGGGATGGACGTGGGCCAATTTCGATCTACCGCAGTGCTCTTCCTCGTTTCGGGATTTCCGGTCCGAGGCATCGCCGTGGAATCCGAGGGATACGGGGTTGCATTGGCAACCAAATCGTTCGCCTGTTCAGCCACGGTTCGACTGATCGAGCGTTTGCCAATGCTGACCAATCGGCCGGTTGCCCGCCAGCAACCGGAGCATCATTCTCTTGGAGCTATCATTGTCTGCTGAAACTAGGAGGCCATTGAAAACCGATGGAGCAAATCCATTCGCAGCTGAGCTAACATTTTGCTGTTCGATCGCAAGCGCTCAACTTCTGCCCGCAGAGCAAGGAGCCTTCGTTTCTCTCGACTCTGCTCCCACGCGCCGCCTTCTGCTGCCGGCTCTGAATACCGAAACCCTTTGAGATTCGTACGCGGATCGACTTCCGAGCTCCTCCACCGGCTCCGTCCTCCTGGGAGTTCGAAATCGGTGATCATCGGTCGTGGTAGAGGAAGTATTTTGTGAGTGCCTGTCATGAGAACAGTTTGTGCTGTGTCTGTGTTCGTCATCTCGTTATTCCGCTGCGACGCCGAGGATCCGAATTTCATGGAGCAAGTCATGCCGGATGTTTGCAGTTAGTTGACAGAAGTTCTTTCCTAATAATTGCTCTCTTATAATGCTGGAAGAAATTGTGAAGAGGGGTGCTGAAGAGTCGGATCCATTGGCTGAATTCCGAGGATCGCTCGCGTTATCAGCATGGGCGCCTTCTCACGAAAGCGGAGAGTAATGGTGATCCATGGGAGGAACTCGATAGGAGGAAATCGGAGACCTGGACGATATTGTTTTTCTTGGGAGCCCATCAGCACTGAGGGTTCTCGGACGAAAGCGAACTCGCGATGCTCAGGGAATCGACGAGTCTTCCACGGAGCGCTATTATCTCTTATGCAATAATTGCAGAAACCAGCCAAAACTTCACCGAGCGGATTTGGCATCTAGCGTGCATAGAGCATCTCATGGGATATTATGTAAGTAGTAATGTTCCGTCCCCTCGCATCAGCCCGACGTATTCTGCTATATCCGTCGGCCCACTCTCCGCCGACACCGAGCTCGACATGCATAATTCCGCGAGTAGCACGACTACCGACCTTCACCTTCAAGCTGTCGACGGTAGACGGTTCCAATATCGCGCCTCTGTCTCTATGACGGAAGCGCGTCGATTTATCAGTACGCACATCGAAATGTAATTCAAAACGCGATCTCCGAGCCGTCCATTGATCGTTTATTGTTCAGTGTTGACTCACCTTGGGGTCACGGGATCCACATTCATTCGTAAGCGCGTCTCCATATTTATCGACCCCCCGACGAAACATTTTCCGAGCCGTATGCCCCCCATGACATCCACTATTCTCTTGCGGGCCTCTCCTCAAATCTCGGGGGACCGTCTGAGGTAGTGGCCGAAAGTACTTAGAGCAATCATCAACTGAGGTGCGTCGCGGAGCGGCGGCAGTCGATTGCGACGACATTTTCTGCCGGACGCCGGATAGAGGGAGCAGAGTTCCGGAGAAGCGTGCCCCAACGGAAGTCTCTCAGCCCCTCCACCGAGGGTTGTTCTTCTTTTTTAGCCTGATCAAGCTTGAATCGTATGCGATTCTCCCTCTCCCCACTCCCCTCACTCCGTCAGATCTTTACTGTGATGGCTGGGATGCCGGTGTAACCTCACCGAGCGTGATTCGTCTGACGGAAGTAGTCACTCAGTAGTCAATGACTCGGAAGGTTCGCCTCGCGGTTGAGCCTACAGACGATCCGGAATTACTGGACTCTGCCGCGATCCCAAGCAAGTATATCGACCGATTAACGAACCGAGTGAATGAGCGAGCGAGCGGGCCGCCGATCGGGAAACCGAGCGCTTAGTGTATTACTTGGAGGAGATCTTCTTTCGATTCCGCTTCGTCTGCACAGAGCAATGAAGCCGCGCGGATACTGCGTTTTGCTTCGATCCTACGCATCTCCCGATATTTCATTCATATCTCGCTCTGAGCGTCACGAGGACCGTACTCGTCCCCCGTCCCGACCTGCTACCCGCGTCAAGCATCCATGTAGAACATCCCGCATCGAATTCGAAACAGAATCGCGATTTCTGTCGAGCCCAGAAGAATGCTGGCGCAGGATCTGCTTACAGGGAGACTCCGCGCGAGACCGCATATAAATAACGCATCACTTGGGAGCGGATCCTCTTACTGCAAGAAGGATGCGGTCCGAATCGATTCCCTTCGGAGGGGGGGGGTACACGACCAGCACGGACCGGAACATTGTTGCCTTCGCTCTGGGGTATGCGGTATGCGGAACCCTCTTTGAACTGTGTCTGACGTTTTTCCCGCTACAATGCCCGCTCGGAAGGTTAGTGGATTCGGAGTTCAGCGCTCGCGATCGTACGCTCGGTGTGTACAACGAGAGACAGCTCAACGGAAAAGCAGTAAAAGACGGCTCCGGCCGACTGTGAAATTACAAGTGGAGTCGTACAGGAGCCCCGTGTTTTTGAAACAACGGCTCCTTACTCGCGTTCTCATCACGTCGAACGTGCTGTCGACAGCAGCTGCTACGGCGACGTCGGCGACGAAAGTGCAGCTCAAAGCTCTCGGTAGAGCCTCTCTGGCTTGAATAACTCATTCGAACGCAGAACAAAACACTGGGCCCCGACGGCAAAACAATGTCACGCTCCAAACACGTGAAACAGGTCACGGTTGAGATTCATCCGTGGAACGTGTTCCAAGAACCAAGGTCAAATGTTTACAACAAATGTACGTTCGGTGGAGAGAGTACCGGAACTGAATTTGTTCCGGGCTAGCTTCAGAAAATCGTCGCTGTTCATGTGCTCCCTAATCCAGCGATCGAGCGCGTCGAATCAGAATTGGGATCCTTCCCATCCTGGCCGTACGTCCTCGCCATGCCTTTTTTCCGATTCGCGAGGTTTTCGCGACACTCTGGTTTCGGTTCCTCTCGGAGCCGCTCGTGACCGATACGCCGCTGCGCTCGCCAGCCCCACGACCCAAACACGAGTCCTGGGCCACCAACAGTGCGACGGGAAGGCTTATCTATCACATGGTTGGCAATTCCATTAAATCTCTGTTTGATGTCACGGAGAGTGTCGAGCGAAAGCCCCAGCGAGAGAGAGGGGCTCAAAGGCTGCTGCGGAACGAGCGGAAATCGTGCGCTCACCGAGCTTCTCTACCGGTAGCTTGAGGTCCGGTCACGTCCGCGGAACAACGACGCAGATCGCATTTGACCTTTCCGGCCAGCGCCGGGTTTACTCGCGCTTCAATAATGAAGAACGTTCTAATTACGGGAAAACTGACCGCAATCTGTTCCACCTTGTTCTGCCTACGGGGGCGGAAGCGACAGGGTCCGCGCCCTTCATCGCGTCGCTCGACGAGCAGGTCAAGGGAGTAGGTGGGTGGAGCGGGTCCCGGAACGAATCGATATATACGTTCTCTACGTTTGTCTGCTTACCCTAGCTCGAATATCTACCCTTCGTTCGGAATGAGCACGAGCCCGGTAATTCGTTGGGCGACGCTCCGGAATCGTGAACGACTCGGACTTGGGGGCTGCAACTCTTGTGACCGTATGCCCGAAATCCCGGAACAGACGAGGGAACCGGACTCCTGGAAGATCCCGGAATAAACAGCTATCTCCCAAATCGAAAGCGAGTTCCCCGATCCTGAGATGCCCCAACCGATTCGGCTATTTGTGAGGCAGAGCTCCTCGGCAACGTCATAAAAGTTTTACTGTTACTCTTTCTGTTTTATCGACTCTCGTTCGATAAACTCGATGATGCTTATTTTATGGCACCGATCTCTGCAATCGAGATGTAGACGAAGATCCCGTAGAATATGGGGGAGCCGTCGTATCTAGATCTCTGTTCAACTCTCGAATTCCACTTCCATTCGGTCTCCCGGACCCTGGATCGAGATCATGCAGCTTTCTATTGCGGGATAGTCCCCCCACTCTCTCTGGAGCCGGTCGATTTGGTGCTCCACTTACTTTCCCGCGGATGTATGAAGCAAATTCCAGAATTCTGAATGGAATATAGCTCCGGTTTTGGGTCCGCTCCGAGGGAAGCGAAATGAAGATCACTGGCTCCGTATGCAGTCGGCTGTACGGGTACTCGGCACGGTCACCAGATTGTGACCGCATCGAGACGCTGAATGACCGCGGAAGCTTCCTAATGAAATCAGCGCTCTCGGCGACGTGAAAGGATATTCAGGCTCTGGGCAGATCGCGACCCGTACAGCAGCGGCACGTTGATATGCCCGAGCGAGGACGAACGGCCGAGGATTCAGGTGCCTGAGCGTCTCGCGTAGGATGCCCCAAATTACTTTCCGTCTAGGTCCATGGCGAAAATCTCGAGTTTTTCGTGGAAAGAAATAGTGCCCTCAACAACGCTGTCACTTTGCGGTGACAGCTGGATGTCGTTGGGAGTTGGGAGCCGCCATTCGGAATCAAAAGTTCGAGTGGTCTGCGTGGTGACTTCAGGCTAGAACGAGTCTCGGACGGCTCTCTGGCTGCCCGGGCGTCGTGAAGTGCTCGGGCTATTGAATTTTTCATGGATCTCGATCGATGAAGAGGAGCGCTGCACTGACGTGATCCGAATTGACATTTCACAGCTCGAAGACGCAGCCGACGACTGCTTCAAGATAGTGCAGAACCTAACAGGGTGGGCTGAAGTGATGGACATCCTGTGCGCGAGAGACGAATTCAGAGGTTCATCATCCATTATGACGTGTTTCTCGAGACACGTATCCGCGTACCTGATGTTCGACGCGAGGTAAGCGAATTAAACTGATTGGATATAGCTCAGCCCGCCCCGATGGGATCGAGTCCGGAGACAGATTGCGTCATTTATTGACGCGCTCCGGGAGTAGATAGGGAGCAGTCCTTATCGGCTCGATCTACCTAATATTTTTTTTCGCATTTGCAGGGACGTGGACAAAATCACCCGGCAATGTAGACACAAATCGCCCCCGGAGCAGCCACTGATGGTCGTCGAATGAGGTCTCTCGCTGACGGGAGGCTAACATTTAGGAATAAAGTCCTAGTAGAGAGTGATCTCGTCCTCAGGATATAGTCTTTCCCCTTTCTGGACGGTTTTCCCGGTCATCGGATCGGCGAACGAGACTGTGGGTACGGGGCGAAAGAATCGAGCGGGTTTCTTAGTGAACCTAACCTTTTTTCACGTGCGTCACCTGAGTCCAAGGGAAAACGAGGCGAGTTGCTAACTCCAAGCATTTATTCGAGGCTGAGGCTCTCGTTGCGGAACCCTATAGTTCTTGATGCGAAGCCACTTCGGAGGAATCGCGGTCAGCGATTCAAGCTCTAAACTCGCTGCAACGCTTCATTACCTGAGCTCCTCATCCCATGGGTTCTTTGCGTGAGTTTCTGTTGGGTTTAGGCTCGCATCCGTCGCACTAGGACGGATGCGAAATCAGGAGTATATTCGAGCAAATGATCTTGATACCGAAAACTTGTGATAAAATACAAAAATCAGAGAAACTTCGAAAGCCTGAGCTTCGCCACGGCGCGGCGTCAGTCCGTTCTCATTCATACCTAAATTTAAAAAACCATCATAAGAATTGATGGACTCCATATGATTGATCGCCCGAGCCGTTTAAGATTTGAGTAAATTCCAGATGCTCTCCGAAATTAGGAGGCCGGCTCATGAGTGATGTAGTATTGAGGTACAGAGATTCGATGAGGTGGGCCGGGGTTCGGAGGCCATTCACTATCCATTGCCCTCTACGTCTTCATACTGCTTTCTGAAGCAATCTCCGACCGGGAAAAAGTCCCAACATCTTCGCTGATACATTTCCCAGACATACGTTTCTTGACCCGTATACTCCGTGTCTGGTTTGTTGATTAAATGCATCAAGAAGAACCTGCAAGGCGGATTCTCGGTCAGCTCTCAAGCAGGAACGATTTGAATACTCCCTGAAATGACCGGTCGTTCCCATCCTGAAAAGAGTCTACCGATGTTCTCCTAAAACTGAAATAGCTCGGACGCGTTTCCGCGAACGCGTATTGGCATGATTAGGGAAAAATTCGGAGCGGGAATCTGTCCGTAATCCGAGCAGGAAAGGGAGAAACTCACATGTAGTTTGCCAAGTTATGCTCCTTGGCAACGTGCGTATCGAAACCGTGGGGTACGCTATCGAAGTAGTCCTTCCCAATACCGCATATGAAGCAATTGGACTCCATGTCGTCGACAACGCTCTGCAGCTGATCACGGAGCTCTCCGAAAGCGTCGATGATCAAACCTGTGACCATTGGACGTTCCAATCAGTGAAATGTTGTGCTGTGCCTTACTCCAGCTAATCATTCATTCAGAGTATTGCCGGTTCGTCTCATTCGGAAAAATGATATTTCCGATCGCAGCAGACCGGGAAACGGACACCGGAAAGTCGATCGGTCTCCAGAGTCGACCCTGAACTACCCACCCTGGATGATAGCCAGCAGGATGACAATAACGAAGAAGAAGAAAGTGATGTCGAAGATTATTCGATAGACCTCGTAATCATCACCGTCGGGAGCCTCGATTTCATCTCCGATACCGCCACCGGCCCGCACGCCTTTGTACAGGTGGAACACGAAGCACTGCCGATCATTAGGAGAGAGAACAAACGTTACGACCCGGAGCATTAGGATTCTGATCAGTGGTGATTAGTATCCCTTTCGAAAGCGAGAATCAAAACGTGCGTCCCCAACTCTGTGCTTAATGAAACTGGAAACCTTGGTTTCGCGCACGGCTCCAACCAAGCGGCGCAGTGAGTTCAGCAATGAAATATGGATGCACTAGAGCCTGTCAGTCGAAATCATATACCGTAGCCATGCTGTGGCATTTCTGGGTGACTTCGTCATCCTCTTCCTGTACGTAGAACTTCCGGAAGAACGTGAACGCGATGACGGTGTACATGTACACAACGATCGTGAGGAGCATCACTGTCAGGATAAGTTGTTTGCCGTTGTGTGTTACCGACTGCAGGATTGTCTTCAGCGACGGAATGCAGACAGCAACATCGATGAGATGTCCGGCGAAGAAGAAGTAGTTTATATTTCCGAGCAGCGAGAACGTGAGATACCACGTGTTGTACAAGAAAGCCTGGAAACGATCATCATAGAGATCAGCATTCATTGTCGAGAAGCTCCACTGGCATCTCGCCGAAATAGCAGGGGAGTTCATCTGCTGCATTACGCTCCGCAATTCGATCGATTTCGAAATTCCCACCTGGTCGGTGATGGTGACACCAGCTTGCCAGATGGTGTATCGCCAGTCGACATTGATGCTGAGGGAACGATGGAAGAATTTTTCAAGGAAAAAACTCTCTCAATTTTTCTTCTTTTTTTTTCTTTCATACATAGTATCCTATTTCACGGGACTCGGAGGGGAAGTCTTTGATTCTGCAAGTTCACGCTCGATCGACTACAACTCACAATGAAAGTATTCCGCTGGATTCTTCTTCGCTTTTGCCTTTCCTTATGCCGAGAAGCTTGCTTAGGTGTTCGACGTCGAAAGTTTCGCTGTACTTTTGTTTGACTCGTTTCTTGACGAATTTATCCCAATAGTTCACGGGAAACGATGGCGTGGATATGACGAGTCGATCCCATCGCGCTTTTAGGTCCTCATCGGGTGGTTCTTGCGATATATACAAACCTTCGAACTCCAACGCGCGAGCGACATCTTTCTCGCGTTTGAATATTGCCAGAGGTACTTTGAGATTGTAGTGAGCGATCATCATGCAGATCGATATCAACGAGTGGATTAACGCCATCGCTCGCAATGCCGGTTCCGCATGGTAGCCTCGGAGGAAGTCCCCCATGATGACGTATTCTTCGAGTTCCTCCTCCTCCTCTGAACTTCCCGAACCTTCCTCGCCGGAGCCGAGCAATGCGTCAGTAATGTTCGATAAGAGACTCCCAGAACCCTCGCTAGAATCATCGTCGTCGTCATCGTCTGGGAACATGGAGCGCTTGATCATCTCCCCGGATCCGTCCATATCGTCGTCCTCGACAGTCGTGACCTGATCGAGGAGGAATCAATTATGAGGACCGCATCCCGTGGGAGGGAGTTTGATTCGATATCCATTGCCCGGGTCATTGGCAGCCATCCGGTCACTGACCTTGTAGAAGAGGAGCACTGTATTGATAAGGAACGCCAGAGCCAGCGCCACGTATTTCATGGTGTAGAAGTTCCTCGCCAGGAAGGACTTTGGAAGAAGGAACATTTTCGAGTTATGAGGTGTTTATATAAAGGTAAAAGATGTTTTCCTCTCGTGTGTCCTCTGAATGAGACGAGATCTCGAGCTCTAGGCCTCGAGCCGACTGAGAGACGGTAAGTCTGAGACGGAAACACCTACCACGACCTTCTGGCGAACATTCGCAAGCTGGAATTTGGCTGCATTTCCACGCCCGCCCTCATCTTCGGCCTTAGCGTCGCCGATGATCGTGGGCTGAGTGGACATCATCGCGTCGATTTGCTGCTTCTGCAATTCTTGCTGGATCACTGACGGTCGTTTCGTTTCTCTGGAGGGGAAATAAACGGAAGATAGATGACCATCGAGAAGAGTTACGCGGCGGATGCCACCGTGGACCAGCCCCAGCTCGGTATAGCATGCTGTGAACAGAATATTCGCGAAACGACATGGAAGGTGTATTTATGGGAACGAGAGACATAGAAATATTTGTGGGAACGACGCTACTAACACAATATCTTTCGGCGGTTCGAGGCTGGTAGCCGGTGGGCCAGACTCGCTAGGTTGAGCAACATTGATTTGGGAGCCCTTCACGTCGTCCTTGTTTCCTTCGGGCGACGTCAACGCCTCAGGCGCGGCTTCCACTGCCTTGAGCCTATGCGTTGATGGAGTAATAATCTCAGTAGCATTCTCGATTTTTCTCTCTATAGGCTCTCAGGAGAGCTTTCTCCACAGAAACTCAAGAAGCGGAGCTGAACTCATGCGGATAACGTACTCGTCTGCTGACAATGAGGATTCAGGTGGGGGAGTTCCGGTGATCGAAGGAATAGCTGCGGGAGCCTCTATCGCCGGCGGTCCAGGTGTGGCGGAAACGATCGGCATTCCGAATTTATTCAATTTCACAGCTGCCTTGCCTTCCTCGTCTTCCTGAGACGCCAGAATTGGTTTCCCGGACATGAGTCTCATTATGAAACCGCATATGGATCTGTAATGCAGAGCGGTTCTATCTAGTCAGCGAGATTGGTCGACGATGTCCCAAGGACCCCTCCGCTGTCTTCCCAACCCCCATGGTCTCGGGTTGCTCGACCCCATAAGCGCTTAGAGGAAGCATCTCATGTCATGGCCTCGATTCGGGTCGGGTTTCACGTACTTGATGAAGAAATAAACGAGCCAAACGGAATACACGCCGCCATATAGAATTCCCTTCACAACGCCGACGGCTATCTCCGCTGGGGGTTTTTGCTTCGTCTTCGCCAATTGGGCCTTGAGATTGCCGGGCGTCAGGAAGCTCAGCAAGCTTAAAAGCTGAAGCCACAACGACCGGAGACCGCCTCTCACCAGTGGGACGAAACCGCTGTAAAGAAGAAAAACGGGAATGCTTACCGTTGGAGAGCTCACGGTAGAGTTGTTCCATTAGGTATCGCGTCCGATCAACCCATCAATAGTCTCCTTATTATCTACATATGTAAGAGAGGGACCCGGTTCAGGCGCTCATCGCTTCCCCACGGAATATATCCGTTCCCTCGCGATCGCGTGGGCTTCCAACGATGTGATCTCCGGACACCGCTTGTGGTCGTTCCGAAATTCCCATAAGGCTCCGTCGCTTTTGTAATTCACCTCTCGTAGGTGGTACACGTAAAACCAACTCGCTGAATGATTCTAGAGCCTATGTGGGCAACTCATTGAGAGAAAATTCAACTCACGTGGGTCTTTCTTCCTCGCCTCCCGCGTAAACGTATTCCTCGGCCTTCGTGGGCGGTTCCTCCTCTTCTTCGTTCGCGATCGTGGCCGCGTGCTGCATTTCAAATATGGCGTCCTCACAGAAGTTTATGAATAGCTCGAGTTTCTCTTTGTCGCCGCCTTCTGTTACGATACTGTAGAAGAACGCCTTCTTGGATTCTACGATCTGGGGCTTTTCCCATTGATTCTTCACTTCCTCGGCCACCTCAAAGTAGACCCGCTCGATTCGGTTGGCGGAACCCATAATCTCGATACGACCCATGAACGGCTCGAAGAATTTCATCAGCGTCGAGCAGCCCTCGCACATTTTGGCGAGACGAGGCTCGTTGGGCATGTGCTCCGACAAGTTCGTCAGGAGCACGGCGAGATTGAATCCGATTTCCTTGGACGGACCCAAGAAGCGGTCGGAGAACTCGCGGTAGTCGACCATGTTGTCGAGGTTGGCCTCCATACAAGCCATCATGAAGTCGATTTCCTCGCTAGAAGACAGAAACCGAGTCAGAAAGAATCGAAGACGTAAAATATGCCCACCGAGGTAATGAGTTAGCTGACAAGCAGCAAGAGTCCCCCGAGCGCTTCAGACAGGTCGAGAATTGGAGAAGAACTCACGGTTCGTAAATTTTTTGCTGCTCCATCGCTTTCTTGAAATCGCTATAGGCGATCCATCCCGAGTTTTTAGGATCCATTTCTTGGAACGATGAGCTGCCTGTTAACTCCTGAAGCTTGAGGAACATGTCGAAAAACTTCAGAATGAGTTCGACATTCGTCGACGATTCGGCGAGAGTGTCGACCATCTGTTTCCCGATGGTGCCGTTCATGACATTGCCTTCGAGCATGGACAGCATCATTGTGACCATTTCCTTCAGTAGATCGAGAAACTCTAACAGGAGGTCGAGTTGCGATGCGCTCTTCGAGAGCTTGCTCTGCATGTTGGCGAACAAGAATAGGAATCCACCGACAGCATCCCAGAGACGGGAATGAGCCAGGGCCTGTTGATTCAGGGAGCAGGGGCCCTGAATAAACTCAGTCAACGAGTTGAAAACCTGTTTGGCGACTGTGATAGCTTTGCAGAAGTTCTCCTTGCCCTAGAAAAAAACAAGCGGGTCAATCAACGGGGAAGTCGAACCGATGTGGCGATCAGAGGCCCGATCATTGAATTGCCTCTGGCTCAGGAGCCATGCTGCACTCTCGGTCAGAATTAGCGTAACCGTCAACTCACAGGAGCGTCGACGAGTTCCTTAGAGGAATAGTACCAGAAGAAGTCCATGATCGACTCCTGCAGGCGCAGGAGATAGTCGACGGTCGAGATAACGATATTCACCGTGACCGTATTTCCTTGCTGAGTTCTCAAATAGTTCTGGAAGTCTAAATTGTGACCTTCACAGAGAAGTTGCAGGAAACGGAACAGGGCGCAGGTGAACTCCGAGTCGTGCATGTTTTTCTCCGCAGCAGAACCCTGAGCCCCAACACCGAGCCCTTCAGCCTTCTGATTTCTCTCGAACGCGTCGAGATTCAGAACTCCACACGAGTTCATCAAGGCTGCGATCGACGTGAAGAAGCCGACATCTTTCTTGTCCTTCAGATGATTCAACATACGCTGCAAAATTTTTGATCAGGTAATAGGAGCGAGTTTCGCGCCTGATTTGTTCCAAGCCCGAGTTCCGGCCCGGGGGCCAAGTCCACGAATATCGTTCAGGAAGGGAATAGCGCACCGCTACTTACTGTTTGCACGTCCGCGTTACCGCCTTTCAAGAGGGAAATTCCCAGTTTCAAAGTTTTGAGAACCATGTCGCTCTGATGCCCTTTGCAAGCGGAGATGTAGAGGAGAGCGTTCTCGGCTACACCGCGGTCGGCGAGCCGAGCTTGTTGGAAGAGAAGTTTCTGTTTCTCGAGTTCCTGTTCCTGGAGTGAAGGCTCCTCGGCCTCGTCCCCTTCTTCTTCCTCCTCTTCGGCGCCCCCACAGCTCTGACTGAAGATGTAGGCGTACAACATGTATAGGTCATCTTGCCCGATCGCGCCGCTGTGTTCGGTCGTAGCCGCTCGGGAGAAAGTCAGAACCAGCTGCGATAGGGGATCGTTTCTCGGCTCCTCGGACTCTTGATTGGCGGACGAGGACGTCTCCTGACCCTTCTCGGCTTCCTCGAAAGTTGTGGTCAAATCCTCGATGAGTTTCTCGTGACCGGCGTTCTCTTCCTCGAGCCACATCGCTTTATAAATGCTGAGGAGGAGATTGATGCAACGATGACGAGGCAGTTGGTGGAGAGATACCTCCCGGAAGCAAGCGATAACCGCACGTTTCCTCTGCGTTGACACCACGCTTCGATAGACGTCCTTCGAGGACGATTGCGGATGATCGATGACGTGCAGGCCATACAAAACTTTGGCCATATCGATAATTCGGTCGACGAGCATCTCTTGTGTTACGACTATTTCTTTTTCCTTCTTGTTGGCAGTCGCTTGAACGAGTGCTTGTTCCTCATCGAGTTCATTCTTGTTGCCGAGCTTCGAGTAGAGATAATGCTGCCAGCTCATGGCGTCCGTCGGATCGATCTACAATTCAAAGAGAAAAGTTTTCCTCGTTTGCCAACAATAATCAGCAGGCCATTCGAGTCGATTTGCGCAGGTCGAGAGCACCGGCACCAACCTTGTCTGGGAGGGTCAACTGGACATTCACGTACTCCCGTATTGCCTCGTCGTTTTCTTTCTGAAAGTCAAGGTATCAATTGCCTTCAGCCAATATGCGGAAGTTCCTCCATCCTGACCCTCATCGATCAAAAGTTCGGAACGATCTGCTTGAGAAAAAAATACGTTTCATGTCTGAGATGGAAGACGGCTCTCACATTGAGGAATTTCTCCTTGGTGTGCTGCACGAGCTCCTGTTCCCGACCGGCGAATAAGTTCAGCCCGATAGGCAGAATCCGCTTCAGGCAGGCGACCATCAACGAGGCAGCGACCTCTTTTTCCTTATCGCGTTTAGCGTCTCGCTTCTTCTTTTTCTTCTCCTTCTTGCTGGCCTGAGAGCCCTCGGAAGATCCAGATGAGCCCATCGACTGCATGATCGGCCGGCCCTTCGTGGCGGCCGAGTAGGGCATTATAAGAGCCATGTTGTCGATCTCGTAGGTTGAAATGAAGTTTGCCTCCTCACGTCGGAAATATTGCGACTTGTTCCACATATTGAACATATGCGCGATCAGATTGTAGAGAGTTTCGGCCATCTTATTGTTCTGTTTCAGCCAATGATTTCTTTGGAGATCAATGTATTTTATCAAAAGCGGATAGAACGCGTAAATGTCTCTCGTGAGCAGGGCGTACTCTTCCTGCAGCTGATTTTCGATTTCGGAAGTGTCCTCTGCGCTTGACTTGAGGAAAGCTCGCATCGATTCTTCTTTCTTGAATAAAGTATCCATTACACCGAAGATTCTCTCTGTCAACGGCAACACGGTGTCGCCGAGCAGTTCTTCCGAAGCGTTGATAACAATCTGTCCGGCGTGGGCTGGGAAAGAATAAAAAGTATAGCATACGTTTTCATCTCGACCTGAGAGCTTCCTCGGAAGCCGACCCTCAGAGCTCGACGTTGGAAAACGTTCGGTGGAACGGAACGCAAAAACGCGTCATAAATCGATGACTGTACTTGAACAGTATGTACAATAATCATATGAGTTGTGAAAACTCGATTCTGGACCGCATCATTTAGCCCTTTTCCTCGAATATTCCTAGCTGCCGAGGAATCGGGAATTGAATCGGAAGGAGGAAGTGAAATTTCACGCTACCTGCAATCGTGATCATCCAAGGCGAATCGTGCACGGCTACCGTTCGCTTGAGAAGGTTCAGGATGCTCCTAACGGCTTTGTTCAGGTGCTCAGAAGTGACCATGGTCACGTGATGTCCTTGAGCGGACGGCGGTACGTTGTCGGGGCCTTGACTCCACCAGAGGGGCAAATAGGCCGACAGCATGGGAACGATTACCTCAATGATATGTGGCTGATCGACGTAACGGGTATTGCTCATGACGAACTTATCCACGTTCGCAATAAGATCATCAATGTTCGGCATTGAGCTTTCGAGCTGCGCCATGACAGCCTGCGCCTCGAGCGAGTGCTCCTGCTGCTTCGAGTGGATACAGTGTGGATTGAATTTGTTGTAGGCGGGCTCGAGGAATGCGACGGGGAAGCAGGCGGCGAACGCCCCGAGACAGTTCCCGTATGCGGGGCGGTGGCGATCCATCTCGGCTCTCACGAAAGATTTCCCCTTATGCAGATCCTGTCTCGTTCCCAGCATGTAGATCGCATTCAAAATGCGGTAACAAGCCACCTGGACGTCTTCCACTGTTGGGGTGAAGGACACGATCAGCCTTGATGGTTCCCCGTAAATGATTTTTATGCCTCTCGGTGCCGTCCATGAATCATCATATATGTACATACTGCCCCTGGAGTGGATTTTTTCGGCCACGATTATGGCCGCCCCGCGGACGCGCTACGATACTTACGCAGCAGATCGGCTCCGAACTCGTTGCTTGCCAAGTGATCGAATAGGGCCGTCAGTACGGGGATCACCGACACTTGTATGTAATTCAATGACGTCGACGTTTTCAAGTGGGTGCCTCGCAAGTGGGTGTAGCGTCCCGTCTCGAGATTCTTCACCGTGTTGTCGAGATCGTCAGCCACGTTGTTGAAGTAGGTTAGAATGGAGGTTTTGACGAGGTCAGGACAACTCTTGGCCACCGTTCGGGCGTCCGTGGCCCTGCACAGAACTTGCAGGCACGACACGGTCAATTTCGTTTCGCTCCCAAACACCACGAACTTTGAGCGGAAGAGTCCGGCGAGTTTGCAGAAGAGCCTGAAACCGAATAACGAGAACGAATGGCGTTTTGGACTCGGTCTGCGAGATTTCGCGCGAGTGTTTTTTCCTCTTCCGGCTCGTCGTCGTAAAAAGAAACTGCGAGGAGTCTGACGAGCTGTGCGGTCGGACAGAAAAGAACTCGGAGCACGGGTTTCTTCTCTCGTTCCCACCACGAATGCGACGAAGCGCTCTTATTTCCCGTTTCTGGGAGAAAACAATCGATGGGAAACGTACTTAGCGACCATCTCCTTTTCGCGGACCGTAGCCGTTCCGACAATACTGGTTGCCGTGGCAGCTTGGAGGAAAAATTGCCTGTGGGCAACGAACAATCGATCGATGAGCGGCAAGACGACCTTGTTGAAAAACTTCACGTCCTTGGAGTGCTGGCGGAAGGAACTGCGTCTGCTGAATGGCAAGCTGGGTCTGAGCAGTTTCATGTGCATCGCAGCCGCGTCCAGATACTGGATGAGTTTCTCGAGTAGAGAGGTCGCGAATCGGACCTCTTGTTTGGTTGTGCCCAAACCCTCTTCGTCGGGACGCCTCTTGTCCTTGCTGAAAAATGGGGAGTTCTTGACGAACGTGCGAAAAAAAAGCGAAACGAATGCAATCGGGATGAAAGCTCAATATGACGAAACACGCTGTCCGCGGGATCGAGACGGAGATCTCCGCTGCTACCTGCGGAGAAAGGGATGAGATCGAGGGCAGACACTCACTTTGCGATGCGGTAACCTTCGTATTGGAGGAACTTAAGTAAATCCTGAGCGCGGTCCCGAGTTTTGTATTTTTCCTGATCGGTTAGGAAATCGTACGGAACGAACTGCGGATTGATTTCTCCCCCGATCGAGTCGAGCTGACGCTTCACGCCGAACGCCCAGATGTCATGTGTGTTTTCAGCTATGCGCTCCATCAACACCATTTGATCTTTGGTCAGCGTCAGACTGGACAGGTCCACCGGGCTCGGCGCGTATTCCAACGGATTGATGCAGTTCTGGAATTCGATTGATCTGTGTGGATAATTTCTCCCGATTCGCATTCTAAGTTCTGCTTCAGGAGACAAACCCGAGATTCCGATGGTCTGGAACATTCTCAATCAGATTCTCGCATGAGATGGGAACAACTATCTCATAGGGGCGTCCCGACTCACGTGAAAAATGGGTCCTGTTGACCGCGGCTGGTCTCCGGGCTCTAGCCTCCATCCTATCGCCAGAACGGCTTTGAGTAGGTCCCGGATCGGCTCCTTGTATCGTTCTTTCTCCCACTCTTGGAGCAGGTTATAAGGCTTCAGCCGGGGATGAGCGCGGAGCTCGTCACAGAATCTCTCTCCGTATTGCCAACCCTGCTCCGCTTTCCGGACTGCCCACTGCTCGTGATAATGCTCTGAGAACCTCTGTACGATGTTCTGGAGATCTTCCGAGAGATGGACACTGCGACAAAAAATATAGTGTTTCCAATTATTTCCCTCCTCAGTGATCATGTTGATGTAAGCTGAAGCTTATTGATTCGGGACGATTCGCCCTTGAGCAGACCCGCTCCATCTGAATCACATACTAAATTCTAGCAAATGAATGACGGCTCGACGTTCAAGGTATCCGAGATAGCCGTTTTGTTCGCGGCACAGGTGAGCGATTTTATAGGGAGAAAATTCTCAGGTTGGGGTTCTGCACTGAGGTTTGTGCCTTTGTAGAACGAAGATGCTCGCCCCGAGTGTGCCGCAAAGAATATGCGCGAATAATGTACAGGCACAGCCAGAGTTCTCAAATTCCTTTGGAATGGAGGCGGCTCAACTCTGGATATCACTGACGATCGCCAATCGACACTCGGAGGGGCTCGACCCGGATTCATCGGACTGGCTTTGCAAACCACAATATCTCAGTCATTCTCCCGATTAAACCACATGTAGCTCCCGTTAAACCACATGTAGCCGCAGGAGTCTGCTCATCCTTCGAAAAGGAAAACAGTGTCGTCTGTTCAGCTAGGCACAATCCAGCCGAGATGCGACCGCGGTCCTAAGCACGCGGTGAGAACTGCGAGTACTCGCGAGATGGATTTCAACTCTCCGTAACGGAACTCTTCCGCGGAGCCTGTACGTTGTCCGTACCGTCCCCAAAATTAAATGTATGCGATTACTTTCGCAATTAGGTCCTCGGCCTGCGAGCGCCACCGCTGTCTCGGAGCTAAACCAGGGTCTTCGCCCTCCGACGTCGCTTCCTCATGCATTAAATGCTCCTAGGAGGTCTCGTTTCGAGCTTCGTGAGACCGAAAGCCATTGTATTATATAAATACGCAGTCTTTTGGAGAAGACTCAGTCTCCTGAACCAGATTCCTTCCAATAGAATTGAAACCGCCTATCCCTTCCCGCACAAGGTGCGCATTGACTACAAATGTAAGAAGAAACTTACTTGTAAGTATCGAGTGGCGTCGGTGTGTAAATCGTAGGTTTACTTCTGTCCCAATCGTCCTCCGTAGACTCGGTGAGCGAGTAGTCGGGAGGCAAGGCGCAAGCGATCGCGGTCAAGCAGGGCAACGACTTCGAAAACAACTCTGGATCGTACTCCATTTTGGAGAGCGAGTCGAATATGTTCGAGAAGAGAATCATGGTCAGACGACGCTCTTCTTCCGAAGCGATCCCGTATGAACCTTGGCCGCAAGAATAGTATTTGTTACAACGTTCATAATGCAACATCAACAGACGGAGCGCGACAGCCGTATACTCGGTCAGCTGAGAAACGTCCACGGTCAATTTACGCAGAAGTTTCAACAACATCGAAGGTTGCATCTCTCGGGTGAGCGCCACCAGGAAATCGGAAACCATTTCTCTCTGTCCTTTGGTGAGGATCTTGACTTTCGAGAGCCGATAGACTGTTTGGAGGACCGCATCTTGCAGCGAATCGAAGTTCTCGGCGTCGCGATAGAAATGCGAATACTGGATCAACATTGGAAGCACCGAGTTTCCGATGTAGCGATTCAGAGCCAGGGCCATGTCGCTCTGGATGTTGTCGTCCCGCTCGAGCATGGTCGCCGATCTCAGATCGGGCAGGAAGCCGTTCTCCAGGATTCGGTAGAAGATTTCCTGCGTTTCGACACCGTAAACTCTCTCAAGGAAAAGCGCGATGCTCTGTTTGTGTTTGGGATGCAGGCCCGCGGGCAAATCGGACACCAGCTGACCGTCTTTGTTTCGACGCGGGGTCCGCAAAGTGAATCGGAGACTCAGAGCTCCGATAAGATCGTCGAGGGGAACTAGGGAACGCAGGATGGCTCTGGCGCGAATGCATTCGTTCTTGCCCTGAGCGATGGTCGCTGCGTCCGGAGCACAACGACCGAGAAGGTCGACGAGGGCACAGTAGAAATTCAGGATGGCCGCTCCCATGTCGATATAGTCCTCGTCCTCTTCCTCGGTGGGTCTCACCGGCAAACCCTGCTGCTCTCGGGTAACGGCGATTTCTTCCGACATCCTTATCGCTTCCTTGATCGCTTCCAACAGTCCTGGGCCTTCGCCGCGAAGCGCCGGACCCAAACACTCGGGTCGTCGGATCAAGAGTCGGATGACCAGGTTGGCATTCTCTTCGACGGATTCCCCGTTCACCCAAACACAGAACCGGAGGAAGTCCAAGTATCGTTCACCTTCGACCGGATCCCATCCCACATCGGGGTAACCTTTGTCGACGAGTTCTTGATTTGATTGCAGACCACAACGAGATAGATAAATCGCGATTTTCTCGAGATAATGTTCTCGTAGCGCCAACGCCAATTCCGAGTTCTCCATGAGTGACGAGTACGCGACATCGAGCGGAGTGGATCCCCGGAGAGAGGGCCGCGCTGAAAATTCGAAAAATGCTTCTCTGACTGATCTAATCGTGAGACTGGAAATTTCTTTTCCCTGCCTGTAGCCAGAATTGGATTTGACGCTTGATCCGCTCATGAGAATGAATAATTGTTGATTAATTGTTCACGGATAATTGAAAAGAAGATCAAGGATGCGTACACAAAAGTATGTTCGAATTCTCGAGGAGGAAGTCGAGATGATCGAACATGGCCTTCTGGTTGACTCGTCCCGTTCGACAGAAGTAGCACAAGAAACGACAGCAGGATACGACCATCTCGTGCGACGTGTCCTTCTCCTCGTGCTTCTCGCCTTCTGTCACGGCGGCGGCCGTTGGTTGTTGAGTCTGAGCTCGTTTCCCTAATGTGTTCACCATCACGTCCATGACGTTTTCGTGCACACTCAGAATCCGAATCAAATCCGGATGCTGAAAGAATATTCTGTTCCTCACGAGCGACCACGAGGACACTCTCATGATTTCCTCCTCTTCCGGTGACATTTGGACCGGTAGCAGCGCCCGGATTTTAGTTAGATTGCCGAACAGACTTATCACGTCGGAATGGCTTTTCTCCGAGATGATGTAGGTCTTCTCCAGTGATTTGATCAGCTGAAATGGTCCCCAAGTCTCGTCTGAATGAATAATCAAGGAGAGTTCGGTTCTCATGCATCAGGGAATAATTGTTGTGACTGACGATGCCTCACCTCGCCCACAGCGTTGTAGATTCTGAGTAGGAGATTGAACATCTGTCGGATGACCTCTCTGTTCTCGATCTCTTTCCGCTGAGCCCATCCGACAACGGTTTTGGCGACTTTCTTGATGAAAAGCTCCTCGTTCAGGACAGCCTTCTCGGGTTCCGGTTCTGCTTCTGGCTCTTCATCTTGGGTAGTGGACTTGACGAATTTCACGATTCCGAGAAGTTTCTGCGCAACGGTTGCACTGCCGGCTTTGGATTCACCTTCGGCGTCCTCGCTGGCCGCTTCTTCCTCGGCAATGCATTTCTTCAAACGAAAGATGAGCTCGTCGTGGAGATCGCGTAAAGCCGAGCGGATTTCCTCCCCACATGGACAATCGTCGCCGGCTTCCTCATCGAGATTCTTGAAGTTGAGCACCGTTCGCATCTGCTCGATCGGTTTGCATCGGAACTCTCTGGTTTTCTTAGCGGCGATTGAAGACGGCAAATCGGATTGCTTGATTTCAATGTATCGGCGGAGCTGATCCGCTTGGATGTCTCCGGTGAACTGATCCGAGAAATTTATTATCGATTCAATTCGGTGCCTCAGCTGCAGGTCGAGGAGATGGTGGAGTATGTGGCAGAGCTGCAGCTGCACGCCTTCGGCGACGTGCATGTCTGGAATGAATGCGAAAAATTTCAAGATTCCTGTTCTTGGTTCGGAGAGGAGATGGCTCCCCATGTTTTCCGGATGTCCTCGGAGCGACTCACCGATGAGCCCCACTTTCTTGATCACTTCCCCGATTGGAGGAACTTCGGTGATCTCGCGGTCTGGCTCCTCGACTTCACCGAAAACAACGGGATCCAGGAGCTTCAACATCCAGGCCAGGTCCGCGTCGTCAAGGAGCCCGGTGACCAGAAGTTTATCCGCGAGCTTCAGCAGCGGCACGAAGAGATTTTCGTTGCTGCCTCCGATCGGATCACGGTTGGGCTTGGAATCCTTTCTCACAGCATCCGCTAGACCTTCCATGACGAATTGGCGCAAGGCGTCGTGTGGGAAGGTCGGCGTATGGAGGTCCTTGATGGAATCGACAGTGGCCCTTGAAGAACGGAGACGGGAGGATAACTCAGTATGGGGAGCTGAGACACTCGACAATATCCAAATCCGGGAATCTCGTGGGCGAGAAACGGCCGGCGATAAGGAAAGGAGGAAAACTTTCTTACGAGACGTCAGAGAAGGTCAGTTGCGGTCGGATCGATATGCACTGCAGGGTCTGGAAGGAGTGCGCGACAGAAGAATCCTCATAGAAATCCTTGAGAGTTGAACCAAGAGGAATGATGAACTCGGTTTGCGTCAGGGACATCGAGTAGGCGTGGAACTCCAAGTGAAGCGCAATCAAGAGGTTGGTGAAACCACATCTCAGCGGGCCGGACATGTAGGCCGATTTGATCGCGTACATCAACTGTTTCTCATCCACATGGTTGCAGATGATGTGAGCTGCTCTCTGATTGCCCTGGTAACAAAGAGCCTCATAGAGCGCCAACGAGCCCGCATGGAAGTTCGCGAGCCGGTCGTGTTCTATCAGCTCCAAGACGTCTATACAACGATCCTCCTCGGGTATGTGGACGGCTAGCATCGAAACATGGTCTTCCACGATTATGGACCAGCCTCTGATTTCGGAGAGACGCAGAGCATGAGGTCGCAGGTTGAAATTGGGAACTCTGGCCCAAGAGAACGGCTGGAGACATTGAACTCGGAGCCGTGGCGGACACAGGGGCTGGAGACTTTTCGCTGTAGTGCGCAACAAAGCGGCGGACAGCGGCAGCGTCGAGGGCGTGCGGCCGAGCTCGAACTGGAACACCTCTTTGGTTGTGGCTTCGAAAAATACGGCCGGGAAAAGTTTTGTGCCGGGCTCCATCTGTAATCAGCCAGTAAGCCGATTGATCAATAGTTCGGAGGACTGGAATAGTTCATGATCTTGTTCATGATGATATCTTAGCATCTTGTCCTGACCTTGAACCTTGTCTTCGTTGGTTTCCCGTCGGCAGTGAAGGTCAAAAAACCTGTCGATACGTCGATGTGACAGCCGACGTACATTCCCTGATTAGTGGCCCCTCTGGATGCACCATCTCCGGATGCGTTCTGGACATCATGTAGAAGCTGACCCGCGCAGACCATATAGGAATTCCTCCGGTCCAGGCTGAAACCGATTTACAGATTGATCCCCGTGTTCATAGAGAGGGTCATGAAGCGAATACGAGTCTCGGTAGCGGGATATTTCTGTCAGATCTTAGCTCAGTCCACACGAATGATCGGGGCCATGGAACATCATCACGTTATCAGCAAGAATAATCTCAATCAAACACAAAACTGAATGATCTTACATCTCTCTCACGCTGCCATCGTCACCGAAGCCATGATAAGCGACTTTCCGTATTTTTTGGAGGTCAAAGACTGTAATGAATCAGGATTCTTATTGAACTATTCTCGTTCCTGAGATCTCAATAGCTCTTGATATACCCTACAAGGCTCTTGGGATCACCTTTGTCGAAGTACTTGTACGCTGTCGTGATCCAGCCCACGTAGACGTGCTGAGGATCTTGACCCGGAAATATCCGGCATCCATAGAAATACTCGTGACAATATTCAAGACACTTTGGATCGAGACCGGCGCCGCCCTCCTCGTGCGGTATAGGCCCGTGCGCCATAGACTGTCTTCGGGTGCTTCCTTGCCGTGAAACGCCTCCCGGAACTTGGAGCTGACCTCCATTTGAACCCGCGACCGATCCTTCAACGATGCAAGGGGGGAGTCGTTACGTGAGAGTCATTCTCCAGAAGGAGTTCGCCGAGCTCCTTCTGAGGAGCTCGATGCAAAACTTTATGGTCGCGTGACATACCTGGCGAATGGCCGCGTATCGACGGCTCCCTGATGGTGACGGTCGGCGGAGGACTTAAACTCACAGGAGGAGCAGGTTCCATTGTCGGAATATCTTTGTTTCGAGAGAAAAACTTGAAAGGGCTTTTGCCTCTGGCTTTCTTATCGTGGGGATCTTGGCCTTTGGCCCGGAGTTCCAGCTCGCTCAACGACGGGATCATTGATTGGTCCGAATCGACGCCTTTCGTGTCGAATCCGGGCGTGAGCAGTCCTCCGGCGGTGTGATCGAAAGAAGAGGCTTTTGTCAGAGCGCCCGACCTAATGGATTTCCTTCTCGGCGGAGGGCCTTTCGGAAGCACTGGAGAATCGGATCCAGCCCCCTCTGGAGCATCCTCTGAGTAGGCTCGCTGGAGATCTACGAAAAGATTTCCGTTCGTATTGTGCTGGAAGCTGCTTATGCTCGATATCTGTCACGGCTGCTACCGCTGTATTGTGACCCACCTTTCACGTCCGACATGCTGAAGCCACTTTGCAACATGTGTTGCTCCAGATTCCCCGGTGGTCTGACAGACTGCTGCGTCCTCGGATCTGCATGAAACATGACCTCGTGGTGCTGTTTCTGACGATGTTGCATTTCTTCCCACTGACGTTCCTTTGCCGAGGCACTGAATAATAGAGAAAATAAGATCGTGGCTCCCGTCCCTTGCAGTCTCCTCACGGCCCCCGATACAAGAATCGAGGTGGATATTCCCTGAAACCTACTCGATGAATTCCTCGTGGCACTGGATCGGGAGACTGAGCCGCAAGAATTCATAGTTTACTTTTTCCACGGACTCGAACAATTTGTGGGTGATCTTCATGGCTGGTGGAGCTTCTCCCCTGGAAATCCATTTGATTCAAGTAAAGCCGCCATCGGAGAGTCAGGGCTAGATCACCGAGCGAGTGGGACACAGGTTCCAATCAACGTCCCGTATTATCAATGATTTTGGTCTCTCTTCGGAATCCTGTGAGTAGATTTTCTGAGATATCGTTGCGCCACTTACGCTGGTGGAACTCTGGTCACTTCCACATTAGAAACTTCGGCTTCGTCAAAGTTGATAAAGATCGGGTCGTCCTTATTATACCACATCGACAGCTGGCGGTTCATGTTCACGCAGAACGGTTGGTAGCCCTCCTGGAGACCGCACGTGGTGAAGTACTGGAGCAGGTTCACGTCGTGACCCCAGACGAGACGAGCTCTCTGACCGATGCCCAGGGTGAAAGCGGGCACGTAACCGATGTCTCCTGGAATTTCGGAAAAGGCCGCTTCCCCGCCGAGAGCATCGAGGAGGAGCTCGCCGTTCAACGAAAACGAGATGGTCTTATCGTGGAGATCGAGCATGCAGCCGATGACGTCGCCAACTGCCCATTGACGTCCGTAGGCTTCGCTGCCGCCGGCACTATTTTTCAGGCCAAGTAGACCATCGTAGGCGAACGAGTTCTCGTCACCTCCAAGCTCGCAGGAGGGCAAAAAGTTCACTGTGGCCCAACCGACCTTCATGGGTCCCGGTGTCGAAACCTCGAACTCGAAATACCACTTCCCGGATGTGACGGCGTACGTCTTTTCCGCGCGCAATGTTCTCGAATTCAATTTGGCCAATGCAGCGTCCCTGCTCTGGACCTGCTGATCTGTGTCTCCCGCCGGAGGTTCCAGAACATAGCCGTAGGCTAGAAGAGTCTTGACCGTTTCTGCGGCAGTATCCGTGTTGGCTTTCTTGATTGAATCGTCGACGTATTTGTAGGGAACGAGATGTGGGCTGCGTCTGGTTTGGAAGTCCTCGATGATTCCGTAGGTCCATCCTTGTTGGATCCTCTCCCGCGACCAGACGTTATGCGTGTTCTCGGCGAGCAACTCCACCAGAGCGTCCATCTTTGAACTCAGCGTTACCTGAGACAAGTCTAGAGGAGCCGGCTTGTATCCGTTAGGTTGCATGTACGGGCTGAACGTAAAAAAAATATCACGATTACCGGAGGCCCGTCTTTAATCTCGGCTTAATTGGGCGTGGAAGGTCTACGTATAGCCGACGACTAGAGACTAATTGAAGCTCACTCGTTGTGGAGTTTCACCGTCCTGATCCTGCCGGGCGGAGTATCCATTGAGACGTGATACCCGAGTGCAACCACGGTCCTGGAAAGGGTTCAAAAACCTTGTCAGACGAGGAAATCAAATTCTCGGTAATCCATATTCTCATGGACCGATATAATTCTCCGAGAATCGGAATTAGTGGTTCTGTCGTAAAATGTCTCACTTGAGGGTATTCAACGCCAGGAGGATGTCGTATCTCTTCTCAGCCATGGGCAGCCTCGAGAATGGAACGAGGCATGGATGAAGCCACTCGTCGTCATCTTTCTCTTCACCCCAACACCATCCCTCGTCGACTTTGCGCATGGACCACACTTCATGGATGTTTTCCGCAAGTTTGTCGCGCACCTGCTCTATGAACGCGGGCAGGACCACCTAAGATAGGCAACGGATCGAGCGATCATCAACTGCGGAATGATCCCCATTCTTGCTTCAAAATAGGAAACCCTCCTCGATTTGTGTATACGAATATCATACATAGGTACGTATATCGATTGAATGCTATTCTTTTATTTTGAGCTGACTGAGGGCTGCGAGTATCAGCTATTTAGAACGACAGGGCTTAGTTCTTCAACTCACAGTGGCTGTTTCTACGGGTTCCGGTACGAAGGCCACGTCTTCAACGGACGGTTCCGCCGTTGGTCCCTGATAGATGCCTTTGAAAAGGTCCCCGAACATAAAGCAGGGCTCCACGGTGAGCGCCTGCCGCGGCAGCAGGACCTCACATAGTGCCGAATAGCCCTCTGGAGGTCCGTATCGCAAGCGACCTTGGTCCCCACCGAGCAAGAAGCGGCAACTGCAAGTTCGGCGAAATTGTTTGTCAAAGGGAAGCTAGATATTCACAAGCCGCGTCACATCGGTTTTCGACTCGCAGCACCCACCTCACTTTCGCCGAAAGCGATATGACCGGGTAGAAGAGGCCCTCTAGGTTGAAATCCCTGAAACAGCCCTTCACTTTCCGACCGTTGACTGTGAAGCTGATCACCGGGACGTTCAGGTCAAGGATACAGCCGATGACGTCACCGCGTTTGATGAGAGGACTCTCCTCAACCGCGAGAACTTCATTAGCCCGGCCTCCGGTCCATAAACTACGGCCGTCGAAGCCGTACGAGAAGAGATCGTCTCCGACCCCGTTACCACCCCATTTCGATCCTCCGCCTGGATAGGGCACGTAACCCGCTGTCGATGCCCATCCGATACGGAGGTAGGGCTCCAGATGTGAAATCGTCTCTTGATAGTCAACTTGAGCTTCGAAGTACCATCTCCTGAACATGGCCGAGTTTTCTATCTTGCACACGTAGATATTCGGTCTCATGCTGCTGACGTGGTCAACAAGTTTTGTTTGAAGTAGGAGATCGCGACCCGGCAGCAGATTATCGCAGATGTTGTTCTGAGATGAACGTACCGCGATTCCGTTGCCGGTCACGCAAAGGGAGCAGAGGACGTCGAGCACCTTCGGGTCGCGGCCGTGCTTTTCGAGCAGCGAGATAATCACTTTAATGTGATCGGCTTTCATGATATTCAGCGCCTCCGGCGAATCGATCAGGACGCAGTGTAACACATCCAACATACCTGTGGATGGATCGGAAAATTGAATGACGAGCCTTTGAGAGGAGATTTTGTATCAGCTCTCGTTCAGTCAACTCACCGGTTCCTTCACTCGCTTGTTGACTCCCGAGTCTTCCAAAGAGCCAATCGAGTCGATGGGGCTGGGCGAATTGCGCGCAATTTGTGTGATTCCCCTTGATGATACAAGCTAACAGTTGATAGAGGTAGCCGGATATTTCTTCCCAGTTGGGACCTCCCTCGCCCGCAAGAAGGTCTTGTATTGCGGCTTCACTTCCGCCAGCAACTGCGAAGTTTCCGGTAGTGATGGCGTTGATCTTGTCGATCGTGTCGAGCGTAAGGTTCAAGATTCCCTGGAAAAAGGTTACAATATTCCCAATGTAATCGCGATCTCAAAAGTAACAGCTCAGAGCAAGCCATCGACATATTCGACGACTCTCTACGGAGTAGAAGTATAATGCCGTTTCCGAGGTCGCCAACGCTTGCGTGGACAGTCGAAAAGCACCTCTTCTTGGAAGAGATCCTGCCGATTCCTGAGTGCTTTCAGCTTGGCTTGTTTCTCCTCGTGTTCTGAATGGGCAATGGAGGAATAAGATTTGGCTTCAATTTTTTCCACATCATAACATAGCACAGATCATCCTGACCGATTCATGGAATCAATATCGGACGTTTTTCCACAGACCTATGTCGTCTTCGGGTTGAGCAAAGTAATTTATCAAGTCCTCGAAACACAGATTCATTTCTTCCTGGTCGAATGACTCCAGAGCCTTCGCTCCCATGGTCGCCATAGCGTCTAAACTCCTGAGGATGGTATAAATTGGTTCGGAATTCCTCTTTTCGCTCCCGTTATCCTCTGTGGAATGGAGTTCATCGCCGAAATACGAACTTTATGAATTTGGTGAAGAGTGAACCGCATTTGCGAATCACGCGCGCCGTTCTCGCCTCTTCAACCTGAGCCCTCGAGAATTCCAAACCGTCGTCCATTTTGCCTTCTTCTGACATGATGACCTGTTTCTCCTCGACCTTGCCTACACCGCGCTTTTTCGTCTCATAGGTCTGCGGGGAGCAACTCAGATTAATGGTCTAGTGGGCTAGAGTACCTGGCCGCTAAAGAACACGAACCATGCTCCGACCCGCGTCCCAGGTAAAGTATGAATGACGAATCCAATGCTTACCTTATACGAGAGCCAGAGGCTCGTTTCTTGGTGTTGGATGAAAAATGTAGTGTCTCCGTATTTGACGAGAGGGAATCCGAGCACTTCTTCATCTTTCTCATCGATTTGAACTTTCTTGTCGTCCTTGTCTTTCCGGAGCCAGAAAGCCGTGCTCGACAATGTAGCCTTCTCCGGTGGTACGAGGCAGACCTCTTTGTCCTCGTTGAAGGACAAATATTGACCTGAAGGAACCGAGCTTTTCAACTACTTAACAGCAATGAAGTGCTCATTAAGATCGAGGGTGTGAGTCAGGGGGGTTCCTCCTCTCTTCTGTCTGATCGGCGAACCCCCCTCTCGTTCAGTCGATCATCGTGATTCAATTCTCTGATGCGAAGAGATTCCCTGGGACTGCTCAGGACTGGGGATCTCAGTTCCTGCAGCAGCCCGCTCAAGGTCACCGAAACTTCAATCGTAGAGGTCCGATGCAATCCCTACGACCCACGACCGCCGACGGAAGCAGCTCTGCCTAATGATCTAAAAGTCAGGAATGTACATTCGGCAGACGGAATGAGAGAACGACGCTAAGAGACAGAAAACCCACACTTTCCGACGGCAATGCACCTGGTGACCTTGAAACTGGTAACTTTATCGCCCCCCCCTCCCGAGCTGGCTCCCCCTGGGTTCTATTCGGTTCGCTTCGCCGCTCTTTCCACAAGGTTACGCGCTTCGCGAATTAGCGTGCCACCAACGGAAAGCCCGGAACATACCTGTTGTGATATGATGTATTCTCAGAGGGTTCTCCCAATTGATAAAGGCTCCGGCCCATTTGGTGCGCACCAGTTCGAGACGCCACAATGAACGTGCCTGGTTCAACACAGCACCGCCCTCGTAGACGACAATGCTGGAATACGATCGTCGGTCGCTTAGAGTTCCACACCCCGGCATGCTGCGAGTGTATTGCGAGCTCTAGCTCTCAATTAACTCACTTCTGACCCGGCTCCTCGGTCCAATTCTGAGGTATGGTGAGACATTCGTCACCCGAGTGATAGAATCGTATCACCTCGCCGCCGAAGACGTATCCAACGTTCTTGGTTCTCGAAGCGCCGGTTCCGAAAGGAGCGACCGGCCAGTGAGTCAAATGGAAGGATGCGTTCACGATCGTGTTCTCCCCCTCCTTCGCGGTGTGCTGCAACGGGAATTGGGCTAGGCTCGCGGGGGAGCTCCAAAACTCATACAATAAAATGTTTGGACTCCCTGGAACATCGATGGAAGTTCAGCTCTGATATCTGATCCGTACCAAGTATCTTTCTGTCGCAACAGACACCAGAATAAGATCGTCCCCCACCCGGACTTTTTCTCCCTCGGAACGTTGCTTCGACGCGGGATGAATCGTCCACCAACACGCTTCACCTGCAGCATAGTGAACAGAATTATCGATCGGAACTTCGCTGATGGATTCTCGCGGGGAATATCCCTGCAGATAAGTCCTCCCATGTGCTCACCTTCGGAGTGATTCTGCAAACCGACGTCGAAAGCCAGTTTGTCGTTCGAAGATGATGACGAAAGGCAGGCAAGGTACATGTTGCTGCTCTGATGTCGCAGAAGAACGGCGTGACCGTAGAGGAGGGTGCGGTGTCCCGACTGCGTGCTTGTGCTCTGCACGGTAAAGATCGAAACAGTGAATTTAATTCCGGGAATGCTTTGTTTTCGTTTGATTCTCCAAGAATTATCGAAAGCGTCTTGAGTTGATGTGCGAGAAAAAGTTCACTCACGGATTCACCGGAATTCGTCGCCGTGACCATCTCCTGCAGCGCTCGGACGGATAAGGCTTGTTCTATGACGAACACGCAGGATAGCATCGCGGGTGGGAGATCTTTGTCTGCTATGTTCTCCAGATAACAATGCCGGTTGCCGAAACCTGAAGTTTTCCAATCTCGGTATAATCCATATCCGATCCTGGGAAACCCGACCGGCGAAAGGGAAGCGCTATCCTCTGATTCCGAACTGGATCTTATACCGAAAACGCGGGCCTTCCCGTCTGTGCCACACGCCCAACCCTCGATAGAGGGTGAGGTGCGTGTCCGACTCGGGACCGGGAACCGCAGCTCCTCGAGTATGACCCACCATGTTTCCTAGGTCAATGAGTGCAGTGAAAACATTGACGGCCCTCCCCCGAATTCCGAGAGCTCCACACAAGCGTCTCCCTCCGGAATCTTCCGACCGAATAGTACTCGAGGAAAAGACCGGTCCTGATCTGTGAAGAGCATATGATCGAAGACGCCAAATATCGGAGCTTCATGATGGTTTTCCGTCATGACTAGGAGTGCGCGGTTGGGCTCGAGTGCCCAGTCAGGCCAAGGGATGTTTTATCCAAGACAGCGTGTTATGGTCCTTCATGCCCCCCGGGTTCCCGAGCGGGCTCATGACAACAGAACTGGGAGCCGGCACTTCTGGTTGATGATCGATCATAACTCAAGATATGGCCTTGAGATCAAGAAGCTTGCCAAAGGACCATTTCTCTTCCACAACTATCTCCACTCAAGGCTTAGTGCTTTCAAAATTCCATTTTTATGCGATTTATCCGTGGCGTTCTTCATTGAAGTATCCGGAATCCCCGCAGACTTGGGCGAGCGATCGCCCCTCTAAGCCTTGGGGAATCCTCCGAGAATCCAACGATCGAGACGGAACCGAATCCGAGTTTCATCGTTGTCCGTAAGGGTGTTTCGGTTCCATTCGCACACCGCTGATAAGCATACTGACAAATGATGATACGGTTGTCGTTCGCATCTATTGTTTTGAGAATTCATTGCAATACGAGTCGCTTCCTTCTATTCGGGTCAAGCCGGAGCGAGTTCAGCCACGGGCGCTGACACTTGTCGGGAGAGAGAATACCCATCAAGACCACGGAATTCCTAAAGACAGCTCGTGAATCAAATCATAATGCCTTAATGATTTCCCCTTCCGAGTTTCGAACCCTCTCGGGTCCAGGTCGATCCGCTTCCGATGCAATCGATCGAAGTTGCCCCTCACAGCTATCGGGCCATTCCGACCAAATCATTAACCTCAGGGCAGCTACCTTGACGGAGAGTAAAATAGCTTTTGCTCAACGAATGTGTCTATTGTGGCAGCATAAATGCTGTGGTCTGAGACGGTCCGAGACGGCGACCCGAGCGCTTGCTGCTCTAACCCGGTTAGGCTTATGCCGAGCTTCTCCGACAGCGGGCCTCACGCTTCACAGATTCGCCGTGAGCATATCATGTCGTCTTTAATGTACTCTTCGAACTATGGCGTTCGACGTGAATTTCAAATGCGACAGATGATAATCGCCGTGCGTTCTTTCCATTCCAGGAATACCGACTGGATCATTTGCTTCCGACAGAATCGACAACATCTGCGGTCCGAGAATTTCGAACGCTTATAGATTTCGCTCGACGAAGTCTCCCCGAGGCATCGGCGACAGCCACCATTTTTCTCCGATTGCCACAGAGCATCGTTAAGAAACTCACCCTCGGCAGCGAGGCAGACCCTGGTTCCTGTAGCTGTACATTGCAGGCACACCATGTCATCCTGAAAGCACCGAAACTTTAGATCGATCATCACAATCACACGGCGCACCGCACTGAGATTGGAATCATGAAATCCAAAGCTTGTTCTCGATCGATTCCGCATACCGTCCGGAGGAACGAAAGATCATCCTGCTCCGAGGAAGCGCCCTCGGGCCCTTCCGCCATTATTACTTCACCTCCTGGATCTGATCTAAGAGCGGGAGCTCGCGCTCAAACACGGTTTCGCACTCTTCTGAGCTCTCTTGGTAAGCTCTCGCCGCTTGGCAGAGCCCTCTCATCGAAGCTAGTCTCCTACTCATAAACAAGAGCAACCCTAGGCTGCTAGTTTCATCCCACCCTCTGGCCTGTGCGCATTGAGACCAGATTTCACCACGTACCGTTCTCAAGAACGAGATGTCATCCTGCTCCGGGGACGGCTCGCCGGGATCCGCCATGGCTCGACGCGGGAATTCACTCCACCGACTCTTACTCAGCTTATGGACTCGTTCACCTAATTCAAGATCGGAAGCTACCTAGACTACAAGTCAAAATGGCGGAATCGACTGGAAATGCGCTCTGGGAGAGCGCTACTAGTGCACTACTATTGTGGTTTATATTTAGAAGCGCTCAGACTAAGGGTCGAGTACTGACGGTGCACTTCTCGCTAGGTTGCCACTGATCTCTCATGGGGTTGAGCATGATCTCGAGATTGCATAGCTCGTAGGGGTCCGTATGGTTTGGGATCTAGGACCATTTAGGGGAAGGCAAATAAAAATGCCTACCCTGAAACGGGCCAGTCCCTCAAACTTGGCAGCGGCGGAACCTCCCAGTGGAATTCCGGGGCTCGAGATGATAAATAATCACGAAGAGAATGAAGAAAGTTTCACTTTTTCTTTATTTGGATTCCCATCACCAGTTTTCTGAATAGCAGTCCCGTATAGCTCTTTGACATTTTTTCCATTCCGAAGACGACGGTTATCTGCTCGGTCTCGACATCGCGAGCATTTCCACAAATCTAAGCGTGGAAGAATTCAATCTAAATTAGAAAAGTCGCTATCTTCAGAGACTTGAGAGAACGGAAGGAATCCGGTTAGAGACATGAGCACGCTGTCAGCGATGAGTCTCACGGCGCAAACGCCCTCGACATTAATTTTCTAGTCAGGGCGTTGTCACCGATCAATCAGGGCGGGGGTCTTCTATTCTCACCTTCTCCCTATCCGTATATAAAAACACTTTATTATTATGTATATAAGCGGCTTGCACTCATTGAAGTCGGATTGTACCGGTATTCTAAACATTCAGCCTATATATATCTATATATATACATACAGCAGAGTTTAACGGCTCCGCCGGGTGAGAGGCCTCACCCTATGGTAGCCAGCTTGGAATCTGAGAGCCTTCCCCGTGTGAGGAGGAATCCCCGTCAATGATGACGTGCGGTAAGCGAAAAAAAATTTGTACGATCTCATCCTAGAGCTCTTTCCTCAGAGACTCTCACTCGGATACAAAGCTTCCTCCCCGTCGGGAATCGCTTTCTCGTCGCCACCGAATTCCCGCCAGCGGCTTGATTATCTACTTTGCCGTGATTATTATTCCTAGCCAAGACTTGATTTCAGCCTCAAAGCTGAGCGTGGAATGCGGGAATGCCGAGCACGAACTCGAGTCGAATATGTGGTCCCAATGAAAATTTTCTGGAATGTTCATCTGAATACGCAGCCGCAGCTATTGCAGGATATTCTGTGGAATATGACTCAGTCGGAGCTCGAATGGATTCACGATTGATTGATTGATTAATGATTGCACCAGCTTGACTAATCTTGCTATTTACACATGATGTCGCCGTTTGAGGACAGCTCCCAGTCGGGGGTTGCCGGCAGTGATGCCGACGCATGTTAACTCAACAAATCGAAAGCGTTGTTGTTCGTCGGTGAAAGATTATTGTTTTGGTTCTGGCCATACGATGCAATCGGGTGTCCCGTGTTCCCAAGGGTCAAACTTTGAACGTTCGAGGCCAACTGATTCATCGTAGGTCTTGGGGCTTGTTGTTTCGGGCTCAACAAGTTGTCGACACTAATGTTAAGCCCGGTCCAAGTGCTCCCCAATGCTCCCGGAGTTTGGGCGGGGGTTTGTGCTCCAAGCGAGGATTGATTCGGCGTCATCGTGGGAAGGAGTGGTGAGGCCTGCAACGAAATCAGAACCCTGAGCATGCCAGCGATCTGAGGAAATTCGCTGGAATTATGAAAAACACCCCTATCGGGATGGATCACAAATCACAAGTACGAAACGTCATGCGATAGGAGAAATGATTGGGACCCGGAACGTACCCCCATAGCAGGCATTGTCGTCGGCAGCACCGGACTCATGACGTTCATGACGCCGGGAGGAGACACGGACGAGAATGTCGAGGGCTGGACAGGGGGCAGCGAGAGTGGCGGCCCCCCGAACAGATCTTCGGGGAGCGCCGATGAATTGTTGTTGATTGTACTTGAAGTTTGTATCGGCAGCGAGTTGTACTGCTTAGACGGAGGGGCGTTTGAATCGAACGAAGCGAAGTCGGCGAAATCATCGTCTGTGGCGGAGCTCAAACCCGTACCCGAGGTCGCGGGTGCGGCCCTTACCGACGGCGCGTTCTGGAACTGACTGAAGTCGGCAAAGTCTCCGTTGGCAGAAGATGGGGTGCTGCTCGATCCGAAGTCACCGAATCCGTCCAGGAGGTCAGCACTTTTCGGAGCCGCCGTTTCCGGCGTCGGTTTAGACTGGGTCTGCTTGGCTTCCGCAGCGAACGTGGCAGCCGCTCCGAGATCGATCATTTTTGAAGGCACAGATTTTCGGGGCTTGTTGTCGAAATTGTGATGCCCGGTTGTCGGCTTCGGTGCGGGCGCAGCGTCGTCGTCTTCGAAAGCGTTCTCCTTGCGCTGGGGAGGTGATGGCGAGTCCCGGAATCCGCGCTTGTTCTCGCGATCACTGTCCTCGTCGTTCGAGTCTCCGAAACTGCCTCTTCTCTGATTTCGCCTCTCCGAGGGAAAATCTGAGAAGTCAGCGTCCCTCCTGGAAGCGAAGCCCATCGATTCACCGGAGAGTCCAATGTACTTGTCTTTGGATTTCTTCGCCTTCTTGCGCTCGTTGCGGAGTCTGTCATCGTCCATGATCATCTCGATGAGGTCCTTCACACGATTCCGCACTGGAAGCAACGGACCAAAGGATGAGAGATCCGAAATACAAACCATAGAAACTCGTCAGCCGATTCCAGACACAGACGCCGGGTCATATGTGAATTTCGACGCGAGCCGCGACAAGCACGATTCCCGAGCTTACCGTTTACGCCTTGATCCTTGCCCATCTCATCGACGAAGGTGTAGTTTTCCAAACCTCTCAGGTCGTAGATATGCTCTCTGGCGGATGTCACAACCCGCTCGGAGCCATTCTTTACCAGGTAATCCAACAGCAGGAGACCTGAGCGGAATCAGAAATTATTAATGAAAATCAATAGTAATCTTTCCGGGTATTGGGAGGTCCAGCGAATTCGACCGAATGTTTCGAAGAACGAGCCACCCCTGAGTGGCCTTCCGAAGAAATTGAGGAGGAAATATCCGCGTTCCTCGCTCGGATTCCCCGAGATGCGAACATTATTCACAGAGCCCACGTCTGCTCTGCTCCGGGCAGGGACAGCTATTTCAGACGTCGCGCCGTCCGAATGAGCACGTCGGAGCTCGCCAATGCTGAGAATCGATATTCCCGTAAGGCCGCGTGAAGCGATAGGTCTGGCTCCCTCAAGAGTCACGACACAGAGCTACCCATAGGAGCAAGATTCCGCATAGCGGATGAAATTTTGCCAATTCGGCATCCGAATACATTTGAATCGTGGTGTCGAGCGCGGTGGAATCGCTGACCGCTCCCCCAAAAGTCGTAGATCCCGGGAACCGAGCCCACCCGTCTTCCCTGGAGAGCCTCTCTCCCGAGATTCTCAATCGAAAATAAAATCATGAACCAGAATTGCCCTGGAGCTCGCGAATCGAACTTATTTCTCCATCGCTGCATCCCAACGGGAGCTTCAGCGAAAACCCTAACGGTAATTCTGAGAAGAATATTGGCGGGAGTTCTGGCAGGAACCCTTGCGTACTTCCCGGGCGGAAATTTTTACCTTTGTAGACTCTTCTCCAGACGCGTTTGTTGTCCTCCAACAGCCGCCGCCATAACATTCCCATCACTTCAGGGAACGACTCGTAGGAGAAAGTTGCCTGAGAGATTTCCTGCATCAACGACGAATGCGGGCCCCAAGGCTCATCGTTCGTTGCCTCTCGCACTTTCGCTTCCTGCTCCGTGTAGTTGTAGAGTACATTGGTCCTGCAATGGGTCATACAGGTCTGTATAAGAGCTGTTCCACACGGCCGCTGTTCTGTGCATCGCATCCGATCATGCAGGAGCCGCTCGCTGAGCGTCACGTTTCGCAGAATTCCTGAGCAGGATAATCCACGGCAGACGAACTGGACAAAATGCAGGCTATCGCTGTATCTTACGAGGGAGCACCGGATTAGGGACGATCGGAGAGAAGTCGGAAGCGCCGGGTGGAAGAACCATATATCCACTCTAGAAGTGTTGTGACATCGCCCTACCGACAGGGGCATTGTTTACGACCGTCACAACGGAGAGCGATCCTTCACCAGGGACGTTCCAGTCTGTTCGAGAGAAACTATCCACAGATTCAGCTCATGACCAGCAGGATTTCTCGACTCGAATTGAATCCCGGAGGAACGACTCAATAAACTGCAGACGTGCAACTCATCGTTCGAAAAAGAGAAGTAAATGATCGGGCGGACATCGAGTCCTCCGAACTCTCGATCGAGATGATTTTCTCATGCGGCCGCGAGATCGGACGACCGTAAAAGAATCCTCTTCCTTCGATGGAGACAATCGTCGATCAAACCCACAGAATAAGATTCCGTCCCGGCTCCCGATTTTTTGAATCGAATATCCAGTCGTCGCTCCAATGATTGCCTCGGAAACTAGTCATCTCTTCAATAAACTCCCCCGAAGCTAGACATTTTTGCAAGAATCCTCCCGGAAGCTTTATTCAAGTGAACGAATGAATCGACAAGTACTCTAAAACCCCGTTCGGTTTTCGCCTGATCTGACCAAGTACCGATCCGGGCACCGAAAACTGGTTTCTCCCCGATGTCATTGAGACGATATATATCGTTCATGTGGGAAGTTCGGCGCACCACAGCGATCTCTCTGCAATGAGAATCTCGAATACGTGGCCTATGCTCTCCACGTAACAGGCCAAGTCAGTTCGAGCCTATGATCTCAATCTCTAGACTCTCACCGATCGGAAATGGAAATGCCCGCGGATCGAACGCCAACTGCTCAATCCACGAGATATCGCAACAATTCACCCCAAGGCCACCGTGAGGGCCGAAATCATACCTATACACAATTCCATATGGAGCATTTGCGTACGACCAGGACGATCGACATGCAGGAGTTATATTCAGGGAAAATTTTCTTGGAAACCGCCTCCCTGTCAAGGATGACACGCCTTTCGAATGTTGCGCGTGATTACGAAACATGCCAACCGTAGAACAGATGTCCCTTGTTCGCGTTATCGATCTGTCACTGGGAATGGCCAGCAACCTGTTCGCATAATTGAGGGTATCTACCGGCGTTCACTTGTGTCCCCAGAGAGCGGCGCCCCAATCTCCGCCAGCAGTCTACGGTGGTGTCTCTCGACGCATCTGAGTGAGAACGGTTGAACTTACGCCTTGTCGATGATTTCTTTGACTTTCCAGTTGAGATTTACGTTGAACATGATGCGGACACGAGACAGCAGTATCCAGCGGCGGTCGGGGCAATGCAAACTCAAAACAAATACGAACGAATACAGAGGAGAAAAGTCAGCACACGACCAACCTCACAGCAGACCCGGACACCCAACGTAAACCTCTATACTACGACGACGGTGACGGCGGCAGCGACGGCAACAACAACAGCAACGACGGGACCAGCGGCGGCGGGGAACTACTATACAAAGTAGGCGGCAGACGACAGCAGACGCCTGTCTGATTGGCGGTTTCGCTGCGGCTCAGTCCCTACCCTTTCTCAGTTGAAGAATTGAGCTTTCAAATTACCCGATCGATCGCTTGGGTATAGGATACCTGTTTTCTCATCGGTCCAGGCAGGGACAGTCATTGGTGACTCTGGATAGTTTATCGACCATGCCCTTGAATGCGTCCTGTCAGTACATAGGAAGAGAAGCGCATAAGATTCTAAGGGAGTTATCTATATCACGTGATACTGACCGAGGGCTGTTCTGCTTGCAAGTCGCGCGTCGAGCGTTGTCTTGGCTAACTGGGAAGCTCACGCTTGAGTCAGCCCGCTGAAGAGCCTCGTCAGTTTTTTTTTTTTCATGCGCTTGCGCAGCTTCTGGCATGGATATTCTCGAAGAAGCAGGGAGCTATCCCCCTGTTCCCTGGGCCTTCGAATCTGGCAGGCGGTCAGGATACACGGATTGGTGGCGGGCAAGTGACCACGCGGGATGGCTCTCCTCCATCCGCAGTCCTCTACGATATTGCGATTCGAGATGCGACGCCTGGGCCTCGGGAGATCCATCCGTTTTGACGTGAAGCGTCTTTAATTTCGACTTGAGGGGCGCGTTCAATGTACTTCGTCCTTCATGTGAAGATTTAACGCGGCTTTTGAGAGGCTAGAACTTTCTTTATTGTGCACAGAATTTTTGTTTGATTGTATTGATCGGCAGACAATTTGCGGGACAATCTTCTATTCGAGTATGAAATTAATCTGAGAATGTTGAGAGCCCTTACGACCCGATTTCCAATCATACTGATATTCTCCGCGGTTACTTGATGAACATGTCTCCAGATCCTATGAACATTGGATTTCAAAGCTGATTCGACTTACATGCCAAAGCTAGTGTCTTTGGTCCCCCTGCGCAACTCGAGGATCAGGCTCTCGAGTTCCGAAGAATGTTTTATTTAGAAGGAAATTGTATGTTATCCATCCTGATCATATACATATATGCACATCGTTTTTTATGGAACGATTTCTGGTCAGCTGTGCGGTAGATGTTCCTTGATTGTGCGTCGCGCACGGGATTCCTAGTCTAGTATATCTATCGATGAGTATTAGGGAGCTGCATATGATTCGGGCCCTATTTTCCGAATGACGATATTTCGGCGGACGGCCCTCGCAATCGTTCAACTGTCGCGATGGAACCAATCGGCAAAAACAGACGATATCGGTGTTGGAAGACACCATGAAGATGATCAATCTTGGCGTTTGGTCAGAGTTTGTGGGAAAACTTGATGGCAAACAAGGACAGGCTGTCATCATCCGAAACGTGCAAAAAAAAAAAACGTGACCACGCGGGATGGCTCTCCTCCATCCGCAGTCCTCTACAATATCGCGATTCGAGATGCGACGCCTGGGCCTCGGGAGTCTCGGGAGATCTATCCGTTTTTTCGGATGTTGCATGACAGTCATTCCCATACAGCAGGACAGTTGACGCTCGTAACGGGGAAGATTGTGAAGGGAGAGAACCTCATCTGGTCCGGGCTCGGACGCTGCAAAGGCCTCAGAGAAATGTGAACCATGACCACGGAAAGGAAGCTCGCCGATCTCTGTTTGCCGTCAGCTCTTTGATGGCTCGTTCCCCGCTGAACTAGGAAAGAATTCCTCAACTCCGGGGGATTCACGTCTTCCTTTATATCCTGAAACTGTAAATCGAGCTCGTCTGACTTCCTGCCTTTATCGCGGCATTCCAGCTGATGAGTTTGACCCCGGAATGGTCCTGAACCTCGAACCGTAGAGTCAAAGGCATTAATGTACACGGATTCACATTTGGCAACAGAATCATCTTCGTCAAACCACATGCATGCATGCAGGATCGGATCTCCACCCACGTGAAACTCCTCTCTCACCTCTCAGGCGAGTGGGAAATCGACGAAGCGCACAACATCTGCCTGGTCTTGAGCCTAGCGGATCAGTCAGTTTAAGGTGTGAACTGAAGGGAATCTTTCACATTTCTCATCATCTGCGACGCTCGATGCTGAATGCCCACTGTTCTCATCAGTGGACTCAACTTACTCAATCAAGTTGATTCCTGCTACCTACGGTCGTTCCTCCATATTTCGAGACGGAGCTCCTCCATCTACGAATTTCTCAAATCAGCTGATTTCAGCGAGGACCGTTCCGTCGGAAGGTTCGCTCGAGTCAGCGCCAATGGTGCGCCACTTGATAGAGAAGTTTCTTCGAATGTCAGCGAATCTCGAGCCGATCCTGAGAGCCGAGATTTCCAAGATGACAGCGACGTACAGGGGCCGAGGGCGGGGAATGAGCAGCGGACTCCGATTATGGTCACGATAGGCGGGATATTCATGAAGTCAAATCGGGCCACCTCAATCATTGAAGTTATTATTGGTCCACCGTTGAGGAGGCTGATCGGGAGAGCATGGGGAGCAAGAGGGTCTGAGAGTCAAGAGGTCTGAGAACGACGCCGCCAGTAGAAGGGACGGAGATTGAGATTTTCGAATAGGATTCCCCTTTCATCGGGGCACGAAGCAATACGTCATCGGAAACTTCAGCTCATTTATTCAGGCTATCGACATAATCAAATAATATATCTATGGGTTTGTGTGTGCTAGTTTGATGCCATGCTGATGAAAGACACGAGCCTTGCCGTACGTTGCTAATTCTGTAGAGTGCCGGTATTCTGTACCACGATCAACATGTAGTTTTTATCGGGTGCGATCATGAGTTCGTGCTTCTTCGTCCGCAATCTGTAATTCAAAGCAGGGGACGTTAGTTTTCCCCTACTTCAGATATCTCATGAAGAGAATATCGGTCCTTCTTCGGATCGAGTACTAGGATATCGTTCCAGTCCACGAGACTTCAGAAGCTTGGAGAGACTGGGGCGGACTCCGATCTCCCCGCAGCAAACGTCTTTCTGGGGGGAGGAATCGTCCTCCAGAGATTATATCGTACCTCAGGAAGGTCAGGTCATTCGCGGAATCTAATTCTCGTACAGCCGCTTTCGCCGCATCTGAGAGGTTCGATACTACCGAAGCGTACTTGGTAGTTGTGGGCGTGTCGAAAGTAGAGTGAATGGGATTACCCTCATGAGTTGTCACAATAACGCCTGTGAAGAAAAAGACGAGGGATGCATCTGCTTATTATCTTCGAGGTTTTGAAGAACTCCTGGATCCTTGAGCTGTATGAAGAGAATCTCCATGAAGAATTAATAGACTTCAGCTCTCGTCATCCTAGAAGATTTGTGCTGGCACTACACGCATCCCGAGGATTATTTGAGATGGACGACACCGCCTTCGTGAGTCTCATATTCTGAACTCGCACCGATAGATGATCTGAACTCCGCAAAGAACTCTCCCTCGGGATCGAAGAGCAGCCCCAGGGAATCGTCGTACTCGGGGAGGAACCGGGTGAAAAGCGCCGGCCCGTTTCAAAAATATTGAAATCCCTCCCGCTCATTGAGGAAGTTTCGCTTGTCCGGGGAGAAACTCGAAATTGACTATCGGTTAATATTTCGTGAGTTTCCAACTTACCGACAACGCCTTTCTGCGCCTGGATCCTATTGACAGTTTCCTCGACTTCCGTTACCATCGCGCTATGAAGAAGACTCTTCCGGACGTTCCGAGATTCGCTTCAAGAGCGAAGTGGGAGCACAACCAGATGTTTTTTTCGAACGTCGGAGCCGAATGATGAGTCAGGGAGGATGATCCCATTGCCTAGGCAACTTTTTCGGGATGGGGGGGGAACACGGCAACTTGACGACGATATCGACCAGACGGGTCTTCTCTCTCTCTCCCGAGAGCTAGAGCAAGTCGAGTGAGTGACGAGTGACGAATGATTCTGGATCTGTGGACATCTGTCGGAAGTCGTGAGAGAGAACGCGAGCACGAAAAGAATGATGACAATGATTTTCCTCAGGAAGGGGAGCTGGATTGAGTTGGAGTCTTCCTCAGACAGACATCGATGTCATTAAAACTCCATCTGGAATGAGAGTCAAATATCTCCATTACCCGATGCGAAAGTCTCCCATACACGCGTCGGTACAAATTATCAGAGGCGGCGAACATACTGGGGTGCCGTCGATTTCCCTTTCCTGCTGATACAAGCTGCCCGCCGAAAGTACATTAAGTGTGTTCCCATCATCTATCTCAACCCGCCAAAACAAGCGGCGCAGGCTGTCGCCCCTCTCGCCGGTCTGCTGTGAAGTTGTTTTGCCTCTGCATCCGATTCCCGTCTGACCGAGTTCCAAAATCCTAAGGAGGCTCGTCTCGGCTCATGTGAGAATTCGATATGGAACCTTTAAGGGCTAATAGAGGAACTTGTACCCTAATTCAGTAGAGCTGCGATACTCAGTAGGATTCGAATACGATCAGGCTGATACCTCTAAGTGCTGAGTGCAGTGTCATTCGGAATGCGAGTATGATGAGTCTCGACCAAAATCCGTGGAATGACGGGAGATAGACGATTGTGAAAAACTACTCATGGTGACTGCCACTCAAAATGGAACTAGATTTTAGATGGGAGTTCGTTATAGTTTTCGTGATGTATTTCTACGGTGTGAGCTCTCAGAGCCAGTGTCACCTGAACATCAGCGCACCTTACGTCAGTCATTCGCCTTTGGTACCGTGCGAATTTCTGTGAGTATCGTTTGAGCTGTACTCGAAAAGCGGATCTTCGTGCTCGGTGCGAAATGCGCTGTGGTGATTGAACTCTTGCCGCTCGTATATGGGAGAAAATGTTGCTGACGCCTTTCGAATCGTAACTCTGTTCCAGGCCCATGGATTTTCTAGAGTGTTCAGACCCGATCGATCTTCGAGGTAATGATACTGCCAGAGAAGAGCTCAAATACGGATGTTCCCGGGTAAGCGAGACTCAAAAATTATAATCATAGTCCACACACCTGAGATACGGGGAGTTGAACAGCTCAAAGCACGACCCACTCTTGAACCCTTATCTACTACACTGAGGTGCGGCATCGGGTACACAAGTTATACGGCCATCTTAAGAGACAGGAGCAAGGATGAAAGGAACGTTGAAGAGAAAATTTCCCTTTTGTTTCAGTGGGGAGGCAACCGGTACGAAGAGGTTCAAATGTCCGCGGTAAACTGTACCGTTCTACCGAACATCGAATGTTACGGCAACCGAACTTTCCAAAAGGAGGGATTCCCTTGCATAAAGTAAGTTGGGAGAATCTACAAGAGACATCTATTTCTCTGGTCACGGAGGGGAATCAGAATCGCCTTGGGTGGATCACGTTAGTTCTCCCAAGCTCACAACTTCAGAACGAGAACCTATCGCTTGACTTTAGCTTGAAGTAGACCGCGACTTTCAAGCTCAATTACCTTATCGAACCATATTCCAGGTACACCGGTCATTATTTCACAACAACGTTCTTGTACTCGCTCCTGCTGGGCTTCCTCGGCATGGATCGATTCTGTCTGGGACACACAGGCACCGCGGTCGGGAAATTGCTCACTGTGGGAGGCGTTGGGATTTGGTGGGTCGTTGATATTATTCTCCTGGCGACAGGTAATCTCATGCCCGAAGATGGGAGCAACTGGATGCCATATGTATAGCATTGAAGTGACCGGCTCCTCTCGAGACGCCGGAGAAGTGTGAATAATAGCTGTTCAAATAAACTTAAACGAAGTCAAGTTGTGGAAGCTCACTGAGTTCGACCGTTCCTTATTCAGCAAGGTTCAGAATGTTGGTCTTTCTCAGCGTTGCGCCCATGATTGCTCTCTCGACAAGTCGTCGTTCGCTCGGCGAATCGAAGGTCTCTCGTCAGAGTCGTGTCGGCGACACGTGGTGCTTCTGGGAAAGGAATCAATAACGATTGAAACGAAATTTATTTGAGTTATGTACATATTGTAAATTCACGTATTGCTCCACCAAGTGATTGCTCCCAATCCCGGTTCGTTCATAGCGGCTTCGAGCATGTATGAAACCGGTAGGTTTTGCTGCTGATTCGTGTCCAGCGTTGGCCCTACCGGCGAGCAGTCAGTGAACTTTTCGTCAACGACCCTGAAGCGAACCCGATCGCCCACCTCGAGGAGAAGATTGTGGGATTCGCCGCTATCAGCTCCGTATTCCCAGATCCAGCAGCCTGTGGATAAGCGGTGAATCACGACCTTAATATAACATTTCGATTTCTCGATGCAAGGATCATGCAGCTCGACCATCTAGGATCGATCCAGAGAGATTCACATGCTTTGCTCGCGCGCAGGGGAATAATTCCCGAGAGATTTATGACATAATGACTCGACCGGTCATCTCACGGTCGCTCTCATTGTCGACCGCCTCCAGCGCGATTATTTATGGAACTGAGCTCGGGAATTCGATCCACTCCTCGTCGAGAATCGGGGACGGAAGAGGCGATAACATTCCGTATGGCGAGTAGGAGTCAAATCGCGGAGCTGGAGATTGGGCTTTGTTCACGACGGCCTAGGATATTATGAACGGCCCGAAGGCGATAAACTCATGACAGAATCCTGTCTTTTGCACAATGGCTGAGGCTTCATTTAGCCCCTGAAAGTTCTCCCCTTCCCCCCGGGTCTCTGACCAGGGCGATTAAGCGAATTCTAGTTTTGATTTAAAAAAAAAATCTTTTACTCTATATACATATTTGGGAAAGGCTTGAGATCGTCGCTCACCTTTCGCGCCGTCCCAATGTGACGGATGTGGTAACCTCGTACCCTGCACAATGATGTCGTCGAAAAACTCCAGCGAAATTTTGATTCCTTCCGGCGACATCGAACGCACTCTACCCTCGATAACTTCGTTGATGAAGGGTCGGAAAACTATCGCCCGGAAATAGACCTTCTTGTGGACCGCTCCATCTCCCGGCAGAATGTGAAAATCGGTTTTTGAGCTCTGGGGTAGGAAATCCAAGACCTTGATGAACAGTCCACAGTTCAACAGAACCTGCAAAGAGCGAAACTCTCACTTCGGAGGACCATTTCGGCGTGCCCCGCTCGACTACGCTCAAACTTCGCGAAAATTATCCGATTCCATCCACGGTGGGAGGCAAGGGTCTAACCGAGTCCAGCATTGGGATCTCACCTTATTCACAAATTTATTGTTGAGAGCTTGCCGTAGAGCCTCGTAGATCGACTTCCCAGTGAGTTTATCGGGTTCAACACGCACAACGTCACTGAGCTCACTGACCACAAACATCTAGCCCACGCTTGCAAGGGATTGATTTCTTGGAGTAGCATGTGTCCGAGCGTACCCTCGAAGAAGCTAAGGGAATACGGAGAGCATTAGACGTGAGAAGTTGGTCCATATGAGCGCTCAATCTTTGGCGCCATGTGGAAACATGTACCGGGGAAATCTCTAACTCATGAGGTTACATCATTGGTAGGCGCGCAGTCGAGTGCGCGGAACTCACTTTCAGAAATGATCTCTTCCGCACGATCTCACCGCAGGATAATCGAGGAGATCTGAATCCCGCGATGTTTCTCGGTGAATGACAACAACAGCTTCAGATGGTGCTCCGAGCTAGCAGACGAAACTCGAGCACCAAAGGACGACGACAGGGCCGAAGAACACGTCGTCTGCTTCCTGAATCGCGATTGCAGAAATGTGAATCGCTGTCCATGGTTTTGTGCGAAACCTGGTCGACGAAATATCCGGACGCTGCGATGCTCCCGAATATTCCAAATCGATTCTCCAACTCCTGAGCTATATTTGAGGTTCTCACTCACAGGTTTTCAGGCCCCGCGCAGTGCCCTTGACGAGAGTTTTGGATTTTACCGCCTTGAGCCCTCCCTTTCATCGGGGTTGCGAGTCTTGCCAACAATGAGCGGAGTTCCCCCTCTCCTCATTTCTAATACGTCCACTGGCTCCAGATGATCGACAGAGAGTGCTGTGCGGGCGCAATGTACGGACGTGCTTCTATGTGGCTCCGTAGAATAAGCCCATAGTGTCGATATCTTAGTTCGGTTCATTAGGAAACTACGTAGAACACTTTCGGAACTTTCGTCATGACGTTATGGACTGTCCGCTGGTCCTTTTGGAACGCGGTGTAGTGGCTTTCAGGCGTGTGTGGTAGAGTTTCTTGGGCTATGGTCAGGGTGCGCCTGAAAAAACGGGGCGTCCTGCTGCCCACCCTGTTTTCCCTGTCCCTCACAATAAGTGCTGTTTCATGTGAGTTTATAGACGAGCTAAGCTAGTGTATTCGCTCGGGGAGGATTCCGTCAATTTCGGAAGGCTGCTTCTCTCGCACTCCGATGAGCCATCGTCCACCGTGTGTCCCCGACTGATTCCTTCCGTTGTACTCGCGACCAATGACCTCCGCATTATCGAATGAGAGGCTTTTGCGGCGCATTCCTTGCCCTGGAGCCGGAAGAAAACCTGTATCGATCTGGGAATATTCGAGCGAAACCTATATTCCGTTTCGTTGCGGTGGAGCTGAGTTTCTTCTCGGTGCGGACAGAGCGAGCCGGGGCGTACTCCCTATCGGAACCATTCCTCCCTCAAATGTGGTTTATCGAGTAGAATGTTGAATGGCTGAATTTCACTGGGCCACTCTCGTGTATCTCATTCGATCGCGACTTCGGACTTTTTGTGCCGCCGTGAAATGAACAAACGATGCCTCTCATCCGTTGAGGCGGCAGATGGCGATTTGGAACAGCGGCAGCAGCAACAGTAAACCGGCGAAGGGGACTCCGTGAACGTAACACACAAACACGAGCACAGTATTAGCGTGCTAGGAAGAAGTTCGTGGCGCGTCGACAAAGCGTAGATAGTATCAGCGATCACAGACGCTCGCTCGCAAGCTGCAGCTTGTTAAAGCTGCGAAGAATCGTCGTCTGTGGGTACCGACTCACCGGCAGGCTGGCTGGCTGGCCGGCTGGCTGGCCGCCCGCACCAGAAGACCAGACCAAACATCCTTGGCAGCCAGGGCCTGTCCGAAGTATCGTTCGAGTCAAATGCTCAATTTACTCGGGGCATGTGACGAAATTCGCCGGAACTGTCAACTTGAGCTCATTGGAAGACGGCGGGGGGCGTCGTAAAGGGAGCTTGCCCTGTGGGAGCCCCCTGTGAATGGGTTCGATTAGGTAGAAGAACTGTCAAGAGGAGAAAACTTGGGATTTCGTCTTGTCACAGAGCTCGTGAAAACGTTGCCAAGCAATTACCAACAAAGACCACTCAGTCAGGTCAGGAGGGCGCAACCGCCCACTATGGTGGCCGCGTCGCGGCTGAAACCGACGCATTCTCTGGTCAACGTCGCCGGCGTTGCCGTGGCTGACGAATCCGCGTCGGAGCATAGTTCTCAATGCAGGGCTCAAAAGCGTGCTTTCCCGCGGCAGGTGCGGTCCCGTCGCGTGTATGGCCTCCTCTCGAGACAATGGATTGTTACCATCATTCAATCATCATTAATGGCTCATTACGTGACACCGAGCGAGCTGCGTCTCACCTACGCTTCGAGAGCAGGAGCATCGAGAACGGTTGGGAAACCACAAATCAGAAAACACCTCGGGCGTTTGCTCCGCGATTCGATCGACCCAATTACCAGGCAAATCTGGTTCATGAGAGGCGACGGCACGCTCGTAACGATTCGAGAGATCTCGATAATCGGATACCCTCGACGCTCCTCGATATTTACGTAAGTGCATTCGACATCGAGGGCGGCGAATGGAGGCAGTCCGGAACAGACGTCGATTATTATCGGTAGTGGATAATTTTATCCCGAATCGGGGTCTCTCCCTCCCTAATATTCAAAATTTAGTGAGGAGCGGCGCCGCGCTCCGGACTCGCGCTGCCCCGCACAAGAAGTTCCCACGCAAAGTAATTCTAGAACCCAGCTGATCGCCGAACTTGCTTCCAAAACTTTCGCCCGCTCCGACGGTAGTAATCGCGACAGCAGAAAGAGCCGCATGAAAATGGCTCCATCAATTCACGCTCCTTCTGGAAATCGATGCGGAGGGTCGCGATTCCCGAATTTGCAAACTTGCCACGGCAAGAAGGCCAAGAATATTTTATGAAGTGCACTTTTCTGCGTTCGCGAGATTTTCGAAGCCAAAGGTCGCTCAAGACATCGTACGCGGCGGATTGCTCTTAGCAAACCCGAGAATTTTTAATGATTCGACCGAGTTTGACCTTCCGACGGTCCGGGGGAAACTCTACAGAGTCGATCCACCGTGCAGCCGCGTCTCTTTCCTTCCTACGATCCATTCGTTCTCACATTGATTTTCGTCGGGAGACCAAGATCCCGGATCCGTCGCGATCGCGATCGTTCGGCGTTCCACTTTGAGCGCGTCGGGAAAAGCTCCGCGGAAGCATTCGATTACGGGGACTGTTCTATGTGTTCCGCAAATATGAAGTGGGCACGTCGGAAAACGTTCATCTGTCCCACTTGGGAGCTCGTCCGGGGGATTCCGAGGGAAAGCGAAGGGGATCGTACGCTTCGGGCGTCGGCGCTGCGGACGTCGTTTTCAGAGCGAGATTCGAGCGGTCCTACAGTCGGACGCGTTGAGCTCCTTTCTCAATTTCTTTGCATCAACTCGTTTACTCTTTCACTCCGGGCGTCGGAGGGCGTATGAACGATTTAAACAAACCGATTCCATTTCCAGCTTCTTGGACTCAAATTCAGCCCCGTTGGGAACGAGATTCCGTTCTCAGTTTCACCGCTTTCGACCGAGTTTTTCGGCTTGTCCTGAAAGAAACCGAGCACCTGATTCGGAACGACTTCACAACCTACCACCATCATCCTGAAACGTCCGAGATTGTCAAAAACGAAATTGGAAGAAATGTGAGTAACGAAAAGTCTCAAGTCTCAACAAGGTTTCCTGGGTCTGTTGCACCGCATATGGAGCGGTGGGGGTGGGGCTGGGGAGGGGCAGTAGGATGAAGTGAATGACAGAAACAGAAGAACCTCTCATTATGAATCGAGGCAACACGGCTACCGTGTCGACTTTACATCTGATCCGGAGGTTTACGGTACCGTGGATATTCTGCGGAGCGATAACGGACGTAAAGGAATCTGTCCCTGTTCGGATGCGTTATATTGCGAACTGATCGAAAACGCCGTCGACACAGATCTTCTGGCAATATTGCGGCCGCGGTCCGCGCCGTTGCTGCCGAAAGCATATCCGTACAAATGTACATGGTTTATTCAACAGATCAAGTTTCCTACGAGAGGGGATTGACTGACTGATCGCAAAGGAATCTTTCCAAGCATTTCGCAACGACGCGCTTGCGCGACATGGAAACTTAACATCGACCTGCTCCGAGTCTCCTGAGAATCTCTGTGAAATTGCTCCGATATTTCCCATCGAGCACTTCTGTGGACATTCCCAGAACATAAGTCAGACATAAACAGATGGATTCGCTCTCCTCCAACCCATTTCTCCTCTGCAGTGGGAAGTGACGGTTTGTTCGACGGTAGATGCGAACAGCAGTGGGAGATTCTCATTTCCATAGTTTCCTCTGCATGACGTAACCAAATGTGCGATTCCGCTGCTATTTTTGAATTGTCCAGGCTTGGGAGTGCTCTGCGTATGTAGTGTCACGCGATCCTCACTCAGAGACGAGAATCCCTTCTCGCTGCCGAACTCCTGCGCGCTTCACGTTGGATCCTTTTCCTCGCCCTGCTCGTCGTCTCCTTGACCCACATGGAAGGCTCGGCATGAGGACTTTGCTTCGGATATCTCAATCGGAGAGGAATCTCCCAGCAGAACGATTGAAACATATCCGTTCTCTGTAACAGATTGATTTTCCTCAAGTCTTCGAACCGTCCCACTCTTGTTCCACTGGTAGCCCTGCGAAAAGTAATGACGCAGATCACAGCGAATTCCGTGACTGCTGTCTCGTCCAGAAGCAGTGCGGAATAGCGTCGGATTCCGTGTGCGCAATGAAGGATCTGCGATTTTTTCTCTCTTAGGCGCCCAAATTCGATGGAAGCATTCCGGGGTTGGGTCTCGGAAGAACTGCCAAGTGAGTCCGAATTCTGCTGAGAATAAGTTCCGGAGCAGGAGGCTGAGATGGTCGGATCAAAGACGCGTTCATGACGTTCGTAAGGAAGACCGTACAGCAAAGCTCGGGCTCCAGTCAAAGAATGCCAGTTCCCCCCTCCATTCCCTTCGGAAATGTCCAAACGAAACACCACGTAGCGTAAGCTCGGAAGCAAATCACCACTGATTGATATCTCCACCATGCACTATCGGCAACTGAGCACGTTGGCGAACACGCTCACCCGCATGCAGACTCGAGCGAGTTACGCGCTGCGATGCCGTCTGGCACAATGCCACGCTAACAACGCACTGACCGTCTCGAAGAGAAGGCGCCGAATACCCGTATGACTCATCAAGAGCTGTAGGGAATATTCCCCGAAGTTTGTGTCCAGGGCCTATGAAAAATCTGCTCTAGAGAGAGGGCTACGTGACGGAGCGACGACGGACGCCCACTCGGAGAGCGAGGATGCTTTTGGGGCTTCGCCCCTTCTGATCTATAACTTGAGGTCACCGTCTACACGTAGGCTCCTTGAGTCGGGCTCGCAG